CTGGTATTACTTAAATTCATTAAACGTCTTAAATTGTCATTGCAGAAACATAATATAGGAATCGAAAAATAGCTTTATTGTAATTGAACGTGTTGGTTTGTTTCTTAGAACCCATGTCATAATTGTTGCAACAAATGGCCTATAGAATGTAATATAATGTAGGTCATGAAACAAGGTGTGACTGACATGGCATTCCCATGCATAATCATTTAATCTGTTTTGGTGTAAAATGATGCGACGTGAGCAGGCACAGCCTATAGAGACCAAGCAGTTGATTATGTAGGCTAAATACAATATTATTTCTACAAGGGTTATATAATAATTATTTCCTTCGTATTTCTGTGTGGGAAACTGCTTACCGACTACAACTCAGGCCTAGGTATTCAGCAGAGCCAACATCTGATGATAAATCAAACTGCTATAATTGCACTCAATTACCTGCGGGTCTCATCTGACCACAGATCTGACTGCAAGCCAGGGACACATATTTCCTCTCCTGGTGTGTGTGTGTGTGTGTGTGTGAGAGAGAGAGAGAGAGAGAGAGAGATAGAGAGAGATTGCTGTTGGAGAGACTCTCAGTTAGCAGAACAGGGGAGCCCCGTGGACACGGTAATCCTGTGACGTTCATTCCCGCGCGCTCGAGTGCGTTTTCATCGGGATTAACCACACCTCGTGCCCCTCTACGGGAGCATGTGACCGGCTTATGATCCCGAGTTCTGCGCGAGCCTCCCCCCCCCCCAACAACCCCACAGCAGAACATACAGTTTCACCGGCACATGACAATACACACTCATACATACCCAGTTCAAAAGGCGTCATTCATAGTTTTGCTGTGCTTAAAGATTCGGTCACACACACTCACTACAGGCTGGAATGTGGAGGAGGAGGGGTGACTGTCCCTCAGACCCCTCGGATCAATTAGATAGGGTGGCATTACTAACCTTTGTGTAACATAACTAATTCCAGTATCACCATAGAAACAAATAGCCTAAATTGTGAACCAAAGTAGGCCTACTGTTTGTGCTTTGAGTGGGGTTTTACCTCTCCTTTCCAAGAATAAATGCTCAATTTCATTATATTCTACTCTATAAGATATTAATACTGTCCCTGCAATCTTCCCTCTCATTTTCTTAGGCACTGAGCAAATTTCAGGTCTGCTGAACCCAAACTTGAACGTTGTGATAATTCAGTACAACTTCCAGCACGCATTTACTGTGAACACTGAGGCAGTACCCGCTTTAAATTACAGTTTTAACAGTGGCCAAGTAGGCTACTGTGGCTATTTGATCGTAATGTTGGTCTACTAAAGTGGCCTATTGTCAAAAACAGTGGAGAAAATGCATCCCATAACATGTTACCATAGAAATAGCTGTTCTATCATTCAGCCTACAGAAGCAGCCAATGTGTGGTGTTTCAATGTAGGTCTACATTCCATGAGACTTTTGAAAAAAAAATGCAGGGCTTGACATTAACCTGTTCATCCACTTGTCCTTCAGACAAGGAGATGACAGAAAATGTTGTTGTGTTGTTTGATGCAAGAAACCACTTTACAAAATAAAATGCACGATTATTCCCATACCGTTATTACAGAGAATCAGGCAAATTATGCTACCCTCTGCCTATTGGCTACTTAGCTTATTCAAGCCTGTCTCAAAATACAACACTGCCCCTTTAAAACAAAAAAAAGCTATTTACCTGACTCCCTTTTCAAATATGTCTAGAAATGTACAGGTTTTGTGCTCTTGTAGGAAGCAATCACTCCTCTATTGCTGACAAAAAATATATATCTACAGTATAACTAGGCTAATAACTCACTAAATAGCAAAGGATATGAACAAAATGTGCCATGTGGCTACATGCAGCTCTGGATTTGATCTCAAAATAATCACATCTACTCACCACTTCTCATGCTGTAAACACAGTCCAGTTCGCAGTAAATGGCACAGATCCATATATGGCAATGGTCTATTTGCATATAGGCCTACTGCAGCTCTGATTGGTTATGCCGCCCCGGTCTGTGTAGAGTACGGGCTGAGTAGTGTGTGTCAATGCAATAGAATCCTACTCCGATGCGTTCTGCCTACAACAAAATCTCTTGTGTAGTTCGCTTTGTTTCGGTATGTTGCGTTGAAAGTGGCTAATATTGCCTTGATTCAATCACAATTGCCACAGTAAAGGAAACCGTTGATAGTGTTAACAGGGAAAACTCTAGAACAGTGGTCACCAACCTTTTCTGAGTCAAGATCACTTTGAGTCTAAATGCAAGCCGAGATCTACCGCTCAGATTTATTTTTACATGACTTAAAAAACATAAGCCTCTGCAACATTAACCAATTAGAAACAGTTCTGTAGCAATGAGGTTTGTGCAGTAAGCTATAGGCCCAATACATTATCACCACATATTGGCTTTGCTTGAATTGCCCTGCCAATGCATTGTTGTTCGGGACATTTCAAAATTTGAGGTAGGCTATATGATCACACCGGTAATAGATCCATTGTTGTGTTACTTGTGAGGCACAGCTGAGTGAGCATATATTTAATTAATTCGCTTTTTATTTGTATTTTACTGGGCTGATGGTGCCTGCATCTGATGGTCAGTCTCAGCGGAGGGAGAGAGCAGCAGACTGGGGGGCCGCCTCTCAACATCCCTCCGCTCTCCCTTTCCTCCACTGCCTCTCAACATCCCTCCGCTCTCCCTTTCCTCCACCGCCTCTCAACGTCCCTCCGCTCTCCCTTTCCTCCACTGCCTCTCAACATCCCTCCGCTCTCCCTTTCCTCCACTGCCTCTCAACATCCCTCCGCTCTCCCTTTCCTCCACTGCCTCTCAACGTCCCTCTGCTCTCCCTTTCCTCCACTGCCTCTCAACGTCCCTCCACTCTCACTTTCCTCCACTGACACTGACCAAAAAGGGACACCGTCTTCCAGCTAATGGCGAAACTCGAGGTGAACCGCATTATTTCTGCCTCATTGTCACGTTCGTTGTGTAAAGGATCGGACCAAGGTGCAGCGTGGTATGCGTACATAGTCGTTTATTTTAATAAACACAGACAAAATAGAAAAATCCAACAGAACGTGAAGTTCAAGAGGCTAAACAACAAAACAAGCCAAACAGAAACAAGATCCCACAACTAAGGTAGGCAACATGGCTGCCTAAGTATGATCCCCAATCAGAGACAACGACCGACAGCTGCCTCTGATTGGGAACCACACCCGGCCAACATAGAAATATATAAACTAGATTTCACACCCTGACCAACTCAACTAGAGATCTCAATGTCAGGGCGTGACACTCATGCACCAATTCATGTTGTTACGCCTATGAACAGAGAAAGTTAAATGTTCCTTGATATTAAAAAAGACCCAAGCCGCTAATAATAACAACACAAGATAGATACACTTTCCTACTCATTCATTACTGCTGCAGTGCTTGTTGTAGCCCTGAGTGGAAATAGGAAGGACGCGCATTTAATGGCTTATAAAAGTGTTGAATACAAAGTGTTGACAGTGCTGAGTAAGAACTTAAACATGAACTCACTCATAAAAACAGCAGCTCTTAGCTGTATTCGTTGACAGTCTCTCTCTAGCCATGATTTTAAACGTTTTGAAATCTCACAGTATCAACTTTGCTGTAGCTTTCTTTTATACCTGCTATGTTACTGGAGACACGGTAATCTGAGCCATTCGATTGGCCAGTGGTAGGCCTATAGTGCACATGATTTGCTCTCCGGGCCCGCCGGGAAGGTAGAGTTTGTACCTTCAGACACATGAAATGGTTCAAAATGGCAACAGTTTGCCTACCGCGCGCGCAGGGCAGCTGAATCGGGTTGTCACGACTTCCTCCGAAGCTGTCTCCTCTCCTTCTTCGGGTAGGCTTCTCGTCACCGGCCTTCTAGCCACTGCCGCTCCTCATTCCATTTGTTTTGTCTTGTTTATTACACACACCTGGTTCATATCCCCTCATCAGTATAAGTGTTCCCTCTGCCCCCTTGTCTTTGTGTGTGATTGTTTATTGTGGAGGAGAGAGAAGCTCGGTGGAGCTCCATGGATTTTGTATCGCTGGGAATATTCCCTGTGTGCCTTGTATTTTACAGTGCGCCTGTTTTGCGCACTGGAGGGATTTTACGCATTACTGCGTAACTCTGTGGTTCAGAATAAATTGTGTTATTCTGTGATTTACCCTCCTGCGCCTGACTCCTTCAAAATCACCTCATCACACAGGTCCACATGCCACCCCCCCAAAAAAAATAGGAACACAAGGCTTTATCGTTGGGTTTTTTACAGAAATGTTTGGCGATCGACTAGGAATGCCTTGGAGATCGACCAGTCAACCTTGATCGACCGGTTGGTGACCACTGCTCTAGAAAGTTGAGTGAAGTTCAACCTCGTGCTTCTCTCTGTGGGCTGATATTTCTTCTGAGTGGCAGTCCCAGGGGAGCTGGCTGGCTGGCTAGCTGGCTACTGTGCACACGCATTCAGTTTAGAGGGACCATTGTGTCACTGTGTCTGTAACATGGTCTACTGAAGGCCTATAAGGTGCCTTGACCATTGATTAATTAATGTCAAAATAATGTATTCATTATTTAGCCTGCACTAGGCTACTCTGTTCCTGTTTTGAGCATGCCACTGGGACAGGTGTAAAATCTTCTCCGATGTCGTTTCACTCTTTAGATAATGTCCTAAAACAGCAGACATTAGCATGTGGTTACGGTACAGTAGTTCATTTGTTCCACGCTGTGAGATGAGACTATTATGTGAAAGTTCCTCAGAAGTTGGAACTACTCCACTCTCTCACAACAGATCATGCGCACACATTCCAGGCTGGCTAGGCCTGAGGGAAGAGGGTTTGGGGTCAGCTGGTCTCCAGACAGAAGGAGGCTGGATTCAACAATATTATCCCAAGCATGTGATGGTATGGGGAGGGAAGCAGAGAGGGGAGAGAGAGGGTGTGGGCAAGTGGAAGTTATATTGTGAGTTAACATTACTCGTTCTTTTCCCCAGGACGCTGCATTACTGACTTATATCACAGGTGACCTGGTTGGACCTGCTGTGTGACTATCGCCGGCTGCAGTCGCCTCTTCGCCGTGTGCTTGGTTAGTCTGGCTGTGTAGAGAACTCTTCGGTGTGGTAGTTGGCCAGTCATGGTTCTTCTGGTTGTGTTGGGTAGCCTGCTCCAGCTGCTGCTACTGCGGCCGTGTGTGGGCCAGTTTCCCCGGCCCTGCGCCAACACAGAGGCACTGCGGACCAAGCAGTGCTGCCCGGTCTGGGAGGGGGACGGGTCGGCATGCGGAGCCACATCGGGCCGGGGGTTCTGTCAGGACGTGATGGTATCGGAGGAGCCCCACGGGCCACAGTACCCACACACTGGGATAGACGACCGGGAACGGTGGCCGCTGGCCTTCTACAACCGCACATGCCAGTGTGCAGGAAACTATGGGGGTTTCGACTGTGGAGAGTGCAGGTTCGGCTACTTCGGAAACGGGTGCGCCGAGCAGCGGGAGTCCGTAAGGAGGAACATACTCTCGCTGTCGGTGGCGGAACAGCAGCGGTTCATCGCCTACCTGAACTTGGCCAAGAACACCGTAGCCGCCGACTACGTCATTGTCACGGGAACTCGCGCTGAGATGGGTGCAAATGGGGAAAAGCCGATGTTTTCTGACGTGAGTGTGTACGACCTGTTTGTGTGGATGCACTACTACGTGTCCAGGGACGCATTGCTGGGGGGACCAGGAAATGTTTGGCCGGACATCGATTTTGCGCACGAGTCGGCGGCGTTCCTGCCATGGCACCGAGTGTTCCTGCTGCACTGGGAGCACGAGATCAGGAAGATAACGGGGGATTTTAACTTCACCATCCCTTACTGGGACTGGCGGGACGCCACAGACTGTACGGTGTGCACCGACAACCTGATGGGTGGGCGGAGCCCGCTTAACCCAAATCTCATCAGCCCCGCCTCTGTATTCTCTTCATGGAAGGTAAACAAACGCATGTGACACAGGTAGAGTGATGTGAACAGTAGTGTGTGTGTGTGTACACCATGTGACATCATTGAATCATGCACCAAAGAGCCTGGAGCTGTGATACACCCTGATCACACTGATGACTACTCCTAACTAGGGCCAAACTCCGGCCTGGGAATACCAAGATTACAATATGAGGTCACATTCTAAACCTCTCATCTAGATAAGCGCCTGAGGGCAAATCTCAAATAATACCTCTCAACCAAAGCCTCCTTCCTGTGTGATTTGAGACCCAGCCTGAGAGAGTTCTACTTAATTCAGAGCAGAGGAATGGCAGGGGAAATAGTGTATAATCTGTGTATAGTCTGTTTATAGTCTGTGTATAGACTGTTTATAGTCTGTGTATGGTCTGTGTATAGTCTGTGTATAGTCTGTGTATAGTCTGTGTATAGTCTGTGTATAGTCTGTGTATGGTCTGTGTATAGTCTGTTTATAGTCTGTTTATAGTCTGTGTATAGTCTGTGTATGGTCTGTGTATAGTCTGTTTATAGTCTGTTTATAGTCTGTGTATAATCTGTGTATAGTCTGTGTATAGTCTGTGTATAGTCTGTGTATAGTCTGTGTATGGTCTGTGTATAGTCTGTGTATAGTCTGTTTATAGTCTGTGTATAGTCTGTGTATGGTCTTGTGTATAGTCTGTTTGCTGGTCTGTGTTATAGTCCTTGGGGTGGGGGGTGTGGTGGTATAGTCTGTGTATATAGTCTGTGTATAGTCTGTGTATGGTCTGTGTATAGGGGGGATCTCTGACACAGCTAATGTTGTGTGTCTTGTTCAGACACATGGTTCATTTAACACAGCAGATGTACAGGTAATGTGGGTTATTTTATCAGAACCAGAGAGCAGAGAGAGAGAGAGAGAGAGAGAGAGAGAGAGAGAGAGAGAGAGAGAGAGAGAGAGAGAGAGAGAGAGAGAGAGAGAGAGACATATAAATAGAGCGAGAGAGTGAGCGAGTCTGTGTATGTGTGCATGCCTGTGTGTACCTGTGTGTACCTGTGTATACCTGTGTGTACCTGTGTGTACCTGTGCAGGAGAGTATGCATCCAGAAAGAGAGGAGTACAACAGCAGGTGTGTATACTGTATGTCTGTGCTGTATTGTAACATGACGGTGTGTGTGTACCTACCTGCGCAGGTGATCTGTACCCAGCCAGAGGAGTACAACAGCAGAGCAGCACTGTGTCCCGGGACAGGGGAGGGGCCTCTGCTGCGCAACCCTGGTAACCACGACACTAACCGTGTGAGGCGTCTGCCCACCTCGGCCGACGTGGAGTTTGTGGTGGGTATAGAGACTTACGAGACAGGAGCCATGGACCGCCAAGCCAACATGAGCTTCAGGAACTCCCTGGAGGGTAGGTAGACACTCACTCAGACATAGGCCGCCATTTTGACTTCTATACACACCCTCACAGTTCAAACATCACTCCCTATATTTTCAGTGGGATCTTCTCCTTTAGTGATGTGTATGAGAAGGTGGTGCTTATTTGTGCAAGTAAACGTGTGTGTGTGTGTGTGTGTGTGTGTGTGTGTGTGTGTGTGTGTGTGTGTGTGTGTGTGTGGGTTTAGGTTTCGCCAGTCCTGAGACGGGGATGGCTATAACAGGACAGAGTACGATGCACAACGCCCTCCACGTCTTCATGAATGGATCCACACACAGACACAGACAGCCAGCACAACGCACCACCATCTCCTGCTGTCAACTGCACACTTCCTGGACAGGTGACAACACAACACACACTACACACCACTACACAACCACAACACAGCAAGCCCACACACCCACTAACAACCCCCGTTGACAACCAATAAAGCAGGCCCACGTTGACAAACCCAAACTAAGCAAGCCCACGTTGACAAACCCAAACTAAAGCAAGCCCACGTTGACAAACCCAAACTAAAGCAAGCCCACGTTGACAAACACGAACTAAAGCTAAATTGGCTTCCAATTTATAAGCATACAAAATTAAATCAATTGCATTTCTAAAGGCTAAAGTCATTTGTTCACCTCACCATATAATTAGAGAACGAGAGAGAGAGAGGGTTACGTAGATACTATACAGAAGAAGAGAAGAGAGGGGGGAGGAAAGAGAAAGGGGGAGGGGGGAGTTAGCTGGGTAGGGAGGGAGAGTGATAGGATGAGTGCAGGAGAGGTATGAGGGTGAGGACTTCGGAGGTATGTTTTGTGCCTTTTTATTGCTTTCTCTCTTCTCGCATACTTAAAGACTAAGCCTAGTTCTCGTCGATCGAGAGTTAGCATCTCTGCGCTATCTTGTCTCTTCTGCCCTCTCCTCTATGCCTACTGCGCTATCGTCCTCCTTACCATCTAGCCTCCAGATACGTCCCAGAGAGCGTATATGACTATCCCTACCTTTGTCTCTTTTTTACATCCTGGGACGTGGCTGCATAAATGCCAAAGCCATTCGTCAATTTCCATCTAAGAGAGAACGTCCCCAAGAGAGGGAGAATATAAATCAACTGATAGATATTAATAGGGCCATACAAAAAAACCTACTCTGCCACAGTATAACAATAACAATAATAAAAGCAGCAAGTAACTGTGGTAAAATAAAACAAATATTTCTCTGCACCCTCTCCTCTCCTCTGTTCCCGTCCTATTCCCCTCTCTTCTCTCCTCTGTCCTTATTCCTCATCCTATTCCTCTCTCATTCCCTCTCCTCTCCTCTCCCGTCCTATTCCCTCCTTCTCTCTCTCCTCTGCTCCCATCTTTCCCCTCCTCTCCTCTCCAGTCTCTTCCCTCTATCCCTCCCTCCTATTCCCCCTCTCCTCTCCTCTGCTCCGCTATTCCTTCCTCCCTCGCTCCGTTCCTATCCCTCTCTTCTCTCCTCTATCTCCCTCCTATTCCCCTCTATCTCTCCCTGCTCAACTCCGTCCTATTCCCCCTCTCCTCTCCTCTGCTCCCGTCCTATTCCCCTCTCTTCTCTCCTCTGCTCCCGTCCTATTCCCCTCTCCTCTCCTCTGCTCCCGTCCTATTCCCCTCTCTCTCTCCTCTGCTCCCGTCCTATCCCCCATCTCTCTCCGTGCACCCGTCCTATTCCCTCCTCCTCTCCCTCTGCTCCCTCCTATTTCCCAACCTCTCTTCTCTCTACTGCTCCCGTCCTGATTCCCCCTCTCCTCTCCTCTACCCACCCTCTCCTCCTGTGTTAATCCCCTCCCTGTCTACCTCCCAGCTAGTCATTAACGAGAGGGAAGGGAGGAGAAAACGGCCGCCGCGCCGAAATACACGAGTCAACAACGCACGCCAGATTGTCGAAGAACGATGAGTACTAGAATGTTTCCTATCATTCCTGCTTTACCGCAACGGTGACTCTCCTGGCACAGTCCTCGCTCGTAATCTCCTACTGCTTGATCCGTCTATCCATGAAACTATCATATCTCTCCTCTCTCAGAAGAGTCCCAACGTCCCAGCATTTACCTCTGATAGCGAAGTCTCCATACCTTCTCTACATCACCTCTCTCTCTCTCTATTCCTTGCTAGATCTCCTCTACTCTCTCTCTACGTCTCGTTCCTCGTCTTCTCTCTCTCTCTCTCTCTCTCTCTCTCTCTCTCTCTCCTCTCTCTCTCTCATCTCTCAGGCACGAGGTTTGTCCAGGAGTTCCTGACTCCCTACATGCAGGAGGCTCAGCTGATCTGGCAGTGGCTCCTGGGTGCAGGACTCATCGGGGCCATCCTGGCAGGAATTGCCATGACGACCGTGGCCCTGTTTGTCAGGAGGCAGAGCCAGAACAGGAAGAGGAAGTCGACTTCATCCTTCGGGGAGAGACAGCCCCTCCTACATAGCAGCTCAGAGGAAGGATCAGGGACCTCCTACCAGACCACACTGTAACACACACACACACTAAGACACACACTAAGACACACACGTGCGTGCACACACACACACACAAAACACATACACACACAATAAGACACACACACAATCACACACGCATACACATACACACACACTAAGACACACACACACACTAAGACACACACACACACTCCAGAGACATTTCATTCCAAGATGCCTCATTCTGCTGCTCTGATCTGGGGGATAAATCTGACACATATCAAGCAATAACCAAGAGCTATTTATTAGGAAGATGTTCAGTGACAAACGTGAAATGATAAATCATATTAAAGTCCAACTGCAGTCCAGTCCTGAGTCACGTTCAGAACCGACAACTCTACAGTCAAACTGTATGGAACAGGTATTTGGGTCTGTTGGTGCAGGTTTTGTTACCACTCAGTGCTGTCTACGGGTCCCAGTCCCCATTCCCTCCCCTATTCCCCCTGTCATGGAGATGCTGGTGCTATGGGGGTGTTGTACTGTGTACTGTATGATACTGTGTACTGTTGATACTGTGTACTGTATGATACTGTGTACTGTATGATACTGTGTACTGTATGATACTGTGTACTGTATGATACTGTGTACTGTTGATACTGTGTACTGAATTATACTGCGTACTGTATTATACTGTGTACTGTATGATACTGTGTACTGTATGAACTGTGTACTGTATGATACTGTGTACTGTTGATACTGTGTACTGAATTATACTGTGTACTGTATGATACTGTGTACTGAATTATACTGTGTACTGTTGATACTGTGTACTGTATGATACTGTGTACTGTTGATACTGTGTACTGAATTATACTGTGTACTGTATGATACTGTGTACTGAATTATACTGTGTACTGTTGATACTGGTTACTGTTGATACTGGTTACTGTTGATAACTATGCCACTATGAGAACCAGAGGATAAATTAATAACAATATACATTTCATTTGTATATGGTGCATTAAATCCGTCTTGATTAAATGTGTGTGTCCGGGATAGTTGTGGCTTGACTGGCTGTGGAAAGACAACAAGTTGGCAGAAATAGACAGTGGAAACATGTCTAATCATGTAGTTAACATGGAGTAAATAGTTCTGTATAAAAAACTATTTGAATCAGGGTTGTGCTTTGCTCTCATCAAAACAATCCAACATCCAAAAGAACATTCTTCAGAAACAATAAAATATATATATATTTCTTCAACACTTAATCAATGGTAAATGTATATGGTTTGGTAAAGTATATACATGTAGCTGTTTTGATGTTGAGTCTTAAATGTGACACATTAGAGACATCAGAAATATACAGAAATGGTGACATCCCTGCAGAAATACTCTCATAGAAAAGTACAGTCGTGGTCAAAAAGTTTTGAGAATGACACAAATACTAATTTTCACAAAGTCTGCTGCCTCAGTTTTGATGATGGCAATTTGCATATACTCCAGAATGTCATGAAGAGTGATCAGATGAATTGCAATGAATTGCAAAGTCCCTCTTTGCCATGAAAATGAACTTAATCCCAAAAAAACATTTCCACTGCATTTCAAACCCTGCCAAAAAAGGACCAGCTGCCATCATGTCAGTGATTCTCTCGTTAACACAGGTGAGAGTGTTGACGAGGACAAGGCTGGAGATCACTCTATCATGCTGATTGAGTTAGAATAACAGACTGGAAGCGTTAAAAGGAGGGTGGTGCTTGAAATCATTGTTCTTCCTCTGTTAACCATGGTTACCTGCAAGGAAACACGTGCCGTCATCATTGCTTTGCACAAAAAGGGCTTCACAGGCAAGGATATTGCTTCTAGTAAGATTGCACCTAAATCAACCATTTATCGGATCATCAAGAAATTCAAGGAGAGAGGTTCAATTGTTGTGAAGAAGGCATCAGGGCGCCCAAGAAAGTCCAGCAAGCGCCAGGACCGTCTCCTAAAGTTGATTCAGCTGCGGGATCGGGGCACCACCAGTGCAGAGCTTGCTCAGGAATGGCAGCAGGCAGGTGTGAGTGCATCTGCACGCACAGTGAGGTGAAGACTTTTGGAGGATGGCCTGATGTCAAGAAGGGCAGCAAAGAAGCCACTTCTCTCCAGGAAAAACATCAGGGACAGACTGATATTCTGCAAAGGGTACAGGGATTGGACTGCTGAGGACTGGGGTAAAGTCAATTTTCTCTGATGAATCCCCTTTCTGATTGTTTGAGGCATCCGGAAAACACCTTGTCCAGATAAGACAAGGTGAGCGTTACCATCAATCCTGTGTCATGCCAACAGTAAAGCATCCTGAGACCATTCATGTGTGGGGTTGCTTCTCAGCCAAGGGAATTACATTTTTACATTTCACTCATTTAGCAGACGCTCTTATCCAGAGCGACTTACATCTTTCTTTTTTTTTTCATACTGGCCCCCCATGGGAATCGAACCCAAAACCCTGGCGTTGCAAACGCCATGCTCTACCAACTGAGCTACATCCCTGCCGGCCATTCCCTCCCCTACCCTGGACGACGCTGGGCCAATTGTGTGCCGCCGCATGGGTCTCCCGGTCGCGGCCGGCTATGACAGAGCCTGGACTCGAACCAGGATCTCTAGTGGCACAGCTAGCACTGCGATGCAGCGCCTTAGACCACTGCGCCACTCGCACTCGGGAGGCGGAATAGAATGGGCTCCCTCACATTAATAAAGAATGGTACCAACACATCCTCTGAGAGCAACTTCTCCCAACCATCCAAGCAACAGTTTGGTGACGACCAATGTCTTTTCCAGCATGATGGAGCACCTTGCCATAAGGCAAAAGTGATAACTAAGTGGCTCGGGGAACAAAACATCGAAATGTTGGGTCCATGGCCAGGAAACTCCCCAGACCTTAATCCCATTGAGAACTTGTGGTCGATCCTCAAGAGGCAGGTGGACAAACAAAAACCCACAAATTCTGACAAACTCCAAGCATTGATCATGCAAGAATGGGCTGCCATCAACCAGGATGTGGCCCAGAAGTTAATTGACAGCATGCCAGGGCGGATTGCAGAGGTCTTGAAAAAGAAGGGTCAACACTGCAAATACTGACTCTTTGCATAAACTTAATGTAATTGTCAATAAAAGCCTTTGACACTTATGGAATGCTTGTAATTATACTTCAGTATACCATAGTAACATCTGACAAAAATATCTACAAACACTAAAGCAGCAAACTTTGTGAAGACCAATACTTGTGTCATTCTCAAAACTTTTGACCACGACTGTACATATAATAACTTTAAACAATATAAATAACTTAAATATAAAACAATTACAAACAAACTAAAATACTGGAACCAGGAGTGATTGAGTTTGCGTTGACGCTTTCACGCCATTAGAATACATAGAGGTTGTTAAAGATGAAAATACCCCACAGGAAGCCAGGTCCTCTCGGTTCCTGAACAATTTCCAGTTGCCCACTGATGATGTCACTCAACACCAGTGAGAGTGATGCTTCTCTCTGATGGAAGGAGAACCAGTGAGTTACTTCCTGGTAGGTTCAAGTCAGCTGTCTCTCTGTGAGTCTGGGGTCATGGTGAATGGGAGCTGGTCTCAGCTGAAGGACTCTTTGTTGAACTCAAAAGTGGTTCCTGAGTAGTGGTCTGAGTTACACAGTCTGTGCAGAGTCCTGGAGATGCCTTTAGATCCACAGCAGAACACCCACACCCACTGATTGAGGAAAGCACACACAACACAGATGCAACATCAACACAAACATGATTTTCTTTAACATGAATTATCCCAAAAATTATCTAATCAGAAGATTTCTTTAAACATTTTACTCACTGCTTATTGGTCTTCCCTATCTCCTCAAAGAGCAACCTCCACCTCGGTCGGCCAATCAGCAGCCGGGAACTCAGAGGGCGGTACCTCTCCTCAGAGATGTTCTGGACAGGAAACAAAACTAATTCTAATGATCTTCATAGTGTGATTACAGCTCCAGGTAGAAGTGACCCTTTACCACATATCTAGGATCAGATTACCCTAGCCCCAGATCTAGGATCAGATTACCCTAGCCCCATATTTAGGATCAGATTACCCTAGCCAAAATTCTAGGATCAGATTACCCTAGCCCCAAAATCTAGGATCAAATTACCCTAGGCCCAGATTTAGGATCAAATTACCCTAGCCCCAAAATCTAGGACCAGATTACCCTAGCCCCAAAATCTAGGATCAGATTACCCTAGCCCCAAAATCTAGGATCAGATTACCCTAGCCCCAAAATCTAGGATCAGATTACCCTAGCCTCAAAATCTAGGATCAGATTACCCTAGCCCCAAAATCTAGGATCAGATTACCCTAGCCCCAAACCAAGGGGTTTTAGGTGGGTGAAAACATATCTGACCCTGCATCAGGGGTTAGGGGAAACGTGTACCTACTGTATGAGTCTTACAGGAAAAATATTATCAACTCTACAACATGAACTGGTTTGCATGATATTAAATGGCTGGACAAGTCCACCTTCATGTCTGCCTCTGAACTGCTTTTGATCTGGTGGACTCACTAAACACACATGCTTTGTTTGTAAAGTTATGTCTGAGTGTTGGAGTGTGCCACTAGTTATCCATTTAAAAAATAATGCCGTCTGGTTTGCTTAGTATTTACTTTTACTTCTGAAACTTAAGTATATTTTAGCAATTACATTTACTTTTGATACTTAAGCATATTTAAAACCAAATACTTTTATACTTTTACTCAAGTAGTATTTTACTGGGTGACTTTCACTTTTACTTTAGTCATTTTCTATTAAGGTAGCTTTACTTTAACTCAATTGGGAACTTTTTCCACCTCTACTCTGAACCGTGAGCCCTGAACAAGATCAAATAAAATATGTATGATTCCCTTTCCACACCGTGTCTGCTAGCTGGAGGCAGAGTGAAATTAAAAAGGACTGCAGCAATAAAACACCTTCTGAAAGACTCTGTGAAAGCACTGCTTTGTGTAGAAGGAAGGTTTAACGGCCAGAGGGGCTGAATAAAGAAAATAGTCCACTACACAGTGCACACACACACAAATGATACACACACACACACACACACACACACACACACACAAATGATGTACACCACACACACACACACACACACACACACAAATGATGCACACACACACACACACACACACACACACACACACACACACACACACACACACTAAAAGGCACTGCATGGTGAATCTGACATCTGCATTGGCCGTGCAGCATTTACGGTGATACGGCCTCTGCAGAAGTCAGGGCATTCATACATCTTGCGCTTTGTGGAGCAGCGCTGAGCTGTTGTGAAGGAAGTTGGCAAGGAAGTGAGTTTGTGTTTATACAGGACCTCCGCCCTCACCTACAGTCAACCAATCATGTCAATTGGGAGATATACAGAGCCCTCCGCATTGTTACAAAATTCGAGAGGCGCACGGCGATGCGGTATGGAGCTTGATTTGGCCTCTACATCCTCCGGAGGCTCCGCAATTGCGTCTCACCCTCCATACGAAGCCACCGACCACATTTTCAGATCAAGCATAAATTGGCTTTATCACCCACAACACAACCCCAGTGGAGTGTATTCAAGGATGCCAAGGGAAGCCAGGCTTCCCAAAAAAATGGACACAAAAATCTATAAATAAACATTAAATAATGTATCTTTCGTCCTCTGTGTTTCATAATGTTCCTTCAATTCACAAGAGGATGAATGTATCTCTCCGGAGAAAGCATCATAGCGAATGAAACAGCGCCCCTCTGTCTCTGTATGTATAGCCCATCTATCTGATGCTGTCTGGTCAAAAAGAGCAATTCCTGTTTTCTTTTGCGACTTGCGGTAACTCACTGTGGTTCTAAACCAATAGTTGTTTAGTAGTCCGAAAATGTCGGAAACATTAACTTGCTTGGCCATGCTGTAGGTCATGTAACGGTTTGTTACATGCAATATGTTTCTTAACTTCACCCGGACAGATGTTGCTCTCCAGTTTTGTGATGAAACAAAGGTGTGGTTGAATTTCCCCGGTGATTTTACTCACGCACCCCTACTGCACAACCCTGACTTCTAAGACAGGAAGTGTCAGTTCACTTGCTCTCTCTCTTTTCAAAATATATCCCTTTGTACAATCCTTTCAGCTCCGCCAGAGAAAATGGCATTGAGGGAAAGAAAGATTGAACGGAACACAGTTAAAGAGAGGGAGAGATCGGAAAGAGAGTGTTCTCCGGCAGTGCTGTAGAACGGAGAAATAGAAAGATTGAAATAAGACATTCCACCTCCATGAAGGTAGCAGTGAACTATGGTTACAGTGAAGGTTTACATGCTTCACTCTCTCTCTCTCTCTATCCATATATATTTTTTCTCTTCACCAATCTGTGGTGTACCCTGCCTTCTACTGGCTGGCTGGCTGGCTGGCTGGCTGAATGGATGGAGTGAGTGACAACTGACGGTGTGTTTGAGTGTCCCACCTGAAATCCATCTGTCTGGCTGACAAAGAGCTGCAGATTCAGATAATCAGGTATGTTTTCCTGTTTACAGCTAGAGAGAGAGAGAGAGAGAGAGAGGGGGGGGGGGGGGGGGAAGGGCCTTCTCTGCCATCAAAAGGAACATAAAATTTGACATACCAATTAGGATCTGGCTAAAAACACTTGAATCAGTTATAGAACCCATTGCCCTTTATGGTTGTGAGGTCTGGGGTCCGCTCACCAACCAAGAATTCACAAATTGGTACAAACACCAAATTGAGACTCTGCATGCAGAATTCTGCAAAAACATCCTCCGTGTACAACGTAAAACACCAAATAATGCATGCAGAGCAGAATCAGGCCAAAAGCCGCTAATTATCAAAATCCAGAAAAGAGCCGTTAAATTCTATAACCACTTAAAAGGAATTGATTCCCAAACCTTCCATAACAAAGCCATCACCTACAGAGAGATGAACTTGGAGAAGAGTCCCCTAAGTAAGCTGGTCCTGGGGCTCTGTTCACAAACACAAACAGACCCCACAGAGCCCCAGGACAACAACAACAACAACACAATTAGACCCAACCAAATCATGAGAAAACAAAAAGAGAATTACTTGACACATTGGAAAGAATTAACAAAAAAACAGAGCAAACTAGAACGCTATTTGGCCCTAAACAGAGAGTACACAGTGGCAGAATACCTGACCAATGTGACTGACCCAAACTTAAGGAAAGCTTTGACTAGGCAGACCTGGCTCTCAAGAGAAGACAGGCTATGTGCACACTGCCCACAAAATGAGGTGGAAACTGAGCTGCACTTCCTAACCTCCTGCCAAATGTATGACCATATTAGAGACACATATTTCCCTCAGATTACAGCGATCCACAAAGAATTCAAAAACAAACCCAATTTTGATAAACTCCCTTATCTACTGGGTGAAAATCCACAGTGTGCCATCACAGCTGCAAGATTTGTGACCTGTTGCCACAAGAAAAGGGCAACCAGTGAAGAACAAACACCATTGTAAATACAACCCATATTTATGTTGATTTATTTTCCCATTTGTACTTTAACTATTTGCACATTGTTACAACACTGTATATATACATAATATGACATTTGAAATGTCCTTATTCTTTTGAAACTTCTGAGTGTAATGTTTACTGTTAATATTTATTGTTTATTTCACTTTTTGGTTTTTTTTCCCCCCCTTTTTTTTAAAAATTTTTTTTAAAACCCCCTTTTTTTTTTAATTGGGAAAAAAATTAAAAAATTAAAATTTTTTAAAAAAGGGGGGGGGGGGTTTTTTTTTTGGGGGGGGGGGGGGGGGGGGGGGGGGTTTTTTTTTGTTTTTTTTTTTCCCCCCCAAAAAAATTTTTTTTTTTTTTCTCCCTTTTCCCCTCCTTTTCCCCCCCTTTTTTTTTCTTTTTTTTCCCCCCCCCCTTTTTCTCCCCCTCTTCCCCCTTTTTCCCCTCTCCCTTTTTTTTCTCCTTTTTTCCCCTTTTTTTCTCTCCTTTTCTCTCCCCCTTTTTTTTTTCCCCCCCCTTTTCCCCCCGGGGCCCCCCCCTCCCCTCTTTTTTTTTCCCCCCCCCCCTTTTTTTTTTTTTTTTCCCCCCAAAAAAAAAATTTTTTTTTTTTCGGGGGTTTTTTTTTTTTTTTCCCCCCCTTTTTTCCTTTTTCCTTTTTTCCTTTCCCCCCCCCCCCCCCCCTTTTTTTCCTTTTTTTTCCCCCTTTTTTTTTCCCCCTTTTTTTTCCCTTTTTAAATTTTTTTTAAAAAAATTTTTTTAAAAAAAAAAAGGGGGGATTTTTTTTGGGGGGGGAAAGGGAAAATTTTTGGGGGGTTTTTTTTTTTTGGGGGGGGTTTTTTCCCCCCCCCCAAAAAAAATTTTTTTTGGCTTTTGGGGGGAAATTTCCCTTTTTTAAAATTTTTTTTTGGCCGGGTTTCCCCGGGCCCCCCGGGGGGGGGGGTTTTTGGGGGGTTTTTTTTCCCCCTTCCCCCGGGTTTTTTTTTTTTTCTTTTTTTTTTTTGGCCCCTTTTTTTTTTTTGGGTTTTTTTTTTTTTTGGGTTTTTTTTTGGGTTTTTTTTTTTTGGGGTTTTTGGGGGGGTTTTTTTTGGGGGGGGTTTTTAAAAATTTTTTTTTTTTTTTTGGGGGGTTTTTTTTGGGGGGGGGGCCCGGGCCCTTTTTTTTTTTTTCCCCCAAATTTTTTTTTTCCTTTTTTCCCCCTTTTTTTTTCCCCCCCCCCCCCCTTCCCCCCCCTTCCCCCTTCCCTTTTTTTCCCCCCCCCCCCCTTTTTTTTTTTCCCCCCCCCCCCCCCCCGGGGCCCCTTCCCCCCCCCCCGTCCCCCAACCCCCCCCCCCCTTTTTTCCCCCCCCCCCCCCCCCCCTTTTTTTTCCCCCCCCCCGGGTTCCCAACCCGGGCCCCCGGGCCCCCTTTTTCCCCCCCCCCCCTTTTTTTTCCCTTTTTTCCCCCCCCGGGGGGGGCCCCCCCCTTTCCCCCCGGGGGCCCCCCCCTTGGGCCCCCAAAAACCCCCCCCTTTTTAAGGGGCCCCCTTTTGGGGGGTTTTTGGGGCCCCCCCAAAAAAAAAACCCGGGGGAAATTTTTTTTAAAAAAAAAGGGGGGGGGGGGTTTTTCCCCCCGGGGGGGGTTTTTTTAAAAAATTTTTTAAAAAATTTTTTTTTTTTTAAAAAAAAAAAGGGGGGGTTTTTTTTAAAAAATTTTTTTAAAAAAGGGGGAAAAAAAAATTTTTTAAAATTTTTTGGGGTTTTTTTTTCCCCCCCCCGGGTTTAAAACCCCCAACCCGGGGTTTCCCCCGGGGGGGGGCCGTTTTTTTTTTTTCCCTTTTTTTTTTTTTTTTTAAAAAAAAAGGGCCCTTTTTCCTTTTTTTTTTTGGGGGGGGGCCCCCCCTTTTTTTTTTTGGGGGGCCGGTTTTAAAAAAAACCCGGGGGAAAAAAGGGGAAAAAAAATTTTGGGGGCCAAAAAGGGGGGGGGGTTCCCCCCCGGGGGGGAAAAGGGGGGGGGGGGTTTTAATTTTTTTTGGGGGGCCCCCCCCCCCCCCTTTTTTTTTTTTTTTTTTTTTTCCCTTTTAAACCCCCTTTTCCCAAAAAAACCCCTTTTTTTTTTAAAAAAAAAAATAAAAAATTTTTTTTTAAAACTTTTTTAAAATTTTTTTTCCCCCCAAAAACCCCAAAACCCCCGGGGGGGGGGAAAAGGGGGCCCCATTTTTTTTTAAAAGGGGGTTTTTGGGGGCCCCTTTTTTTTTCCCTGGGGGTTTTTTTGGGGGGGTTTTTTTTTTTTTTTTGGGGAAAAAATTTTTAAAACCCCCCAAAAAAAAAAATTTTTTTTTTTTTTTTTGGGGGGGGCCCCCCTTTTTTTCCCTTTTTTATTTTTTTAAATTTTTTTTTTAAAAAAAAAAAATTTTTTTTCCCCCCGGGGGGGGAAAAATTTTTCCCCCCTGGTTTTAAAAAAAAAAAATTTTTTTTTTTTAAAAAAAAAAACCCTTTTAAAAAAAAAAAAATTTTTTTTTCCCCCCCCCCCCCCCTTTTTTTTTTTAAAAAAAACCCCCTTTTTCCCCCCCCTTTACCTTTTTAAAACCCCCCCCCCCCCCTTTTTTAAAAATTTTTTTAAGGGGCCTTTTTAAAAAAAAAATTAAAACCCAAAAATTTTTAAAAAAAAAAAATTTCCCCCTTTTTTCCCCCCCCTTTAAAAAAAAACCCCCCGGGTCCTGCCTCTGAAGCTCCACAGCAGCTAAGAGGCGTTCCTGCTCGGGAGAGCCCAGCAGGTTTTTAAACAGTACACACACAGCACACAAGGAAAAAGAAGGACCCCAGCCTCGGGCCTCAGGGCAGCAGGTGCCATACAGCCTCTCTACCCCAGCCCTCGGGCCTCAGGGCAGCAGGTGCCATACAGCCTCTCTACCCCAGCCCTCGGGCCTCAGGGCAGCAGGTGCCATACAGCCTCTCTACCCCAGCCCTCGGGCCTCAGGGCAGCAGGTGCCATACAGCCTCTCTACCCCAGCCCTCGGGCCTCAGGGCAGCAGGTGCCATACAGCCTCTCTACCCCAGCCCTCGGGCCTCAGGGCAGCAGGTGCCATACAGCCTCTCTACCCCAGCCCTCGGGCCTCAGGGCAGCAGGTGCCATACAGCCTCTCCACCCCAGCCCTCGGGCCTCAGGGCAGCAGGTGCCATACAGCCTCTCTACCCCCAGCCTCGGGCCTCAGGGCAGCAGGTGCCATACAGCCTCTCTACCCCAGCCCTCGGGCCTCAGGGCAGCAGGTGCCATACAGCCTCTCCACCCCAGCCCTCGGGCCTCAGGGCAGCAGGTGCCATACAGCCTCTCTACCCCAGCCTCGGGCCTCAGGGCAGCAGGTGCCATACAGCCTCTCTACCCCAGCCTCGGGCCTCAGGGCAGCAGGTGCCATACAGCCTCTCCACCCCTAGCCGAGTCCCCAACAACTAGATGTTCTGGTTATCAGGGGAAATGGAAAGAGAGTCTGTGACTCGACTTCCACTTTTGGGTGTTAACTCCTCCTCCACATTTACTGGATTGGTTGAACAGTGCAGAAGAGAACCTCCCCCGACAGTTTCTTATTCTTCTTCCCGTCAAGACCAGTGTGTAGGGGATCTAGTTTCAGGCCTTTCTTTTACGCCTGCTACGTTAGGTTACTCCACCTCTGACCCTGATGTTTAGCCCTGGCCTCTGGCCTGACCTTTAACCCCGACTTTTGACTCCTAGTCCCCAGGCTGACCTTGTGATGTCAGGCACACAGCAGCTCAGCGAACCAGTAGAAGGACTGCAGCTCCCTGCACACCCACACAAAGTATAGCCTCCTCAGACGGAAATGCCTCCAGCCATCCCTGAGACAGACCACACACACACACACACACACACACACACACACACACACACACACACACACATACATACACACACAGAAACTACAGTGTGAGAATTTGGGCACTAAGCCCATGTCAAAACATTCACACCAATGGAAAACCAACAACCAACCATCTCTTGTCAGACAGCCACTCTCAGCAGGGCGTGCAGAACACAGGCGAATGGCGTGACTCCGATCCCACCCGCCACACACAGGCTGACCTCGTAGTTGAACACCTCCTGTGACGGACTGCTGAACGGACCATCCATGTACAGCTTACACACACAGTGGGAGGGACAACAATAGTGAGACAGTAACAAATTGCACACCCACTCACACTCACACATACACTCACAGACACATAAGACATTAAGACAAGTGGTTTTTGTACACTGAACAAAAATATAAACGCAACATGTAAAGTGTTGGTCCCATGTTTCCTGAGCTGAAATAAAAGATCCCAGAAATGTTCCATACTTCACAAAAAGCTTATTTCTCTCAAATGTTGTGCACACATGTGTTTTCATCCCTGTTAGTGAGCATTTCTCCTTTGCCAAGATAATCCATCCACCTGACAGGTGTGGCATATCAAGAAGCTGATTAAACAGCATGATCATTACACAGGTGCACCTTGTGCTGGGGACAATAAAAGGCCACTCTAGAATGTGCCGTTTTGTCACACAACACAATGCTACAGATGTCTCAAGTTTTGAGGGAGCGTGCAATTGGCATGCTGACTGCAGGAATGTCCACCAGGGCTGTTGTCAGATAATTTTCTGTGAATTTCCCTTCCATAAGCCACCACCAATGTCGTTTTAGAGAATTCCCAACATCAAACCACGTGTATGGCATTGTGTGGGCGAGCGGTTTGCTGATGTTGACGTTGTGAACAGAGTGCCCCATGGTGGCGGTGGATTTATGGTATGGGCAGGCATAAGCTACGGACAACAAACACAATTGCATTTTATTGATGGCAATTTGAATAAACAGAGATACCGTGACGAGATCCTGAGGCCCACTGTCCTGCCATTCATCCTCCGCCATCACCTCATGTTTCAGCATGATAATGCACGGCCCCATGTGGCAAGGATCTGTACACAATTCCTGGAAGCTTAAAATGTCCCAGTTTTTACATGACCTGAATACTCACCAGACATGTCACCCATTGAGCATGTTTGGGCTGCTCTGGATCGACATGTATGACAGCGTGTTCCAGTTCCCGCCGATTTCCAGCAACTTCACACAGCCATTGAAGAGGAGTGGGACAACATTCCACAGGCCACAATCAACAGCCTGATCAAGAAGGAGATGTGTTGTGCTGCATGAGGCAAATGGTGGTCACACCAGATACTGACTGGTTTTCTGATCCACGCCCCTACCTTTTTTTTAAAGGTATCTGTGACCAACAGATGCATATCTGTATTCCCAGACTTGAAATCCAATGGACTGATTTCCTTATATGAACTGTAACTCAGTAAAATCGTTGAAATCGTTGTATGTTGCGTTTATATTTTTGTTCAGTGTAAGTCACAGGAGACGTGTGAACAATAAGAACTCTGTTGTCATGACGACAGCTAATCACAGAGCTGAACTCTGTGTTCATCTAAATCATTGTGGTGGTCTCCACTCTCAGAACCTCATTTATAGTGAATGAATCGTAAACTAGAACACACATACACACATATACACACGCAAACACACATACACTAGGGCTCCCAATGACTTCCTTTGAGGTCAGGCACATATAAGCAAAACAAACAGGCAACATCCTGCATGTCAGTCCCACAGCCAGAGAGAAGAAGAACAGCAGAAACAGCAAGAGCACACTTCCCCCTCCATCTCTAGAGAGCAGGAACACACTTCCCCCTCCATCTCTAGAGAGCAGGAGCACACTTCCCCCTCCTTCATCTCTAGAGAGAAGGAACACACTTCCCCCTCCTTCATCGCTACCTCTCCCCCTACGCTCTCCCTCTCCCTTGCTCATCCTCTCTCTCTCCATCCCTCTGTAGGTGAAGAATGCAATGCGTGTTATAATAATGTTCTCGGACCCTGCTGATTACTGCACCCCAGGAGTTCAGGTGCTGTACATAGAATTTCAATGAGTAGAATAGACATCCTATTTAAAACAACAAAGATATCTGTGAACTGAGAAACCATGTCCACTCTACTATTTGTGATTCTATGTGCAGCCATACCCCGACGGGTGGAACCTTCCAGGCGGAGGGGCACAGAGGGGGAATGTCCTCAACCTGAATGGGGCAGGAGACCCCCTCTCACCAGGGTACCGTGCTAAAGGTGTGTGTTGGTGTGTGTGTGTGTTGGTGTGTTGGTGTGTGTGTTCGTGGTCCTCTGTAGCTCAGCTGGTAGAGCACGGCGCTTGTAACGCCAAGGTAGTGGGTTCGACCCCCGGGACCACCCATACAAAAAATAAAAAAAATAAAATGTATGCACGCATGACTGTAAGTCGCTTTGGATAAAAGCGTCTGCTAAATGGCATATTATTATTATTATTATTATTATTCTTATAGAGACATAGATGTTTCTGTGATAAAGGTGGAGTATAAACTTCCTCTCCCTCTCCTCCAGAATACACTTACAGGTACAGCCTGGGGGAGGGGGTGGGGCTTCCTAAGATTCCAGTGCATCCTATTGGTTATCATGATGCCATCCACTAAAGTGAGTATTATGATGACAACCAATCAGAGCTCACACACAGAGCTAACTTCCTGTATGATGTCACCCTTGGCAGGAATATGGGAGGAGACATCCCACCCAATAACAGGAATGTGTCCTATCGGATTGAACCGGAATTCACTGACAGCCTCAGTACACAGTAAGACGCCATACACCTGGCTCTCTCTCTCTCCCTCCCTACCCCCTCTCAAACCTCTCTCCCTGAAGCTCCTTCTCCCTTAGCCCTCTTTCTCCATCAACCTTCTCCAATCTTTATTTTTTCGCTTCTAGCGAAGGTAGAGAGGAGATCGAAGAGAGCTAGTAGAGAGAGAGAGAGAGAGAAGCCTCTCTCTCTCTCTCGCTCAGCGTCTCTTGCTCGTAGATCTCTCGCTAGCATCTCATCTCGTATCTCCTCTTCTCTCTCTCTCTCTCTCTCCTCCTCATTTCTCCCACTCTCATCCCCCTCTCCTCCACCTCTCTCTAATTCTCTGGAGTGTTGCCCAGAGCAGTAGAATGGAGGCTCCTTGTGTGTCCCTGTGAGAGAGAGAGATAGACCCACACACGCATACATTTTCACACAACGAGTGGGGCTGATGTAGCCTGCTCCCAGATCTGTTTGTGCTTTGGCCTACTCCACTGTCATTATCAAGCATGACAATTCCATGAGGAGTTGGCAAAAGAGCAGGAACAGACTAGCATCAAGGCTAGGGTCGAGGGAGAGGGGGCTCTTTGTTCCCATCTACAACAGTGGAGGAGAATTGGCGTTCCTAAAACAACAACAACAACAACAACAACAACAACAACATGGAAAAGATAGAGTGTCTGTCTCTGTCTCCTCTCTGTGGTTCTCAGGAAGGTGCGTGTGAACATCCAGACTAACAACCAGGTGACGCGGATATACAACGTCATCGGGAGGATACAAGGGGCCGTGGAGCCAGTTACCACTTCCCACAACCTCTAAATGTTCTAGTCACCTGTTGACCTGGTTTACGGAAACATTGTGTGAGCGTTTGGCCCACAGCCTGTGTAGCCAGGGGACATGACGTTGGTAGACAATAGCTCAGAGCTGGCTGTGGCCCAGTAACTGTATGGTGCTTCCTCTCCACAACTCAACACCAAAATCTATCATCACTGTTTCATTTGAAATACCACAATACTTGATTCATAACAGAGTAAGGAGCAGAGCAGATGGTGATTGTGACCCCTCTCCCCCCTCCTCTCTCCGTTGTTGGCAGACCGCTATGTGATCCTGGGGGGCCAGCGGGGTGCCTGGGTGTTCGGGGGGATCGACCCAGTAACAGGAGCTGCCGTGGTGCACGAGAGTGTGAGGAGCGCCACGAAACTGCTCATCAAAGGTGTGTGTGTGTGTGGGGAGATCAGATTAGCACACACATGCATTTAAACGCACACACACACACACCACTATGTACTGAGATGAGTCTTTATGGCTACAGTTGCATCATAAAAACTCTAAACAGCAGATACTAATCTGCATGCAAAACTCTGTAAGGATGACTGTTCCCATATTGTAGCAGTCTGGAGTAGTTCTCTAGAATGTTCTATCAGGTCTGTTTCCTCATTATGTTTTCACCGAGAAGTGGTGTATACTATATTTTAGTGGTACAATGCATTTGGTCCAGTGTGTGTTTTCTCTGGCAATCACACAGTGTTGGAAAAAGTACCCTATTGTCATACTTGAGTAAAAGAAAAGATACCTTTAATAGAAAATTACTCTAGTAAAAGTGAAAGTCACCCAGTAAAATACTACTTGAGTAAAAGTCTAAAAGTATTTGGTTTTAAATATACTTAAGTATCAAAAGTAAATGTAATTGCTCAAATATACTTAAGTATTGAAAGTAAAAGTAAAATTATAAATCATTTCAAATTCCCTGTATTAAACAAACCAGACGGCACCATTTTTTTTTTTTTTTATGTACGGATAGCCAGGGTCACACTCCAACACTCAGACATAATTTACAAATGAAGCATGTGTTTAGTGAGTCCACCGGATTAGAGGCAGTAGGGATGACCAGGGATGTTCTCTTGATAAGTGCGTGAATTTGACCATTTTCCTGTCCTGGTAAGCATTAAAATGTAACAAGTACTTTTGGGTGTCAGGGTATGGAGTAAAAAGTACATTATTTTCTTTAGGAATGTAGCGGAGTAAAAGTAAAAGTTGTCAAAAATATAAATAGTAAAGTAAAGTACAGATACCCCAAAAAACTACTTAAGTAGTACTTTAAAGTATTTTTACTTAAGTACTTTACACCACTGTTCCTTTGTGTGTTGCAGGTATGTACACATTGAGGATAGACTGCACCCCCTCTCTCCACACCTTGGTGTATGACATCACCAAACAGGTAAAGTTGAATCTACTGTTTATTTCAGGGGTTTTCAATGGGCAAAAACGTAGTGCAATGGTTTTCAGCACAACAACTTAATAAAAGGTATCTGGCAGAAGTAAATTCATCCACAAACACAAATGTAATTTTACATATATCTTAAATGACCATGTTTTCGCGAATGTGATGATGTAATCGTGAAGTCCATTCAAAAGATTAGGGCAGTAAAGCAGAAGAGGCGGTTACTTTCACAGACCGACATAGTTCCAGACTAACACCAATATACAGTATGTCTAAATAGACAGAATGAAGCATATTGTGTTTGTACAACTATAGTCACACTGAACACCACAATGGGTATTGCTGCCACCTACAGGCTCAGAGTGGTCATAGCAAGTCTCTAACCGCAATACACGACCTCACACCTGCCGTGCATGCCAGCGCAGAAAACATTAGTTTATTCCACTCTCCATCTCTCTCTGTGTAGGTGTCCAGTCCAGAGGAGGGAGAGTCTCTGTATGAGAGCTGGCACAAGCGGGACATCTTTCCAGTTGGACAGATGACCGCGATGCACCCAGGTCAGACCCATCACCAACCACCATATATATACTTATTATCATCCAGGTCAGACCCATCACCAACCACCATATCCTTATTATCATCCAGGTCAGACCCATCACCAACCACCATATCCTTATTATCATCCAGGTCAGACCCATCACAGACTTATTATCATCCAGGTCAGACCCATCACAGACTTATTATCATCCAGGTCAGACCCAGCACAGACTTATTATCATCCAGGTCAGACCCATCACAGACTTATTATCATCCAGGTCAGACCCAGCACAGACTTATTATCATCCAGGTCAGACCCATCACAGACTTATTATCATCCAGGTCAGACCCATCACCAACCACCATATCCTTATTATCATCCAGGTCAGACCCATCACCAACCACCATATCCTTATTATCATCCAGGTCAGACCCATCACAGACTTATTATCATCCAGGTCAGACCCATCACCAACCACCATATACTTATCATCACATTGATTTTATTTACATTTTAGATTTTAGTCATTTAGCAGACACTTTTATCCAGAGCGACTTATCTCTCTCTCTCTGTAGGATCAATAAGCTGGGTTCAGGCAGTGACTTTGAGGCGTGTTTCATCCAACTGGGCATTGCAGCAGGCAGGGCCCGATACACCAAGAGCAGGGTTAGGGGGACATTGCTCTGGGGGCGGACGGGGAACCTGGAGACACCAGCACATTGCAGATGTCCTTTCGATGCTATACAACAGTCCACCACCACCAAAATGGGGGTCATCATTTGATGCAGGAATAACCATGAATGTTTTTTCATGCAAACAAACCTGTGTTTGTATTCTGCTTTGTAGAAGACAAGAGCGATACAGCCCAGTGTCTCACAGTGTGTATGAGACCTTTGGGTTCTATGACCCTTCCTTCCAGAACCGTAGCTCAGGTCAGGTACATTTTACATTTTAGCAGACGCTCTTATCCAGAGCGACTTACAGGAGCAATTAGGGTTAAGTGCCTTGCTCAAGGGCACATACGACAGATTTTTCATCTAGTCGGCTCGGGGATTAGAACCAGCGACCTTTCGGTTACTGGCACAACGCTCTTAACCACTAAGCTACCTGCCGCCCCAGGTACGTATGGTCAATGACCAGCTAATGTACCTGGTGAGAGCCTTCGTGGACCCGCTAGGTTTACTTGGCCAACAATTCTACAGGTAAGCCCCACATACAGTACACTCTCATTCAGTGCTGCGTATGTTTTCATAATCAGTTCATAATCATATTATTGCATTTTTTGTCTCATATTTTTTCACCCTATTCCCTCTCTTCAGGCATGTGATCTTTGCTCCCAGCAGTCATAATAAATATGCTGGCGAGTCCTTCCCTTGCATCTATGATACACTGTTCGACATCAAGCATGCAGCCAATCCCAAATAGACGTGGGAGGATGTGAGGCAGCAGATCGCTGCGTTTACCGTCCACGCTGCCACCATGACACTCACACCCCCTGCCTAACACACACAAGCAAAGAGTGAAACTAAATAACAGATCTCAGAAGGGCTGTAAAACAATTAAAAGCCAAAACAAAGACTGTTAAAGCACAACCATGATGAATGGGAAGGTAAGATAACTTTATTTGACAGGTTATATTTGCTGGAAGGCAACTGATATCAATAAATGGCACAAATAGTCTCAAATGCACTTGACAAACAACAGGAGGACTGATCTGTGTGTGTGTCTGTGGAATAAATGAAAAGGTGTCAAACACATCACATACATGGAAACCATGTTTGATTCCATTCAATTTATTCCATTCCAGCCATTACAATGAGCCCGTCCTCCTATAACTCATCCCACCAGCCTCCTCTGGGTGTGTGTGTGCTCGAGAACTGTTGACATTCTGACTCGCTGTACCTAATTGCTCATTAGCTACAGCTACAGATCCTGATGAGGGTTGCTATGGTGATAGCTGCCTGCATCTCTTCTCAGTTGAGAAGATAGGGGAGGTAGTAGAAAGATAGGGGAGGTGCCTTCAGACAGTGTTTCAGTGCAGTGAAGTTTAGCCTCTGGATTCTGAATAGAATGTAATTGTCTTGGAACATTTGGTGTCACTAGCGCCCAGTGAAATTCCACAAATAAATACAGAAAGTCCAGCGTATGTACTTTATACATACTGCTCTCAGCCTATCATCAACAGGGTACAGGTTCATTAAAACATATGTACCGTGTGCTATATTTCATTCTCTCTGTCTAGTTCTATGCATCCCCCTTTCTGTTCCCCGCCCCCAGTGGGCGTTTCTGTGGGAGAGGGCAGGTCCAGACGGGCCCAGGTGGTTGGCTCCTCCTTCCCCATGGAGATCTCCATCTTAGAAGACATCATGTTCACCACGCTGCTACTCACATCTATCACCTAGGAGACATGAGAGGGAGATGAATTATATGACTACCACAGAGATCCTATTAAATTACTTAGTGACTTAATAAGATAGTACTTAGCTCTAATTGTTACTTTTATGATGACTTCTGCCTATCCATACTGCCAGAATGAACAGCTCATCATCATCATATTCTTCACTCACCCCCCATAAGTTGATCTTCTGCTCAAACTCCTTCTCTCCCTCAAAGACCACACGAATGTTCACCTAGAACACAATACAGATATACTAACTACTCACACAAAATGCAAGCATTTTCTAATATCTGTTTGCCTGTGTGTGGTGTGTACCGTGGTGCCGTTGGCCTCTGCATAGCTGAGCTCTGGTAGAGAGTTCTTGGCATAGATCGAGATGATGACCTGGCTGCCAGTCTGGTGCCAATCAAACCTACACGGTACCACCTTCATCCCCTGGAGGGGGGAGAGAGACAGACAGAGAGAGATAAATAAAGAGAGAGAGAGAGAGAGAGAGAGAGAGAGAGAGAGAGAGAGAGAGAGAGAGAGAGAGATAAATAGAGAGAGAGAGAGAGAGAGAGAGAGAGACAGAGAGAGAGAGAGACAGAGAGAGAGAGAGACAGAGACAGAGAGACAGGGGGGAGAGAGAGAAATAAAGAAAGAGAGAGAGCGATGGAGTAAGGGGGAGAGAGATGGAGTGAGAGAGAGAGAAATGGAGTAAGGGGGGAGATATATGGAGTGAGAGAGAGAGAGATGGAGTAAGGGGGGGGGGGGGAGATGGAGTGAGAGAGAGAGAGATGGCATGAGAGAGAGAGATGGCCATCGGCACTTCTAATTGTGTGAACCTGAGGCTGTCTGAGTCAGTGCCTGAGCTAAACACTGAAGGGGTCCTGACCTTGTCTGGTTTCCTCCAGAGGTGACTTCCTGTGGTGCAGCCCTCCTGGGCCAGGAAACAGTTAAAGTCAGACGTCTTCCTCCTACAGCAGCTCCAGAACTTCATCCTGACAGACAGGGGACAGCACAGATCAGAGGCCAACAGTCATTGATCCAAATAAACTAGACAGGAGGAGGACATATTGGCATCTGAATCTCAAGTGTTTTTGCGTCTCACCCCTCGTGGAAGTTGGGGACTCCAGGGTGGTGTTTACACTTCTCCTCGTTACTCCCTGGACCAGAGAAAGACTGCAAGGGAGAGAAACCAGGACACACACCATAAACACAATACATCACACTAAATCACACACACACTGCTATTCATCTCGTCACTCTACCACTGAGCTACTCTCTGAACCCTGACTGGTAGCCTCCTGATAATTTATACACACATTGAGAAATGATGAGAATCTGAACTAGAGGACTACAGTAGTACTCTACCTTGGAGCAGCCTCCATTCTTACAGGATGTGCCGATCTTCACCTCCTCCCCCTCTAGACAGAGAGAGAGAGAGAAAGCCTGTGAGCCACCCACCTCTCAATCCTATCAGAGCCAGGTTAAAGGTCCATTATGACAGCAGCATACCTGTGTTGCCAGGCTGGCTGCTCTCTGCCAGCTGGAGTTTCTCCAGAGCACGTCTTAGAGAGGAGGACACCTTCTGCTGAAGTCTGACCAGGGGCTCATCACCACTGAAACACACACACACCCACCATCACTAAGGATTAACACAAACGTGCGTGTGTACGTACAGTGCATTCGGAAAGTATTCAGACCCCATGACTTTTTCCACATTTTGTTACGTTACAGCCTTATTTTTCCTCATCAATCTACACACAATACCACATAATGACAAAGCAAAAACTGGTTTTTAGAAATGTTTGGGTATGACGAGTCTTCTTGGGTATGACGCTACAAGCTTGGCACACCTGTATTTGGGGAGTTTCTCCCATTCTTCTCTGCAGATCCTCTCAAGCTCTGTCAGGTTGGATGGAAGACGTCACTGCACAGCTATTTTCAGGTCTCTACAGAGATGTTCGATCCGGTTCAAGTCCGGGCTCTGGCTGGGCCATTCAAGGACATTCAGAGACTTTTCCCGATGCCACTCCTGCGTTGTCTTGTCTGTGTGCTTAGGGTCGTTGTCCTGTTGGAAGGTGAACCTTTGCCCCAGTCTGAGGTCCTGAGCGCTCTGGAGCAGGTTTTCATCAAGGATCTCTCTGTACTTTTCTCCGTTCAGCTTTCCCTTGATCCTGACTAGTCTCCCAGTCCCTGCCGCTGAAAAACATCCCCACAGCATGATGCTGCCACCACCATGCTTCACCGTAAGGATGGTGCCAGGTTTCCTCCAGACGTGACGCATGGCATTCAGGCCAAAGAGTTCAATCTTGGTTTCATCAGACCAGAGAATCTTGTTTCTCATGGTCTGAGAGTCTTTAGGTGCCTTTTCGCAAACTCCAAGCGGGCTGTCATGTGCCTTTTACTGAGGAGTGTCTTCCGTCTGGCCACTACCATCTGGCCACTCTACCATAAAGGCCAGAATGGTGGAGTGCTGCAGAGATGGTTGTCCTTCTGGAAGGTTCTCCCATCTCCACAGAGGAACTCTGGAGCTCTGTCAGAGTGACCATTGGATTTTTGGTCACCTCTCTGACCAAGGCCCTTCTCCCCCGATTGCTCAGTTTGGCCCAGCCAGCTCTAGGAAGAGTCTTGGTGGTTCCAAACTTATTCCATTTAAGAATGATGGAGGCCATTGTGTTCTTGGGGACCTTCAATGCTGCAGAAATGTTTTGGTACCCTTCCCCAGATCTGTGCCTTGACACAAAACTGTCTCGGAGCTCTACGGACAATTCCTTCGACCTCATGGTTTGGTTTTTGCTCTGACATGCACTGTCAACTGTGGGACCATATATAGACAGGTGTGTGCCTTTCCAAATCATGTCCAATCAATGAATTTACCAGAGGTGGACTCCAATCAAGTTGTAGAAACATCTCATAGGATGATCAATGGAAACAGGATGCACCTGAGCTCAATTTCGAGTCTCATAACAAAGGGTCTGAATACTTACACTACCGTTCCAAAGTTTGGGGTCACTTAGAAATGTCCTTGTTTTTAAAAGAAAAGCAATTTTTTTGTCCATTAAAATAACATCAACTTGATCAGAAATACAGTGTGGACATTGTTAATGTTGTAAATGGCTATTGTAGCTGGAAACGGCTGATTTTTAATGGAATATCTACATAGGCGTACAGAGGCCCATTATCAGCAACCATCAGTCCTGTGTTCCAATGGCAAGTTTATCATTTTAAAAGGCTACTTGATCATTAGAAAACCCTTTTGCAATTATGTTAGCACAGCTGAAAACTGTTGTGCTGATTTAAAAAAGCAAAAAAGAGTTGCAAAGAAAAAGCCATATCTCTGACTGCCCATCTTAATCTTTTTTTTTTCTTGGCCAGTCTGAGATATGGCTTTTTCTTTGCAACTCTGCCTAGAAGGTCAGCATCCCGGAGTCGCCTCTTCACTGTTGACTATGAGACTGGTGTTTTGCGGGTACTATTTAAAGAAGCTGCCAGTTGAGGACCTGGGAGGTGTCTGTTTCTCAAACTAGACACTAATGTATTTGTCCTCTTGCTCAGTTGTGCACAGGGGCCTCCCACTCCTCTTGGTTAGAGCCAGTTTGCGCAGTTCTGTGAAGGGAGTAGTACACAGCGTTGTACGAGATCTTCTGTTTCTTGGCAATTTCTCGCATGGAATAGCCTTAATTTCTCAGAACAATAATAGACTGACGAGTTTCAGAAGAAAGTTATTTGTTTCTGGCCATTTTGAGCCTTTAATCGAACCCACAATTGCTGATGCTCCAGATACTCAACTAGTCTCAAGAAAGCCAGTTTTATTGCTTCTTTAAATCAGCACAACAGTTTTCAGCTGTGCTAACATATGTGCAAAAGGGTTTTCTAATGATCAATTAGCCTTTTAAAATGATAAACTTGTATTAGCAAACACAACGTGCCATTGGAACACAGGACTGATAGTTGCTGATAATGGGCCTCTGTACCCCTATGTAGATATTCCATAAAAAACCAGCTGTTTCCAGCTACAATAGACATTTACAACATGAACAATGTCTACACTGTATTTCTGATCAATTTGAGGTTATTTTAAATGGACACAAAAAAAATTATTTATTTCGAAAACAAGGACATTTCTAAGTGACCCCAAACTTTTGAACAGTAGTGTATGTAAATAAGGTATTTCTGTTTTCTATTTTTAATAAATGTGCAAAAATTTTGAAAAACCTGTTTTTGCTTTGTCATTATGAGGTATTGTGTGTAAATTGATGAGGGGGAAAAAATATTTCATACATTTTAGAATAAGGCTGTAATTTAACAAAGTTTGGAAAAAGTTAAGGGGTCTGAATACTTTCCGAATGCACTTTACGTGCGTGCATTTGTGTGTGTGCCCTGATGAATGTGTGTTACCTGGGTCTGTGTATCAGCTCCAGTGGTTTAGGAGCCTGGATAATATAGGGGTCACCACGAGGCTTTAGCTCCTCTCCCTTCTCTCTCCTCCCCTCTGAGCTTGTCACCTCCGGCCTGATCGGCTCCGCTGGCTTCTCTCTGTTATGGATACCTCTGCTGCAGCCCTGAGGAGAGAAACACCCTTCTAACTTTAGCATATCCACATTTAATCTGAACACTTCTGACTTCAGCATAGGAAACTTTAGAAGGGGGGGGGGGTACACTCACCTCTATGCTGAGGAAGTCTGAGAAGTCTGTGGTGCGTCTCGTGCAGCAGGACCAGCCCTACAGGACACAGCCAGGTCAACCACAATACGGTTTCATTACCCACACAGTCAATAGTCTATTAAAAAAAACATTTTTCGACCTGGTGTCCTCTTCTTCATCACTTGTCTTTTGTGTTCAGGTAAGTGGAGATGAATGAGAAGTGATTGGGAGAGGAAACCACTGTACATCTTATCCGCTCGGCTACACACTTACTATGGTTAGTGGTCGTGTCGGGGTGTGTTTGACCCTACCTTAAGAGCATCGTGAAAAACAGGCACACCAGGGTGAAAGGTACAGGCGTCTGTGGAGGAGAATATTCATTCATATGATACAGCAAAATACGGGCATTCCTAATTATCTAGTTTCATATAATATATTAAAAATATATAATTTCATTGTATCACCACTTTCCTTTAAGATCAAACAAAAAAATGTTGGTGATCCGCCCTGGTTATGTCTATGTCTCCGCGGTGTTCATGTGATACCGTAACGGGAGTGGCGCATGAAAATTCGGATAGACGGCAGTCCACAAAGGCAAACGTTTGCTGCTGTCACTTGCTAATAATAAAGAACGTGTACAATATCTAGCATTCAACTATTCCTAAACTGAGAATGCCGTGTGTAGACATTCATATTGTTATATAGCCAGTTAAATTCATTATTAGCTAACGTTACACTTACCACCAGGGTTGTTGTCTGGGTCAAATCGTTGTCCGCAACCTTTGTTGTAGCACAGCAAAGACATGATGAACGAACAAAGATAACTCGTCGGATTATTAAAATATACTATATTAAATTAGGATGTAAAGCTGGCAGATGTTTAATACAATATTTTGATCTATATTATGCAGTTGATCTGCGTGCCTGACCATGTGTTTCCTCCTGTGCTCTCACCAGGCTCGCACACACACGTTTGCCCCACACAGTTCCGGGAAATGCCGGTGGGGTTCGGGAACTTTCGTTAACCAGCCATCCAGTGTTGTTTGCAGGCAGATATGAAGAGACGAAGCAAGAGGGATAACTGCGCTCAAAATCAGTCTTCTCCAGCAGGTGGCGGTTTTTTTTCGCTCACAAAGCGAGGAGTTTTTGGATGGAGGTCAATGTGTGTCGAAATTTGTTAACAAAAAATGTAAAGGCTTATTTGATCGAATAGATGTTTCGTAAGGATTAGGATGTTACGCATCAGTTGTCAGAGCACCTTACCGATCACTGCACCTGTACACAGCCCATCTGAAATTAGCCCGCCCAACTACCTCATCCCCATATTGTTATTTATTTTGGTCATTTGCACCCCAGTATCTCTATTTGCACATCATCTCTTGCACATCTATCATTCCAGTGTTAATACTAATTGTAATTATTTTGCACAATATCCTATTTATTGCCTAACCTCCATAACTTGCTACATTTGCACACACTGTATATATATTTTCTGTTGTATATTTGATTTTATGTTTTGTTTTACCCCATATGTAACTCTGTGTTGTTGTTTTTATCGCACTGCTTTGCTTTATCTTGGCCAGGTCGCAGTTGTAAATGAGAACTTGTTCTCAACTGGCTTACCTGGTTAAATAAAGGTGAAATAAAATAAAATAAATAAAAGTACTGATATAAGTAGGACACTTGACATCCCGGCAACTTTGAGAGAAAAAAAACGTTATACCGGAGTTGTGCCTGGTTGTCACTAGTTACTACAGCCACAGTCATAATCTACAATTGATCTTCTTAAAATGTGATTTTAAACCTAACCCTAACCACACTGCTAACCTTATGCATAACCCTAACCTAATGTTTTCATACATTTTTATTATTGCCAATTTTGACTTTGTGGATGTGGTAAGTAGTGGAAACGGTTGTGCCTGTTGCTCAAACACGTATCTACCCTATCATTGGCTAGAATGGTCCCACCTGATCTTGCCTCCTCCCGACTGCCTTCAATTTTTTAAGACATTTATTTTAATTGTTAGTGCGGCCACTAGTGGAGGCTGGTGGGAGGAGCTATAGGAGGACGGTCTCAATGTAATGACTGGAATGGAATAAATGCAGTCTTATGACTTGGGGATTGTTAAGGAGCCTTTTGGACCTAGACTTGGCGCTCCGGTACCGCTTGCCGTGCGGTAGCAGAGAGAACAGTCTATGCCTTGGCCATTACAATGACCCCATCCTCCTATAGGTCCATCAACCAGCCTCCACTGGTGAGTATACCACGCTATAGACGGGTTGGCTGACATCACGGAAGCCGTGCTTTGATTGATTCTGAATAGTCAGATATGAGGCTTGTTCGACATTGCAGCCGACTGCTGAGTGACTGATCTACAAATCACCTTCCATCATAACATCTCATTGTTATTTGTAGATCAGTCAGCCCGTAACGATTTACCCATTACGGTTTTGACCCTCTCGAACACAGCCATGTTCTTTCTACCTCAGTGGTAAGATAGCTACTGTAGCAACAATGACAAGAAGCTGCCACACACGTCCATCTTATGCCCCACAACACCTCGTGCACCATTCAATAAAACACACATTACTACATAAAACTGCGCTTCTCACGTTTGCACAAAAATCACTCACGATGATACATTACAAAAAAATGGGAACATTAGTATGGTCATGCTTTTCTGTTTTGTTGATCTTTACTAAAATACATAATTATAATGCTAAATGTATTTATTATGCAGCAATCCAACAGACAGCAGATATTGATTGGCCAAAGCAACGGTCTCACTCACTCACATCTAGACCAACTAACTGTACACTAGCGCTGGGACGATAAACCGAAAATTATCGACACTGACCAAACATCGTGGACATTTGGCTGATATCGTTCAACACGATAAATAACCTATATTCCCTACTAAAGAAATGTGAAGTTTTAAATTAAATAAGTTTGCTAATATGGGTGATTGTTCATGGGACAATTGATAGCTACAACATTTAAAGTAGTAGTTGTAAGGGTAATCTTAAAATTAAAAATTAAAAAATTGGTGCACAAGAATAAACTTAACATTCAATGTATCATTATCATGATAATTCAGTCAATTTATTGTGATATATATATATTTTTTTCATTTCACCCAGCTTTACTGTACACCCTTCACCCCAATACACAGATACATTTACATTTTAGTCATTTAGCAGATACACATGTAATGTAATTTAAAACACACTCAAAGGTGTGGACATACACACACCAACAAAACTGATAGACTGACAGACTACAGCGGTACTTTGGTTGCGTTACCTTTCATGTTACAAAACACAGAGAGAGTTCAGTGCATCAGAGACAATAAATGATCAAGCATGTTTGCTAACAGCATGAGACTTTCAGTCCTCAGACTCTTCCAGCTGCCTAAGGCATTCGCTAAGGTTGGCCTGTCTCTCTGGCCCTGCGCTGTCCTTCCTCTTGGTCAGCAGCCTGACCACGTCTTCCAGACCTTTCAGCGGAGGGGCGTTATGGGGGAACAGCATCCCTCGGAGCAGCCCGTAATTGAGCGTCATGGATAGGTCGCACAGGAAGCGCAGGAACAGGTCGTACTGACCGACAGGAGCACTGAGGTAACGGTCAACGGCTTTGCGGTACATGTCCACCAGAGAGTGCTCCTTGAACAGCTCGGTGACGCGGTAGGACTGGTCTAGAACATTCCGCTCCTCCAGGCGGAAGGTGAATATGTAATGTGCAGCCATGAACTCCTGTTGATAAGAACAAAGACACATTCATTATGAATAATAATACATCTGTCAATAATCTCAATAAAATCAAGAGAAGTAAAGTCATGTGACAGGAAGTCCAACCCACCAGGAAGCTCAGGTGTGTAAAGCAGAAGACCGGCTTGTCTTTGGGAATCGCCCTGGCCAGCTCAGCACACAGGCCCGACCACCAGGTCACCTCCCTCAACTGGCCAGCTCAGCACACAGGCCCGACCACCAGGTCACCTCCCTCAACTGGCCAGCTCAGCACACAGGTCCGACCACCAGGTCACCTCCCTCACCTGGCCAGCTCAGCACACAGGCCCGACCACCAGGTCACCTCCCTCACCTGGCCAGCTCAGCACACAGGCCCGACCACCAGGTCACCTCCCTCACCTGGCCAGCTCAGCACACAGGCCCGACCACCAGGTCACCTCCCTCACCTGGCCAGCTCAGCACACAGGCCCGACCACCAGGTCACCTCCCTCAACTGGCCAGCTCAGCACACAGGTCCGACCACCAGGTCACCTCCCTCACCTGGCCAGCTCAGTACACAGGCCCGACCACCAGGTCACCTCCCTCACCTGGCCAGCTCAGCACACAGGCCCGACCACCAGGCCTTCTCCCTCACAGGCAAGCTGTACTCCTTCAGTTCCTCTTCATAGAACACTGAGCGGTTGTTATCCAAAAGCTTCAGAGCCAGGCGACCCAGCTTCAACATGAACACTTGGTCCATGTCCGTCCATTTCTGATTATAGGAATAATACAGTAAAAATATATTTGTATTTCTTTCTTCCAGGTTCAAAAGATGCCTTACACAGTAAAGACAACATATAACAGCATCACCAGTGCACAACCTACACCAATGTCATGTCTGACGTCATAATGTGGGGAAGACTCTAAACAAGACCCTGAGACTTTCTAGAGACATTTAGCATCGAGAAAAAAAGAAAATGCTTTATACTGTACATAAGACTTAGTACACAACTAGCAGGTAAGATGAGTGAACCAACATTATGGAGGAGGTCATCTGTAGCTCAGTTGGTAGAGCGTGGTGCTTGCAACGCCGGGGTAGTGGGTTCGATTCCTTGGGCCACCCATACGTAAAGCTGCTTTGGATAAAAGCGTCTGCTAAATGGCATATATATTATATTAGGAGGGTGGATCAGACCTGTGAGTTGGGGTTTTGCCCATAGTATTTCTCCAGCTTGCGGTTGTTCTGGATGATCATGTAGTGGATGAAGGACGTTATCTTGGGGGGGCTCGTTTCCATAGTCATCATCGTTATGGAAACCCCTCTCATACACCATGGCAACTATCCAGCAGCAGAAGGGCATGTGACACAGGGTGTAGATGGTGGGTGGGGTCTTGGTGTGTCTGAGGATCTTAACAGCCTGAGTTACGCATGGTCAGATAGTCATCCTTCTGCTTGTCACTGTAACTAAATAAATAAGACAAATAAACTAAACTAATAACAGCAATAACATAGTCAATGATTAGCATTTTATATCAAAGTGTTTCCTTTTACTCACCCTCAATGCTTTACATTGTGTTGCAACAACTCATAGATGTTAGAGTTGGTTAGTTACTCCACATAAAAACACTATCCTACCACCCAATCCCCATACCCCTCTAAACGCCACACACACGTGTAGCCCTGTATCTCAGTGACACGGTGGATGTACTGTGTGGTAGCTGCACGTCTCCCAGTCAGCCACAAGAGGGCGAGGGGCAGCGGGGAGCCTCAGATCAGATTCACCAACAGGGAGTCCAGGGGAATAACAGCCTCAATGTCAGTCACAACAGGAGTGTTCTGGTGGAGCGGGGAGAAGGAGAGATCTCTTTATAGGTACTGTAAAGAGCGGATCCATAGCCATACACCTAACCTCAGCCCTGTGTGTGTGTGTGTGTGTGTGTGTGTGTGTGGGGGGGGGGGGGTACCTTGAAGTCGAGTTTTCCTTGGAAGATGTCAATCCTGTCCATGACAAAAAGCACCTTGCAGTCTGGCTGCTCCAGAAAGTCCATGGAGCGTGTCTCATTGTGGCATGTCTGCAGCAGCTCCAACACACTGATGTCCTTCTTCTCAACTATGTTCTGCTTCCTCAGCGACTGCATCTCCCGGAACGGAAACGGGAACACATACTGAATGTTCAAATTAGCCCGTTCCTCTGCCCAATCCAGCATGAAGCTCCGGACCGGCACAGAGTTTACGATTCCGGGCACCCCCGTCGTCAGAACACATTATACTGGAGACCCATTCCTGGACCGGAGACGGAATATGTTTTCCCACCAATCACGCTGTCCTGGAAGGCGGCCTGGGGAGGGTTGGAACCCGCTGTGACCGTGGGTGGAGATTTGGGCTTCGACGTAGACATACTTCCGGTATAGATGCTGGCCTGCCCGGGGAACACCCTCATAGATACAGTTGTGTCTCCGGATCAGACCATACTTCAACTCATACTGAATCACAGCTAAAGCGGGGGAGACAGAGAGGAAAGGAAGAGGGGGAGACAGAGAGAGGGAAGAGGGGGAGACAGAGAGGAAAGGAAGAGGGGGAGACAGAGAGAGGGAAGAGGATGAGAAAGAGAGAGAGAGAGAAGGAAGAGGATGAGAAAGAGAGAGAGAAGGAAGAGGAGGAGAGAGAAGGAAGAGGAGGAGAGAGAAGGAAGAGAGAGAAGGAAGAGAGAGGAGGAAGAGGGGGAGAGAGAGAGAGGAGGAAGAGGGGGAGAGAGAGAGAGAAGGAAGAGGGGGAGAGAGAAGGAAGAGAGGGACATAGATAGAGAGACTGGTTGGAGGGAGTGAGAGAACAGTCAGGCTGATACAGTATATATAAGCCTATATTTAAGGCCCGGCTGACTGACTACAGACTTCCCCAGTCTCTGGTCTGGTGCAGACCTGGGTTCAAATACTATCTCAGGTATTTCAATTACTTTTCAAAACAAGTATTCAGATAACCTTTATTTGAAGAAAAAAAAAAACAAGTAGTTTAATATGGGAATGTATTTGGAAATACACTTGGAAAGTTTTAGAGAATTCTCTCAAATAAACACTCCCATGCATTTAACCCAGGTATTTGAAATAAGTACTTAAATACTTTCAAATATAATTTGGTTGACTATTATTTTTTAACAAATAACCATTCAAATACTCAAATAAAAGTACTTGTTCTTGGCTGTGTATTTGAAAATACTCAAATGTACAGGAAAAAGTATTTTAATAACACATTTTACCAAGTAAGTTGACTGAGAACACATTCTCATTTACAGCAACGACCTGGGGAATAGTTACAGGGGAGAGTAGGGAGGATGAATGAGCCAATTTGAAGCTGGGGATAATTTGATGGCCATGATGGTATGCGGTACCGATTGTTAATTTAGCCAGGACACCGGGGTTAACACCCCTACTCTTACGATATGTGCCATGTGATTCTTAGTGACCACAGAGAGTCAGAACACCCATTTAACGTCTCATCCGAAAGATGGCGCCATACACAAGGCAATGTCCCCAATCCCTGCCCTGGGGCATTGGGATATTTTATTTTAGACCAGAGGAAATAGTGCCTTGTACTGGCCCTCCAACACCACTTCCAGCAGCATCTGGTCTCCCATCCAGGGACCAACCATGTTAACTTCAGAGGCAAGCCAGCAGTGGGATGCAGGGTGGTACGCAGCTGGCAAAATTATTTGAAACAAAGTCTGGTCTGGTCAGTGAAAGACAGTTCTGGTTCATACCTCTCTTGCACTTCTTCTCTAGTTCCTGGGCCAGCTCGGAATTCTTCATGCTCTCCAGCATGCGGATCGCCACCTGCAGGCCGTACAGTTCAGCTGACATAATAATCATCATCATCATCAGAAACCGAAAGCACTTTATAAATAGGCATGTTATGCCATGGCACCATCTCTAATGACAACGTATTCCTTAAGTAGTTTGTTTGTTTTGTAGTAAGCAGTGCAACACCTCTCCCCTATTTGACCTAGATAGTTTGTGTGTATGTATTGATATGTAGGCTAAGTGTACCTTTTTATAATTGATGTAGTTCTGTCCTTGAGCTGTTCTTGTCTATTAATGTTCTGTATTATGTCATGTTTCATGTTGACCCCAGGAAGAGTAGCTGCTGCTTTTGCAACAGCTAATGGGGATCCTAATAAAATACCAAATACCACTAACAGGGTGTGATTGTAGTAAGCGTCGCACTAAATTCAAAAGGCACTCGCACATCTGAGCTATCTTTGTTGCAGGTGCCTGGTAACAGTTGAATAAGATGAGAAAAAAGAAGAAACCTGCACACTGCTCTTGATAGTATCACTGCTCTTGATAGTGTCGCTGCTCTTGATAGTATCGCTGCTCTTGATAGTGTCGCTGCTCTTGATAGTGTCGCTGCTCTTGATACTATCACTGCTCTTTATTAAGCTTTACGTATATCGGCCTCAAGGCCTTCGTCAGGGCTTTTTTTAGAAAGCAGTGCACTAACAGGGTGTGATTGTAGTAAGCAGTGCACTAACAGGGTGTGATTGTAGTTAGCAGTGCACTAACAGGGGTGATTGTAGTAAGCAGTGCACTAACAGGTGTGATTGAGTAAGCAGTGCACTAACAGGGTGTAATTGTAGTAAGCAGTGCACTAACAGGGTGTGATTGTACATTTGTGTTAGCCTTTACCGAAGCGCTCCAGCATCTTATCCACTAGCTCCAGCGTATCACTCTCCTCCAGGTCAGCCATGGTGAAGGAGGGGTGGCGCCCACACAGATAGCACTTAAACAGGTGCAACTCAGGACCACCCAGGGCAGTAAGAGAACTGCATGGACTAGAGAGAGGAAGGGGAGGAGAGAGAGCTCGCATTTGTAACCGGTGTGAAATGGCTAGCTAGTTAGCGGTGCGCGCTAGTAGCATTTCAATCGGTGACGTCACTCGCTCTGAGACGTTGAAGTAGTTGTTTCCCTTGCTCTGCAAGGGCCGCGGCTTTTGTGGAGCGACGGGTAACAGTGCTTCGAGGGTGACTGTTGTTCGATGTGTGCAGAGGGTCCCTGGTTCAAGCCCAGGTAGGGGCGAGGAGAGGAACGGAAGCAACACTGTTACACATACATACTCTCACAGCAAGAGAATCACAGATCAGACACATTCTACCTACACGTTCACATAGGTGAAAACACACGCACCTTCAATACGTAGGGCAGGTCTGGCTGTTGAAGTTGCGGTGCAGCTGGCCTGGTGCTCTTCATCAACCTCTTCCTGTGACTGGTCCTCAGGCTCGAGGGGGGAGCTCAGGAGAGTCTGCCTGGAAGGGGCTGCTCTCATCCCCTTCCTCTCTAACCCTCTCTGCACATCTACAGACAGAAAGACAATTTACCTGATCAACAACTGTGTGCATGTTACCTCTCTGTGACGAAGGCTCCCTCTTGGGGCTGCCTGCTGGCGTGTGATTTCAGGAGTCTCATTGCGGATCAGCTGGACCCTGGAGGAACAAGAGGACATAACCTCAACGTTAGGACAACGTCAGGACAGGAGAATGGATGGAAGGAGGATTTGTCAAACCTTTAAAAGTAACTTCATAGATTATGGTAACATTTGGAAGAGCCAAGCCAAGCAGAAAACAACCTGATAGTGTTATGTGGTCACAGTATGTGTGTAATACCCATTGATAGCATAGTGTAGCTAAGGTGTGTAGTTCCGGTTTGCCAGAAAAGCTCTGAGCCTCTGTGACGTTCTCGTCTTCTTCCTCGAGCCATAACTAGAGGGAGGTCTCGCATTGTTCCAGCGCCCCTGCAGGATCCTGACAACATCCCAGTGTGTTATGAATTGTGTAGGGCAGGGGTGTCAAACTCATTTTAGCTCAGGGGCCACATGGAGGAAAATCTATTCCCAAGTGGGCCGGACCGGAAAAATCATGGTATATATAACAAAAACAACAACTTCAGATTGTTTTCTTTGTTTTAATACGATCAACATACAACATAAAGCTGGAGCCTGAGGACAGTGTGTCCAAAATAGTACAAGCACAACATCACTACTAATCATAAAACACGTCAAGTTTATTTGAAAATTCTAAAGAAAAAGAACACACAAACACAATGCCTCAGTGATTAACAGAACTGTTTCACAGATCACAGAACTATATCAGGGTGTCATTTCTCAGGCAGAAATGTAGATAAAAATAATGAAATCCTGTTCCCCAAACAAGTGCAAGAACCACAGAGTCAAGAATAGGTTAAATATACAAATACATTTAAAACAATAGCACATCAACATAAAAACATATAAACATAAAGCTGGAGCCTGAGGACAGTGTCCAAAAGCACAACATCACTATTAATCATAAAACACCTCAAGTTATTTGAAAGTTCTGAGGACAAAGAACACACAAACACACAATGCCTCAGTGATTCACAGAAGTATATCACAGATCACAGAACTATATCAGGGTGTCATTTCTCAGGCAGAAATGTAGATAAAAATAATGAAATCCTGTTCCCCAAACAAGTGCAAGAACCACAGAGTCAAGAATAGGTTAAATATACAAATAAAATAAAATCAATTAAAAACAATAGCACATCAACATAAAAACATATAAACATAAATCTGAAAGCGTTGCTCAAACTCCCGTAACAGTCCCGTTATTTTATCTTTGAACCGCTTCATGTCTGCCACATGTTGGGTCGCGCACACATTTTTCAGACAGGGGAAGTGAGCTGCATCACCACCGGCAAGTTGCGTCTCCCACAATGACAGCTTCAACTTGAAAGAACGTATGCTGTCATAATACTGCGTGACAACTTTGTTGCGCCCTTGCAGCTGTTTGTTCAAGTTATTCAGATGCTCTGTAACATCCACCATAAATGCAAGGTCCTGCATCCATTCTGCGGAATGAAATTCTAACACTGGTTTGCCCTTTTCTTCCATGAACTGTTCAATTTCTTCTCGTAAATCAAAGAAACGCCTCAGCACAGCACCTCGGCTTAACCATCTTACCTCAGTGTGGTATGGCAGGCCATAGATGTGGTCTTTCTCTCTGAGAAGGCTGTCAAACTGACGGTGATTCAGGCTTCTGGATCGGATGAAATTAACAGTTTGGATGACCACCTTCATGACGTTATCCATCTTTAATGACTTGCAACACAAAGCCTCCTGGTGCAAAATACAGTGAAAAGTCCAAAAATCACGTCCTCCATTTGCAGATTGCACTTTCTCTCTGAACTTTGTCACAACGCCTGCTTTTTTCCCGATCATTGAGGGCGCACCATCTGTAGCCAGGCTGACAGCGCGGGACCAGTCCACTCCGACCCTGTCCAGCGCACCGACGAGTGCGGTAAAAATATCAGCTGCTGTCGTTGTATCTGTCATCGGCACCAACTCCACGAACTCCTCGGTGACGGTCAATGTGTCATCAACTCCGCGGATGAAAATGGCCAGTTGTGCAACATCTGTAATGTCCGTGCTTTCATCAATTGCAACCGAAAACGCAATAAATGACTTTACTTTTTGCTTCAACTGGCTGTCCAAATCCACTGAAAGATCGGAAATCCTGTCTGCAACTGTGTTTCTTGTCAGGCTGATATTTGCAAAAGCCTGCCGCTTTTCAGGGCACACAATCTCCGCTGCCTTCATCATGCATGTTTTTACAAATTCACCCTCACTAAATGGTTTTGAAGCCACTGCGATTTCATTAGCAATGAGGTAGCTAGCTTTCACTGCAGCGTCACTGATGTCTCGGCTGTGAGTAAACACAGACTGCTGTTTCTTCAGACCCTCCAACAGTTCATTCACCTTCTCTCATCTCCGCTGTCCTTGAAAGTTGTCATATTTGTCGGCATGAAGACTCACATTGTGGCGACGAAGGTTATATTCTTTCAGCACTGCAACATGCTCTGAACACACCAAACATACAGCTTTCCCATTCAATTCCGTGAATAAATAGGATGACCATTTTTCTTGGAACACTCTGTGTCAAATCAAATCAAATCAAATCAAATTTTATTGGTCACATGCGCCGAATACAACAGGTGCAGACATTACAGTGAAATGCTTACTTACAGCCCTTAACCAACAGTGCATTTATTTTAAACAAAAAAAAGTAAGAATAAAACAACAACAAAAAAGTGTTGAGAAAAAAAAGAGCAGAAGTAAAATAAAGTGACAGTAGGGAGGCTATATATACAGTAAAATAAAGTGACAGTAGGGAGGCTATATATACAGGGGGGTACCGTTGCATAGTCAATGTGCGGGGGCACCGGCTAGTTGAGGTAGTTGAGGTAATATGTACATGTGGGTAGAGTTAAAGTGACTATGCATAATACTTACAGAGTAGCAGCAGCGTAAAAGGATGGGGTGGGGGGGCAGTGCAATAGTCGTAGCCATGATTGTGTAGGTCTAGGCTTGGGGGTGAAGTGTTGAGAGTCTTTTGGACTCATGACTTAAAAACTGTCTGGAGCTTGACAATTTTAGGCTTCCTTGACACGCCTGTGAGTCTGACCCCAATTTGGAAGGGGGGGGGGGCCCAAAAGCCAAGAAAGGGAAAAAACAACCGGAAAAAAATTAGTTTTATGTGGTCACGTATTTTGAAAACCCCCATTGAAGCTAGTGTAGCTAAGGGTTTTTGTTCAGTTTGCCAAAAAAGTCTGAGCCTTGTGCGTTCTGTCCTCTTCCTGAGCCATAACTAGAGGGGGTCTCGCTTTGTCCAGGCCCCGCAGGACCCTGAAAAACATCCAGGTGTACAAATTGTGTAGGGCGGGGGTTTCAAACTCATTTTTAGCTCAGGGGCCACATGGAGGAAAATCTATTCCCAAGTGGGCCGGACCGGAAAAATCATGGTATATATAACTTAAAAACAACAACTTCAGATTGTTTTCTTGTTTTAATACGATCAACATACAACATAAAGCTGGAGCCTGAGGACAGTGTGTCCAAAATAGTACAAGCACAACATCACTACTAATCATAAAACACATCAAGTTTATTTGAAAATTCTAAAGAAAAAGAAACACACAAACACAATGCCTCAGTGATTAACAGAACTGTTTCACAGATCACAGAACTATATCAGGGTGTCATTTCTCAGGCAGAAATGTAGATAAAAATAATGAAATCCTGTTTCCCAAACAAGTGCAAGAACCACAGAGTCAAGAATAGGTTAAATATACAAATAAAATTAAAACAATAGCACATCAACATAAAAACATATAAACATAAAGCTGGAGCCTGAGGACAGTGTCCAAAAGCACAACATCACTATTAGTCATAAAACACCTCAAGTTATTTGAAAGTTCTGAGGACAAAGAAACACACAAACACACAATGCCTCAGTGATTCACATAAGTATATCACAGATCACAGAACTATATCAGGGTGTCATTCTCAGGCAGAAATGTAGATAAAAATAATGAAATCCTGTTCCCCAAACAAGTGCAAGAACCACAGAGTCAAGAATAGGTTAAATATACAAATAAAATAAAATCAATTAAAAACATAGCACATCAACATAAAAACATATAAACATAAATCTGAAAGCGTTGCTCAAACTCCCGTAACAGTCCCGTTATTTTATCTTTGAACCGCTTCATGTCTGCCACATGTTGGGTCGCGCACACATTTTTCAGACAGGGGAAGTGAGCTGCATCACCACCGGCAAGTTGCGTCTCCCACAATGACAGCTTCAACTTGAAAGAACGTATGCTGTCATAATACTGCGTGACAACTTTGTTGCGCCCTTGCAGCTGTTTGTTCAGTTATTCAGATGCTCTGTAACATCCACCATAAATGCAAGGTCCTGCATCCATTCTGCGGAATGAAATTCTAACACTGGTTTGCCCTTTTCTTCCATGAACTGTTCAATTTCTTCTCGTAAATCAAAGAAACGCCTCAGCACAGCACCTCGGCTTAACCATCTTACCTCAGTGTGGTATGGCAGGCCATAGATGTGGTCTTTCTCTCTGAGAAGGCTGTCCAAACTGACGGTGATTCAGGCTTCTGGATCGGATGAAATTAACAGTTTGGATGACCACCTTCATGACGTTATCCATCTTTAATGACTTGCAACACAAAGCCTCCTGGTGCAAAATACAGTGAAAAGTCCAAAAATCACGTCCTCCATTTGCAGATTGCACTTTCTCTCTGAACTTTGTCACAACGCCTGCTTTTTTCTCGATCATTGAGGGCGCACCATCTGTAGCCAGGCTGACAGCGCGGGACCAGTCCACTCCGACCCTGTCCAGCGCGCCGACGAGTGCGGTAAAAATATCAGCTGCTGTCGTTGTATCTGTCATCGGCACCAACTCCACGAACTCCTCGGTGACGGTCAATGTGTCATCAACTCCGCGGATGAAAATGGCCAGTTGTGCAACATCTGTAATGTCCGTGCTTTCATCAATTGCAACCGAAAACGCAATAAATGACTTTACTTTTTGCTTCAACTGGCTGTCCAAATCCACTGAAAGATCGGAAATCCTGTCTGCAACTGTGTTTCTTGTCAGGCTGATATTTGCAAAAGCCTGCCGCTTTTCAGGGCACACAATCTCCGCTGCCTTCATCATGCATGTTTTTACAAATTCACCCTCACTAAATGGTTTTGAAGCCACTGCGATTTCATTAGCAATGAGGTAGCTAGCTTTCACTGCAGCGTCACTGATGTCTCGGCTGTGAGTAAACACAGACTGCTGTTTCTTCAGACCCGCCAACAGTTCATTCACCTTCTCTCATCTCCGCTGTCCTTGAAAGTTGTCATATTTGTCGGCATGAAGACTCACATTGTGGCGACAAAGGTTATATTCTTTCAGCACTGCAACATGCTCTGAACACACCAAACATACAGCTTTCCCATTCAATTCCGTGAATAAATAGGATGACCATTTTTCTTGGAACACTGTGTCCACTTTTCTCTTTTTTGACAGAGACATATTGGGGCAATGAGGGTGCCAAAGCACAATGTTAAAAGTAGAAGCCGTAATAAATATCGCGGGCAAAACAAAGTAGATCATTGGCTGCACGTGCTTGACCTACTTGCTCTGCCCCGGTATAAACAGTTTGCTTGCTTAACACAATTGCTATTGCGCCATCCAGTGGACGCAATTGGAACAGCAGTTAATTTAATAGAAAAATTGCAGCGCATTTTTATACTTTACAATTGTTTATTTATTTATTTTTTTTGTGTTTTTTTAAATCATCTCGCGGGCCGGATTAAACCCGTTTGCGGGCCGGACGTTTGACACCCCTGGTGTAGGGGGTGGTTGGTTTCCCAAAATGACGTTTGGACCTGGAAAGGCGCTATTCAAAACCCCATCAGTTATAGTGTAAGTCTTGCTAACAGCCTTTGGCTGTATTAACAAGCCTTACATGTTTCTCTAACCAGGTAGCCTTGGGTCAAACTCCTAATAATAATTTAAAAAACAAATTGAGATAACCGAAGGTAATATAGCTCCAATGACTCATTTTTAGTTCAAACATGTAACGGACAGACTCAATCATCTGACGCTAATCGTTCAAACACTCGTTTCCGGAGGCCTAACAGACAGTGATACCGGTCCACTCACCTCTGAATCAGAGTCCATTTCGGTTCCACCGACAGGCTGAAATCACGAGTCTCCTGTGAAGGGAAAGAGATTCCGGTGCTGTCGGTAAAGTTAATGAAGTGGCAGGGGTTGAAGTAGGTAGGTAGGCTGCCAAAGGCCTAGTGGTATTTGTAGCATTCAGGTTGCATTACATACCAAGCAAGATGCGACACTGGCAGGTGGATTTTCTATAAACAATGCCTTTCAACGCCTATTTTGCACCTTTGAAAAGAATCCCCAACTATACAGTCAAGTACATCTACAAAGTTAGAATACCCTACTCACAACACGAATAATGTACCGGCACAAGTGGTCGTGTTTACACAAATGAATGCCCATGTAGTATTTTCAAAGGATTGACAATCTATAACCATTCTCTCTGGAATTTCTGAGCATTAAATCCAGACCTTTTTTGCATTAAATTGCACTGCCATAACGTAAAACGTTTAATTCCCTCACATCACTACACCTCTCAGAAGTCAAATATTTGATAGTTATCATTTTTATTTGAAAAGACAATACATGGAAATATGATACAAAAATACGTTTTAAAGCTAAAAAAAGAAGGAGACAAAAGACTTAAAAAAGCCAAAGAAGATGAGATGAAATAAAGACAAAGCATGATGAATCTCTGAACACCATGATGATTTAATGTACCAGGTCTACATGTAGGTGACCTATAACAGTAGTGGATACCAACCCATTGAACAGGGCTTAACGAATACAATTGCATCTTTAAATCATTACAAGGAGGTCAAATAAAACCATGAAGATTAGATTTTAAATCTCAAAAAGAAACAAAATGATTAAAACCCAAATTAGCACTATGTTCTAACTCAAATATAATATAACCTCTGGTGAAAGTATACTTGTATTTATTGCACATAAAAAAATTAAATGATTATTCTTGGCAGATTATGTCAAAAAGAAAACGTGTGTTTAGTATGATCATTCACATCTTCATCCTGAAGTTCATCTGTGGAGAGAGAGAGAAAAAAAACATGTTTTATTAGGGAGAGGAGAGGAACACCCCTACATTGGACAATCACCCAGACACCTAATGTGGGTAGCAGTTCTCCATTGATGAAATTAGCCAACTTTGTCAAACTTTAGAAGCAGTGCGTCCAAATGGTATGTAATTACATGGTCATGCAGGCTACATTACAGTCAAGTGTAATGTAGCAAACTGGGTACTTATGAAACACTTCCACCACAAAAACACACCACACTTCCCGGGGACCATCGGGTGATCTGAATAATATCAGCACCAGGAAACATTAGCGAGACAGCCCCCACGTTCACCGTGACACAACCCCCCCCCATGCAGACATGCCCCTGCAACACAGCCCAGTGTTAAAAAGAACCTGCTGAGTGAGAATCAGAACTGATAGAAAACCTGCTCAGATGAATCGGCTTTCCAACCAGCACCTCAGGTTCCTAAACACACACAGTACCTCTCTGTAGTTAAACACATGGTCTGATACGGGGGTGGGTCAAACAGCGCGTCCATTGTTGCTACAAATAATCTCGTATGCATATGATTGTACGCTGCTTGTCTGGAGTAAGGAAGCAATGTTCACCTTGCGTGCGCTGGTGGGGTTCTTTGGGGACTTGCTGCTGTTGGTCCGTGGGGACTTCCTCTGTGTCTTCCCTCCTGGCTGGGGGGATTTCACACTGCCGGCCCCACTGCGGGGAGACTTCACTTCTCCGGACCGTGGGACACGGGAGCTTTTGTTCCCTGGAGACTTGCGTGTGGCATGTCCTGGGGATTTACGTGTGGAGCTCCGGATCTTATTCATGCCTCTCTGTAGGAAGCCACTCTTGGAGGCTGCCTTATGGGGCGTGTTGTCAATGGAGAACACCATGGACTGTCTCCGCTCAGCCTGACAGACAGAGAGGATGGGTGGATGTTTGAGTTCTACTGTTTGGAGCATGCTAACAAATGTCCTACCACTACCATTGCTGCTAAGTAAACAAACCACATGTTAGAGTCTTGAGGAACAAAGAGAGATTTGGGGGGGGGGGACGGACGGACAGACGGACTCACAGGGCTAAGGGGCTGGCGGTTGTTGGATGAGCCGAAACGACCTCCTTTAGGGGTAAGAGGACGCGGGAAACAGCTGGTTGCCATCCTCTTAGCCTGAGAGAAGAGAATTCAGTAAATGTATAATTCAATAACAGGTTAAATGATTGAACCCCCACATTAACATCTACCCATTCTCCTTGTTTCCAACCTCCCCATCTATCTCTACCTCCCTCCATCTACCCCTTTCTCCCCCTCTACCTCAGGTGTGTCTGGTTCCTGGTCTTTGGCTGAGCGTTTGAGTGACAGGTTGCTCCCCCTGAGGTTGTGTGTGTTCTGGTTGTTTAGGGAACTGCTGGCTTTAGGTTTGGGGGGCATCAGTGAGAGGCGGTGGGAGCCGTAGGCTGGCCTGGTGGCTGTGCTGCTGTCGGTCTGTCCCTGGTAGAGGGAGAGCCGGTGGGAGGACAGAGACTCCTGAATCTGACCGGGCATCACAGAGGCCCTACGGATAGTCTCCGTGGGGTCGCCCATGCGCAGGTCGTCATCGGTGAACTCAAACGCCGGTCCCAGGCTGGGCTGCGGGGGGGGGCGGGGGGTTAGAGGTCAGAGGTCAGATGATTACAAGCAAAACATTTTTAGAGAAACTGACACAGATGGCAAGATGGAGAGTGAGTAACGGTGAGCTGGTGTGTGTGTGTGTGTGTGTGTGTGTGTGTGTGTGTGTACCCTGGACTCCAGAGGATAGCTGCTCTTTAGGTGCGGCAGACAGGACTGGTTTCTGGCCTGCAGCTCAGCGATGCGCATCCAGTCATCAGCAGCATGTTCTGGCTCATTCTCTGCCCCCACACAGAACTGGCCCGTGCCTACACAACGTGCAAAACATGAACACACACATATTGTAGTACCAACTCTGGGCCAATCGTCTCTCGGTGCCTCCTTGAATGTCTGATTGAACTGGGAGGCAGTGGAGAAGTGTCATAGGCTAAGGACAAGAGGTTAGTTGTAGACTGCATGTATGTTACATACTCTGTGGAGGTGCAACGTGGATGGTGCTTCGTCGGTATCCAGGGAGACTGAGGAGCTGATCGCTCAAGGCAACGGCAGGCTTTCCGGGGGTGTCGAAGATCTCCATGGAGAGAGGTCGTGCGGTGTGTGTTCCGGTGAGGTTGGGATGGGAGCGGGTGGAGGCCAGGCTGTAGAACGTCTCATTGTCACTATCCCCACCGGCTCCTCCGCGACCCGGGGTCTTCTTATTGGGGGAGAGAGGGGGAAGGAGGAGTCAACCATCTCACTCACTATGCTGCAATTCAGTGGTCTTCCTCAGCTGGTCGACCAACCTAAAAGACAGCTAGAGGTGCTACATGTGGGTCGAAAACCAAAAGTGGTACAGGGTGCTCCCAGGTATGTAGTGAGGGAGGGAGAGTGCGGTGAGAGAGCGAGGGAGGGAGAGAGAGTGCAGTGAGAGAGCGAGGGAGGGAGAGTGCAGTGAGAGAAAGCGTGCAGTGAGAGAGAGAGAGAGTGCAGTGAGAGAGAGAGAGAGTGCAGTGAGAGAGGGAGAGAGTGCAGTGAGAGAGAGAGAGAGTGCAGTGAGAGAAAGAGAGAGTGCAGTGAGAGAGAGAGAGAGTGCAGTGAGAGAAAGAGTGAGAGTGCAGGGAGAGAGAGAGTGAGAGTGCAGTGAGAGAGAGAGAGAGAACAGTGAGAGAGAGAGAGAGAACAGTGAGAGAGAGAGTGAGTGCAGTGAGAGAGGGTGAGTGCAGTGAGAGAGAGTGAAGTGAGAGACAGTGAGAGTGCAGTGAGAGAGAGAGTGAGAGTGCAGTGAGAGAAAGAGTGAGAGTGCAGTGAGAGAGAGAGAGAGAGTGCAGGGAGAGAGAGAGAGAGAGTGCAGGGAGAGAGAGAGAGTGTGCAGTGAGTGAGTGAGAGAGTGAGGGAGAGAGAGTGTGCAGTGAGAGAGGTGACCCAGTGCTCCCTCCACCTTGCTCATGGTGATGTTGATGACCTGGGTGGTCCTGCGGCGTCTGGCTGAAGAGGTGGGTGCTCTCTTCCTGGCTGAGTCCAGAGCCAGCTCTCCCAGAGACGTGATGCTGCTTTCTAACCGGCACTCGGTACTAGTCCTGGGGGAAACAACCATTATCAACCTAGCTCTTTATGGTGGCAGTATCAGTTAAACTAATGCTGCTGAACAGAAGTTATAAACCTACCTGTTGATCTGGCGGTTATTCATGGGGGTGAAGTAGAGCGTCTCCAGTGACTCCCCTCCCAGAGCACGACGTTTAGCAGCTACACGCTCCGAGCTACGCACCAGGGGAGTACTGGACTCCTCAGGCCCCGACGGCCTCCTACAGGGCAGGGAGAGAAGGAGATGAATAACAGTCACCTAGCTGCAAGGCAAGGTAAGAGGAGTTCGTAACAGAAGACAAGGCAAAAGGTGAGTTACGTGGTAATGTTGAGGGAGTCATCCAGGCTCAGGTCCAGGCTGTCTCCGCTGGTCTCCTGGTGCGTCTGGCTCTGGAGGACTTTCAGGTAGACACTCTCTCTACCCCCTCTCATCTTCTCAATCCTGCCTGGCCCCACCTCAGGTCGCACATGGCTCTGCTCCCGAAGGTGACGGTCAGCAAACGCCAGCTGTAAACATACAAATCATTTCAGTTTCATGTGAAGAGCAAGCTGACATACTGTATGGTAGAATGCATAATAAAAACAGGTTGAGGGGGTGGATACTGTGTGTACCTGTGCCTCCAAAGTGTTGACCTTGGAGCTGAGGCTCTTCTCCTTGCTCCTGGCCTTCTCCAGCTCCTTCTGCAGCAGCTTCTTCTCCGCGCTAACGGCACTGACCTCATGCTCTCTGACCTCCAGGCTGCGCTGCAGCTCCATCACTTGCTCCTGAGACTCGGCAAGCTGCTGCTTCTTCCCCGAGTAGTGGCTCTTGGCCTTCTCAACCTGGGAACACACAATAAGCCACACCTCAACCTCCAAATAATAATTATATCCACTGCCGGGGTGGGGTGGTGTGCGTTAGCTCAGAGATGTGTATGTGGTTGTGTGTTCACTGGTCAGACTCACCTGTGCTTTGTAGTGTTCCACTACCTCGGTGTTGGTAGCAAGTTGTTCCTGTAGCGCTCTGTTCTGCCTCTCCCACTCCTCTGTTCTCTCCATCTGTTCTCGCAGCGAGGCCAGTTCCTCCTGCAGTACAGCCTCCAGCCTCTGGGCAGCACTACATTTCATCTCCAGGACCTGGTTACCCTCCGTCAGCCTCTCCTTCTCCAGGAGCAGGGCATCCAGCTGTTGTCTCTGGCCACATTCTCTGCTCTCTGCCTGGGCTCGCAGCTCAGCCATGCTTTCCTCCAGCTCTCTCTGGGTCTGCTCTGCCTGGAGCGCCCGGGTTAGCAGAGCCTCCTCCATCAACTCCTTCTCCACCTGGCCTGCAGCCTGCATCTCCTCCTTCTGCCTGACTAGATCCTCCCTCATAGCAGCCTCCTGCTCTTCCAGGCTCTGCTGTAGCGCTGTAGCTCTCTGCTGATGGAAGGACACCTCCCCTCTCAGTGCCTCCCTCTCCTGGAGGGCTGCGGCCTCCACCTTCTGCAGCGCTCCCTTCTGTAGGGAGTTTTCCTCCTGCTGCTTGGCCAGCTGCACCTGTAAGGCAGTGTGCTCCTCTCTCAGGAGGCTCTCGCTCTCCCTCTTCACCTCCTTCAGATGGTTAACATGTGTGGAGATCTCCTGGCGGAGTTGGGTGGCCTCTTCTCTCAGGGTGCTGAGCTCCAGGTCCTTAGCTGCCTGGAGGGCCACCATCTCCAGAGTGGTCTCCTGCTGCTCCGCCTGCCTCTGCTCCAAGGACTGAGCTCTCTCCTGCTGGAGAGTTAATGCCTCTCTCAGCTCCTCCTGTTGCCTGGCCAGCTCCTCTCTCAGTGCCTCCTTCTCCCTCTGGGCCTCCTGCAGCACCTCATTCTGTAGGGAGTTTTCCTCCTGCTGCTTGGCCAGCTGCACCTGTAAGGCAGTGTGCTCCTCTCTCAGGAGGCTCTCGCTCTCCCTCTTCACCTCCTTCAGATGGCTAACATGTGTGGAGATCTCCTGGCGGAGTTGGGTGGCCTCTTCTCTCAGGGTGCTGAGCTCCAGGTCCTTAGCTGCCTGGAGGGCCACCATCTCCAGAGTGGTCTCCTGCTGCTCCGCCTGCCTCTGCTCCAAGGACTGAGCTCTCTCCTGCTGGAGAGTTAATGCCCCTCTCAGCTCCTCCTGTTGCCTGGCCAGCTCCTCTCTCAGTGCCTCCTTCTCCCTCTGGGCCTCCTGCAGCACCTCATTCTGTAGGGAGTTTTCCTCCTGCTGCTTGGCCAGCTGCACCTGTAAGGCAGTGTGCTCCTCTCTCAGGAGGCTCTCGCTCTCCCTCTTCACCTCCTTCAGATGGCTGACATGTGTGGAGATCTCCTGGCGGAGTTGGGTGGCCTCTTCTCTCAGGGTGCTGAGCTCCAGGTCCTTAGCTGCCTGGAGGGCCACCATCTCCAGAGTGGTCTCCTGCTGCTCCGCCAGCCTCTGCTCGAGTTGGGTGGCCTCTTCTCTCAGGGTGCTGAGCTCCAGGTCCTTAGCTGCCTGGAGGGCCACCATCTCCAGAGTGGTCTCCTGCTGCTCCGCCAGCCTCTGCTCTAAGGACTGAGCTCTCTCCTGCTGGAGAGTTAATGCCTCTCTCAGCTCCTCCTGTTGCCTGGCCAGCTCCTCTCTCAGTGCCTCCTTCTCCCTCTGGGCCTCCTGCAGCGCCTCATTCTGAAGGGAGATTCCCTGCTCCCTCTTAATTAGCTGCTCCTGTAAGGCGGTGGCCTCCTCTCGCAGAGTGCTGAACTGCAGGTCTTTAGCTGCTTGGAGGGCCTCCATCTTCAGAGTGGCATCCTCTCTGCTCATCTCCTGCTCCCTCAGTTCCCTCAGCGCAGCCTCCTGGTCCTCCAGGCTCTGCTGTAGCTCTGCAGCCCTCTGTTGATTGAGGGCCACCTCCCCTCTCAGAGCCTCCACCGCCTCCTTCTCCTGGAGGGCTGCAGCATCCTTCTGTAGGGACCCATCCTCCTGCTGCTGGACTAGCTGCTCCTTCAGCTCTCTAAGGGCCTCCTGCTTCTCCTCCAAGCTCTGCAGCAGCTCTGCAGCTCTCTGCTGATGGAGGGACACCTCCCCTCTCAGATCCTCCTGCTGCTTGGCCAGCTCCTCCTTTCCCCTCCGCACCTCCTCCAGATGGCTGACATGTGTAGAGATCTCCTGGCGGAGTCGAGTGGCCTCCAGTCTGGCGCTGTCCTCCTGCAGCCTCAGCTCTTCCACCAGTGATCCTCTCTGCTCCAGCTCCTGCTCCAGCCTCTCACACCTCTGTCTATTCACATCACTGTTCTGGACGGCTGAGTCCAGCAGCAGCTGTAGGGCTGACACACTCTTCTCCAGCTCCATACGTTTAGAGTCATGTTCCCTAGCCACCTCCCTCATCTCCTCAACTGCCAGGGCCTCCGCGGCACGCCTCCTCTCCACCTCCTCTTGCAGCGAGATTACTTCCTCCTTGAGTGAGGTCAGTTCTTCCTGTAGTTTCTGGGAGGCCAGAGAGGTGGAGGCTTGTAGCTCCTCCTCCAGCCCCCGGAGTCTCTCCTCCTTCTGTTTGAGGCTCTCCTCCTTCTCCTTGAGAGCTGCAGAGGTCTCCTCATTCCTCTCCTGGACCTTTTCCACCTGCTCCTTCACTAGCTGCAGCTGCTCCAACTGGGCAGTGTGCTCTTCTCTCAGGGCCTCCATCGCCTCCTTGTTTTGGAGGGTTCCCTCCTGACACACCTCCTTCAGCAGGGAGATCTGGTCCATCAGGCCAGCGAGCCGCTCTCTCACGTTACCGATTTCATTCTCCTGAGCTGCAAGCTCCTCCTGTAGCGCCTCCTGCTGTAAACTGTGCTCCTCTTGCTGCTTGGCTAGCTGCTCCTCCCTGGCCCTCACCTCCTCTCTCAGGCTGCTGAGCTCCAGGTCTTTGGCTGCAGCGAGGGACGAGGCAGTGGCTCTCTCTGTCTGGAGGGCCTCTATGTTCTCTGTGGCCTGGAGGAGAAGACACTCCTTCTCCCGCTGAGCCTCCTCCAGCCGGGCCATCTGTTCCCCCAGGCTCCTCACTTCCTCCTGGAGTCGTGAGAGCTCCTCCTCCACCACCGCCTCCTTCTCCCTGTGGGCTGCTGCCTGCGCCTCCTTTTCTAAGGAGATCTCCTCTTGCTGCCTAGCCAAGTGCTCCTGCAGAGCAGTGTGCTCCTCCCTCAGGCTGCAGAGGTCCGTAGCATGTGTAGTGATCTCCTGGTGCAGTCGAGTGGCCTCCTCTCTAACAGCCTCTTCCTGCTCCTTCAGCTCTCTTAATGCCTTCTCAGATGCAGCCACCTGCTCCTGTAGGACCTCCCTCTGTAGAGCGCTTTCCTGCTGCTGCTTGGTAAGCTGCTTCTCCTTAACCTGCACCTCCTCCTCAGCCCTCCTCAGCGAGGCACCCATGTTATCCACGTGGCTGGTCAGCTCCTGGATCTCCTCTCTGGCCTCCCTCTCCTGCTGCTCCATAGCCAGATTCAGCTCCCCTCTCTGCTTGCACTCCTCCTGCACCTCCTCCCCCAGCGCATGCACCTCCCGCTCCCTTTGTTGTACAGTCTGGGTAAGGCTGGCCACCTCAGCGGTCAGGGCATGAAGCTGGGCGGTCAGGGACTCTCTCTCCTCCTTGGAGGCCAGCTCCAGAGCCTCTCTGTCGGCCCGCAGAGCACTCAGGGCTTCCTGGAGCTCAGTCACCAGGATCTGCAGTCTCTGGCTCTCTGCCTGTAGCGAGGCCCTCTCCTGGGCATGCAGGGCGGCAGCCTGCTCCTTCTCCCCCTCCAGACGGGCGATGGTGCACTCACACTCTGAGTGCCTGAGGGTGGCATCAGCAAGCTCCTGTTTCAGCTGCTCCCACTGTGGGGGTAAACAGGGAAGGATGTGTGGTTAAAACAACCACTGAAACTTGGATGTAATGTAACCCTTGAACATTGTGATAATTGATTTAGCTTTAAGTATCTGGGTAAATGCTGACCTCCATGATAGGGCCCATGACTTCTCCTTTTTCCTGCAGCTTGGCTTTACTCAGCTCGTCCTCTAGAGAGGAGATCTTGCTCTGCAGGATCAGCATCTGTTCACTTAGAAACTCCTAACAGACATAAAAGAGCACATGAGTAAGAATGAAAAGAGACTGTAGAAAGAGCAAGCAAAAATTGAGATATTCTGGGCCTGTATTCATAAAGCATCTCCGAGTAGGTCCCCTCTGTCCATGTACATTTTACTAATTGTGTTCTAAAAAAGGCTAAAGTGATCCTAGATCAGAACTCCTACTCGGAGATGCTTTATGAATATGGGCCCTGGTCTTTAGGCCTCACCTTCTGAGCAGTGGCCCGGTTGAGTTCAGCCTGAAGGTGGCAGTGTCTGCTGCTCCACTCCCCCTGAGCAGAGTCCTGGGCTTCAGTCAGCCCGTCCACCTCAGCCTCAGCACTTGTCAACCGAGCAATCACTTCACGCATCTGACACACAGAAATGATGAGAGTTGTCAGTTAGTAACCAATTGCAATACCTTTAAAATTGATTAAATCCCCAAAGGCGGTGTATGGTCTTCATGACTGTTGATTTAAAAGGCTCAATGCAGCCATTTGTATCTCAAAATCAAATATTTTCTGGTAACAATTAAGTACCTTAAATGTTATTTTTGTCCAATTAAAAATGGTCAAAAATAGCTTATTAGCACAGAGCAATTTTTCAAGCAAGAATTTTGCTATGACTGTCTGGGAGTGGTCTGAGTGAGAGGCCTAATTGGACGAGCCTAATGGGATGGATATGTACTTCATCCCACCAAAACTGCCTGAAATTTCAGGCAGTCTTTTCAAACAGCATTATAATTTTCACAACCTCAGTGTGGAAATATATATAAAAACACAGGAAAATCAGATGTTTTCCTGCACTGGGCCTTGAAGAAAATGTGTAAAAGGAGAGTCCCTCACCTGGACAGAGAGGGTGCCATTCTCCTCTGTCAGATTATCCACCTTCCGCTCCATCTGAGATGAGTTAGTCTTTAACGCTTGGCACTCCTTCAGCACCTCATGGAGACGGGTCCGCAGCCTAATAGAGAGATAATGCAGTTATACACAGACACTTAGCATTATCTCAGCATGACCTTGACCCTCCTCTCTCCCTGCCTACCCCTCGTTCTTGCTGTGCAGTTGTTGTAGCTCATCCCGGGGCTCCTGCTCCTGCTCAGCCTGTTCCCTCAGCAGCTTCTCAATACGGTGCTGCAACTGGCAGATCTGACTCTCTACAGGAGGGAGAGGGAGCAGGAACAGTAAGAATCCAGAGGAAGTACCGGGTACATCGGACAGAGCCAGGAAGATGGGTACCTCTCTGGGTGAGGGTGGTGGCGCTGGTGGCCAGGTCTTTCTCCAGCTCATCCCTCATGTCTCTCTCCTGACGCAGCTGCCTCTGCAGCTTCTTCATCTGGAACTGTGGCGTGTTCATCACATCCTGCAGGGGAGAACTGCACAGGCAGGTGGGAGAACACAGGAAAACACACCGGTTACTCACATAGATCAGCAGTGTTCCCACCCAGCATACAGATCAGCAGAACAGCTGGCAAACATCAGCTGTTCTGGACTAGTAGCTCACTAGGGCTGTAGCTAGGACACCATAGGTGGGACACCAGAAGAGGAACGAGTGAGCACAAACAAAAACGAGGAGAGATGGGAGGGACAGAGAAATACCTGACAGACGAGGACGCAACCGTTTTTAGGTCCAGAAACTGAACTGAACCGATCTTCTTTCTGCGCTGGATGACTGGGGACTCATCATCGTTGAACGAGGAGGAGGAGGGGGTACTGGAGATGTCACTGTTGAAACTAAACAGGGCTGAGAGAGAAAGAGTGTGCTTGTTTCTGTTCTGCAACCATAAAGGTGAATTGTTGAATGTAACCTAAAACGTGCGTGAAGGCTTACGCTTCCTTCTTAGATATTTCTCCAAGTTCTCGCTCAAGTAGAGGCTATTCTCATTGTCCAAAACAAAGCGGAGCATGGAGGCAAGCTCAACCTTTAGGGAAGAAAACAGCAGTTAGTCACATCTATAGGGCAATAAAAAATAAATAAAAAATAAAGTGCCTTCATAAGTATGCCACTAAGAGCACGAGGACCCTCCTACCTCAAACTTGTATTCCAGTTGGTTCAGGTCAACATGGCTGTTGATCACACTATGGTAGTACAAGAGCACAAGCACCTGAGAAAAACACACCAAAGTATATATAAAACAGGTCACCCACGAGATCTCGGTTAGTGATGGGCTGAATCATATACAGGTACCCACTTTAGCACATTTCACAGTCTATACTGTATATTCTTATTGTGTATACATTTCCAAACATGACTATTGGTTTGATTTTTTACTACTAGATTTTTTTGTTCAATAAAATGTGTATTGCACTGTTGAGGAGAGCTTGCAATTAAGCATTTCACTGTACCGTTTACAACCTGTATCCTGTGCATGTAACCAATAAACTTTGCTCAAGTGTTTGGTCAAGTGTAGAGCGGAACACAATGCTGTGGACTCTGAGCATTCAATCCACCAACGCATGATGTATACTTGGCCTCTAGCTCAAATTTGGTTAGTGAATAAAACCCAGATGAATGACGCTGATACCTTCGATAACTCCACCTCCAGGTTTACGCCATTGCTGATGTTGTCCCAGGAGATGAGAGTTCCCCGTTCTGTGCTGCACCTGCAGTCACCTGGAAAAACATTGATAACAAGACTATTAGCCATGTGTCTGTGTGGGAAAACTACCCCCCCCATCATGACTACAAAACAGTTAGGCTTCGGAGGAGTGAGCAGTGAGTGTGACTCACCTTGCAGGAAGTCAGATACCACTTTCAGCCTCTCCTGGACATGCTGGTCCAGGTAGGACTGAGGAGGCTCCTCCTTTCTCCTGTCAGAATCACAGACGTCAATTATTAAAACAAGAAGTTACTACAGCAGAGAAAAAGCAAAACTCCCAAGTCAGCGAAATCCAGACTAGGACAAATATCTAAAAGTTCTAGGCTATTATGGAACATTGTTTTTACTCACAGTTTATAGACGAGCTTCATCAACAAAACGCCATCCTGTAAATTGTTGATGCTCCGCACCGGGAGGTCCACATTCAGGTGGTTAACCTGGTGACGAAAATGTATTACATTTAGCAAGGCATACAAAAACAAACTACTCAGCACTTATATTGGTAATGACCACAGAAAACAAAGTCGACTTACCCATTCCAACAGTGCATGCTCTTTATCAAGGTGAAGCACCATCTTTGCTGCTCACTAGATTATGGAAAACAGGAAGACATTCAGATAGCCATCAGTATCAATTATTCCACTGTATGGAAGAAACAAGAATGCACACGTGCAGCGAGCGCTCAGTCTAAGAAGCTAGCTTGCTATCATAAGCTATCAGCAACTACATGACCAAATGTATGTGGACACTTGCTCGTCAAACATCTCATTCCAAAATCATGGGCATTAATATTACGGAGTGTTCTGGGAAGGCTTTTCACTAGATGTTGGAACATTGCTGCCGCTTGTGAGGTCGGACAGTGATGTTGGGCGATTAGGCCTGGCTCGCAGTCGGCGTTCCAATTAATCCCAAAGGTGTTCGATGGAGTTGAAGTCAGGGCTCTATGCAGGCCAGTCAAGTTCTTCCACACCAATCTCAACAAACCATTTCTGTATGGAACTCGCTTTGTGCACGGGGGCACTGTCATGCTAAAACAGGAAAGGGCCTTCCCCTAACTGTTGCCACAAAGTTGGAAGTACAGAATCATCTAGAATATGCTGTAGAGCTAAATATTTCCCTTCACTGGTACTAAGGGGCCTAGGCCAAACCATGAAAAACAGCCCCAGACCATTATTCCTCATCCACCAAACTTTACAGTTGGCACTATGCATTGGTGCAGGTAGTATTTTCCTGGCATCTGTCAGATTGCCAGATGATGAAGCCTGATTCATCACTCCAGAGAAGGCGTTTCCACTGCTCCAGAGCTTTACACCACTCCAACAGACACTTGGCATTGCGCATGGTGATCTTAGGCGCAACTAGTCGGCCATGGAAACCCATTGCCTGAACCTCCCGACGAACAGTTATTGTGCTGACATTGCTTCCAGAGGCAGTTTGGAACTCGGCAGTGAGTGTTGCAACCGAGGACAGACGATTTTTACGCGCTCCCGTTCTGAGAGCTTGTGTGGCATACCACTTAGCGGCTGAGTTAGTCCTAGACGTTCCACTTCACAATAACAGCACTTACAGTTGACCGGGGCAGCTCTAGCAGGGCAGAAATTTGACGAACTGACTTGTTGGAAAGGTTGCATCCTATGACCGTGCCACGTTGAATGTAGCTCAGTTGATGTAGCTCAGGGATGTAGTTCAGTTGGTAGAGCATGGGGTTTGCAATGCCAGGGTTGTGGGTTTGATTCCCACGTGGGGCCAGTATGAAAAAAAAGAAGAAAAAAAAGGATGTATGCACTCACTAACTGTAAGTCGCTCTGTATAAAAGCGTCTGCTAAATGACTAAAATGTAAAAATGTTGAACGTCACTGAGTTATTCAGTAAGGCCAATGTTTGTCTATGGAAATTGCAGGCTGTGTGCTCGATTTTATACACCCGTCAGCAACAGGTGTGGCTGAAATAGCCGAATCCACTCATTTGAAGGGGTGTCCACATACTTTTGTATACTGTATATAGTGTAGCTATTTAGTTAACGTTATTAGCTACCTACAGATAAAGTAGCTAGCTTGACTTTGACATAGGTTACTATAGAGATAGCTACTTAGAGAAAGGAATCTCTGGTTACTACCTAACGGCTAGCTAGCTACTCCCAGTGCTAACGTTAGCTACTAGCTAACACTGGCAGTGGGACTAGTAAACTAAAACGTTATCGTAGCATGTTAATTCAACCATTATTAACGAGCAGAAATATGTCTTACCTTTGCAATTAGCTAGCTATATGTAGAAATCATTTATCAATTCCGTCTCGAAAAAAAAAAATCTAGCAAGCACCCGCTTAACAAAACAACTTTGTGTTTCGAACTCCAAGTCTACTTTCGAAGTGCCAACAAGTCTACGCTTTCAAATTTCGGCGCTGGTGATTATCAAGCCTTCCTATTGGATCCTTCAGAGCTGCAAGACGCCAATTGGTTATTTGTGCAAAACTCGCCATTTTGTGAGCCAATAAAGATTTACTGTAGTTTTCAGTTAATAAGTTCTTATGGATAAAACATTAATAGTAATTCGTCAAACCTATACACTATTCTATTTTAAGGGAACATTTCAGAACATTATTCAACGGGTTTTCTGCAACAATGTACAATTTAATAAATAAATAAAAGGAAATATTAAACTACAATTCCCACATTCCAAAGACTCGTCTCCTTGGAAACAGGCTGTTGTAGTGTAGTTCTCGCTCATTGTGATGAAAATACAAACAAGTATCTTGCACATGATAGCTAGCGAGCTTTGTGTGTGGGTTTTTAGGGGTAAGTTAGCTAAATTATGTTGCATGCATTTTAGGCAGAAATCTAGTTCTTTATGAAGAAAGGTAGCTATCTCATTGTGTATTGTATGCCTTGAACAGAGACAGAGATAAAGTCAAGTGAATAGACGTTGTTTGAGATGTAGCTAACTTAGCAGTAACGTTAACGTTAGCATGGACAAAATAGCTAGGCTAAGTGCAAAGATGATTCAGGATACCTCTTTTCAACTAGCTGGAATTTTTTTGCTATATTCAAATATTATATTTATCATCATACAGGTTAGCCAACGGGCTGTAAAATGTATGGAGCTCCTGTGGATTTATCATTCAAATGCCTCAGCTCAATGACAGGTAAACCAGCAACAGTTATTTCACATGACTATTAATGCAGATGAAGGAAAGGAAGCCACTATTGAGATGCAATTCAGAGCGTTGTACTTCTTCCTCAACACTCTCTACCAGTGAAGGCTGCTGAGGGGTGAACGGCTCATATTAATGGCTGGAATGGAGTCAATGGAATGGTATCAACCACATGGAAACCACGTTTGATACCACTCCGTTGACTCCATTCCAGACATTATCATGAGCCGTCATCCCCTCAGCAGCCTCCACTGCTCTCTACCCTCTTTTCTGGCTGTCTCAAAACAGTCATGGCTTCCTTTCCAATTCTCAGTGCCACCTCTAAGGCCTCTCACACACATCTCCTCTCTCTCTCTCACACACATCTCCTCTCTCTCACACACCTCCTCTCTCTCTCTCAGATGCTCTGATGGAGGAGCCAAATCAGGGCTTGCGGCCACTGAAGCGAAATGCAGAGAAGAAGTTCTGCAGCCGCTCGCTGCGTCTCAACAACAACATCATCACAGACTTGAGTGGCTTCAATAATACGGTCTCAGCCTTCCTCTCAGAGCCCTCACAGCTCGCCTGGGTCGACCTGTCCTTCAACGACATCTCACACGTAGACTCAGTGAGTTGAGTTCACACGGTCACGTACACACAGTGGCTCTGGTCAAAAGTAGTTCACTATATAGGGGATATTGTGTAATTTGAGACAAGTCTACTGGCTCCCTGAATGGACGCCACCTGGTAGGGTGGTAAAATGAAGGGCTCTAGTACATTATTAGTGATCACCTTAAAGCCTGTGTGTGTGTGTGTGTGTGTGTGTGTGAACTTTGTGTCCAAGGTCCTGGTGGAGCTGAAGGAACTGCGGGTGTTGTATCTCCATGGTAACAGCATCTGTAACCTTTCGGAGGTGGATAAGCTGGGCGTCCTGCCCTTCCTACATACACTCACCCTGCACGGCAACACCATGGAGAACGAGGGGAGCTACAGGTACACACACACACTTAGCACTACAGGGATTCAATGAGAAAGGTGAGGACAGCTGCCAAACTCAAATCATACGCACACATATACGCAAACACAGGCCGGCACCGATGCGCCTCCCCTTAGCCCCACATGGGGGGTGGGATGGGTTACGGGGGGGTTTATTCCACTCATACTCTTACGGTGATCTCAATGTGCTGTCTGAATGCTGTCTGTCTGTTCGCAGAGGCCTATAGGGCTCTGAACCCTATGTGTAACAGGTGCTGAGTTACAGTTTCAGCTGCGTAGCATTCTGACAGGTGCTTCAAATGAGCAGAGATATCCTGTTACACACCGGCTCTCTGCCTTGCCTGTCTGCATAGCAACACGGCAAACTCCTACTGAGTTTTGAGCATTCTCCCTCTCAGCTCAGTGCTAAATTACTATTACTGTAAAATTACTATTACTTTAATTACTGTAAACTATACTGGTTTACAGTATACAGTGCCTTCGGAAAGTATTCAGACCCATTGACTTTTTCCACATTTTATTATGTTACAGCCTTATTCTAAAATTGATGAAATTGTTTATTTCCATCATCAATCTACACACAGTACCCCATAATGCCAAAGCAAAAACAGGTTTTTAGAAATCTTTGCAAATGTATATAAAAAAGTAAAAATAAAAAGGAAATATCACATTTACATAAGTATTCAGACCCTTTACTCAGTACTTTGTTGAAGCACCTTTGGCAGTGATTACAGCCTCAAGTCTTCTTCGGTATGACACTACAAGCTTGGCACACCTGTATTTGGGGAGTTTCTCCCATTCTTCTCTGCAGATCCTCTCAAGCTCTGTCAGGTTGGATGGGGAGCGTCGCTGCACAACTATTTTCAGGTCTCTCCAGAGATGTTCGATCGGGTTCAAGTCAGGGCTCTGGCTGGGCCACTCAAGGACATTCAGAGACTTGTCCCGAAGCCACTCCTGCGTTGTCTTGGCTGTGTGCTTAGGGTCGTTGTCCTATTGGTAGGTGAACCTTCGCCACAGTCTGAGATCCTGAGTGCTCTGGAGCAGGTTTTCATCAAGGATCTCTGTACTTTACTCATCTTTCCCTTGATCCTGACTAGTCTCCCAGTCCCTGCCGCAGAAAAACATCCCCACAACATGATGCTGCCACCACCACCATGCTTCACCATAGGGATGGTGCCAGGTTTCCTCCAGACGTGACGCTTGGCATTCAGGCCAAAGAGTTCAATCTTGGTTTCATCAGACCAGAGAATCTTTTTTCTCATGGTCTGAGAGTCCTTTAGGTACCTTTTAGCAAACTCCAAGCGGGCTGTCATGTGCCTTTTACTGAGGAGTGGCTTCTGTATGGCCACTCTACCATAAAGGCCTGATTTAATAGAGTGCTGCAGAGATGGTTGTCCTTCTGGAAGGTTCTTCAATCTCCACAGAGGAACTCTGGAGCTCTGTCAGAGTGACCATCGGGTTCTTGGTGACCTCCCTGACCAAGGACCTTCTCCCCAGAATGCTCAGTTTGGCCGGGCGGACAGCTCTAAGAAGAGTCTTGGTGGTTTCAAACGTCTTCCATTTACGAATGATGGAGGCCGCTGTGTTCTTGGGGACCTTCAATGCTGCAGAAATGTTTTGGTACCCTTCCCCAGATCTGTGCCTTGACACAATCCTGTCTCGGAGCTCTACGGACAATTCCTTTTACCTCATGACTTGGTTTTTGCTCTGTACTGTCAACTGTGGGACCTTATATAGACAGGTGTATGCCTTTCCAAATCATGTCCAATCAATTTAATTTACCACAGGTGGACTCCAATCAAGTTGTAGAAACATCTCAAGGATGATCAATGGAAACAGGATGCACCTGAGCTCAATTTCGAGTCTCATAGCAAAGGGTCTGAATACTATAAGGTAAATAAGGTATTTCTGGTTTTTTATTTGTCATAAATTTGCAAAAGAAAATCTAAAAACCTGTTTTCACTTTGTCATTGTGGGGTATTGTGTGTAGATTGATGAAGAAAAAACGTAATTTAATCAATTTTAGGATAATGCTTTAATGTAATAAAATGTGGAAAAAGAGAAGGGGTTTGAATACTTTCCAACTACAGTTGAAGTCGGAAGTTTACATACACTTAGGTTGGAGTCATTAAAACTTGTTTTTCAACCACTCCACACATTTCTTGTTAACAAACTATAGTTTTGGCAAGTCGGTTAGGACATCTACTTTGTGCATGACACAAGTCATTTTTCCAACAATTGTTTACAGACAGATTATTTCACTTATAATTCACTGCATCACAATTCCAGTGGGTCAGAAGTTTACATACACTAAGTTGACTGTGCCTTTAAACAGCTTGTAAATTTCCAGAAAATGATGTCATGGCTTTAGAAGCTTCTGATAGGCTAATTTACATCATTTGAGTCAATTGGAGGTGTACCTGTGGATGTATTTCAAGGCCTACCTTCAAACGCAGTGCCTCTTTGCTTGACATCATGGGAAAATCAAAAGAAATCAGCCAAAACCTCAGAAAAGAAATTGTAGACCTCCGCAAGTCTGGTTCATGCTTGGGAGCAATTTCCAAACGCCTGAAGGTACCACGTTCATCTGTACAAGCAATAGTACGCAAGTATAAACACCATGGGACCACGCAGCCATCATACCGCTCAGGAAGGAGACGCGTTCTGTCTCCTAGAGATGAACGTACTTTGGTGCAAATCAATCCCAGAACAACAGCAAAGGACCATGTGAAGATGCTGGAGGAAACAGGTACAAAAGTATCTATATCCACAGTAGAATGAGTCCTATATCGACATAACCTGAAAGGCTGCTCAGCAAGGAAGAAGCCACTGCTCCAAAACCGCCATAAAAAAGCCAGACTATGGTTTGCAACTGCACATGGGGACAAAGATCGTACTTTTTGGAGAAATGTCCTCTGGTCTGATGAAACAAAAATAGAACTGTTTGGCCATAATGACCATCATTATGTTTGGAGGGAAAAGGGGGTAGCTTGCAAGCCGAAGAACACCATCCCAACCGTGAAGCACGGGGTGGGAGCATCATGCTGTGGGGGTGCTTTGCTGCAGGAGGGACTGGTGCACTTCACAAAATAGATGGCATCATGAGGAAGGAAAATTATGTGGATATATTGAAGCAACATCTCAAGACATCCGTCAAGAAGTTAAAGCTTGGTCACAAATGGGTCTTCCAAATGGACAATGACCCCAAGCATACTTCCAAAGTTGTGGCAAAATGGCTTAAGGACAACAAAGTCAAGGTAATGGAGTGGCCATCACAAAGCCCTGACCTCAATCCTGTAGAAAATATGTGGGCAGAACTGAAAAAGCGTGTGCGAGCAAGGAGGCCTACAAACCTGACTCAGTTACACCAGCTCTGTCAGAAGGAATGGGCCAAAATTCACCCAACTTATTGTGGGAAGCTTGTGGAAGGCACCCGAAACGTTTGACCCAAGTTAAACAATTTAAAGTCAATGCTACCAAATACTAATTGAAGTGTATGTAAACTTCTGACCCACTGGGAATGTGATGAAAGAAATAAAAGCTTAAATAAATAATTCTCTCTACTATTATTCTGACATTTCACATTCTTAAAATAAAGTGGTGATCCTAACTGACCTAAGACAGGGAATTTTTACTATGATTAAATGTCAGGAATTGTGAAAAACTGAGTTTAAATGTATTTGGCTAAGGTGTATGTAAACTTCCGACTTCAACTGTATGTGTTCAGCCCTGGAGCCTTATGGTAAAAAGAAAACAGAAGTTTGTGTACATGGACAAACATCCAGTTATAAGAACCCATCTGTGTGTGTGTGTGTGTGTGTGTGTGTGTGTGTGTGTGTGTGTGTGTGTGTGTGTAGGGGGTATGTGATTGCGGCTCTGCCTCACTTGAAGAGGTTGGACTTCAGCACTGTAACACGGCAGGAGCGAATCATGGCCCAGGTCTGGCATCGCCCCGGAAACCGTGGCAAAAACACCAGGAAGAACCAGGACGACTGACCTGTCACCACAGAAACGGAGGGAGGGGGGACACAATCGTCATGCCAACCAACCAAAGGGTTCCAGAACCACAGGCTTACATCAGGCCTTATGACTAAAGCATCATGTAAAAGTACAATATTAATCTACTCACCAGAAACTCTGTCTGGTGTCTGTCTGAGAGTTGGGGAGAATGAATAGTACATCTACAGTAGTAATTAGGATGTTCCTGACCTCTTTGTGACCTTGACCTGCATAATTATTGAACTGGAACTGTGGTTATCCAGGCTAAAGGAATAGAGACCTCTCAATCAAACTCTCCAATATGCACCTTTGTACACTGAGCAAAAATATAAACGCAACATGCAACAATTTCAAAGATTTTACTGAGTTTACAGTTCATATAAGGAAATCAGTCAATTTAAATAAATTCATTAGGCTCTAATCTATGGATTTCACATGACTGGGAATATAGATATGCATCTGTTGGTCACAGATACCGTAAAAAAAAGGTACGGCCGTGAATCAGAAAACCAGTCAGTATCTGGTGTGAGCACCATCTGCCTCATGCAGCGTGACACATCTTATTTGCATAGAGTTGATCAGGCTGTTGAATGTGGCCTGTGGAATGTTGTCCCACTCCTCTTCAATGGCTGTGCGAAGTTGCTGGATACTGGCGGGAACTGGAACACGCTGTCGTACACGTCGATCCAAGCATCCCAAACATGCTCAATGGGTGATATGTCTGGTGAGTATGCAGGCCATGGAAGAACTGGGACATTTACAGCTTCCAGGAGTTGTGTAAAGATCCTTGCAACATGGAGGCGTGTATTATGCTAAAACATGAGGTGATGGCGGCGGAAGAATAGCATGACAATGGGCCTCAGGATCTCGTCACGGTATCTCTGTGCATTCAAAATGCCATCAATAAAATGCAATTGTGTTCGTTGTCCATAGCTTACGCCTGCCCATACCATAACCCCACCACCACCGTGGGGCACTCTGTTCACAACGTTGACATCAGCAAACCGCTCATCCACATGATGCTATACACGCTGTCTGCCACCTGCCCGGTACAGTTGAAGCCGGGATTCATCCGTGAAGAGCACACTTCTCCAGTGTGCCAGTGGCCAACAAAGGTGAGCATTTTCCCACTAAAGTCGGTTCCGACGCCGAACTGTAGTCAGGTCACGACCCTGGTAAGGACGACGAGCACGCAGATGAGCTTCCCTGAGATGGTTTCTGACAGTTTGTGCAAACCCACATTTTCATCAGCCCTCTGGATGACAGGTCTCATACGATCCCGCAGGTGAAGTAGCCGGATGTGGAGGTCCTGGGCTGGCGTGGTTACACGTGGTATGCGGTTGTGAGGCCGGTTGGACATAATGCCACATTTTCTAAAACGACATTGGAGGCGGCTTATGGTAGAGAAATGAACAATAAATTATCTGGCAACAGCCCTAGTGGACACTCCTGCAGCATGCCAATTGCACGCTCCCTCAAAATGAGACATCTGTGGCATTGTGTTGTGTGACAAAACTGCACATTTTAGAGTGGTCTTTTATTGTCCCCAGCACAAGGTGCACCTGTGTAATGATCATGCTGTTTAATCAGCTTCTTGATATGCCACACCTGTCAGGTGGATGGATTATCTTGACAAAGGAGAAATACTCACTAACAGGGGTGTAAAAAAAAAAATTGGTGCACAAAATTTGAGCGAAATAAGCTTTTTGTGGGAATGGAACATTTCGGGGATTTTTTATTTCAGCTCATGGGACCAACACTTTACATGTTGCGTTTATATTTGTTCAGTATAGGTGTGTTACTTTGTGTTGAAATATGGATCTGAGAATGTACACTTTACCACGTGAATCAGTAGGTATGAGACATACTGGAGAATCCCTATCATGGTAAATAACATCTTAGAAAGTGTTTTTAAATTATATCCATTCGTTACGGTACAAATACTAAATGAGATGTGATTCAGTGTTCATTAGGTGTGTTGCAATGTTACCCCACACAATTCTCTCTATACAGTGCTACAGAACACCAGTCATTGTTGAAAGTCTTTAGTGCATTACATAATTAAATGGGGGGGGGGGGGTTAACAGAATATCTTAAACGTTTTGGTACTAGCCTAAGAAATTAACAATGTAATCCTGGTAATATTACACATTGAAGTAACAAAACAAAAACATACTTAGCGTTCTAAGTACACTGCAAAAAGCCCAAATTAAAGGTCTTGTGGACACAGCCTTCCAGATCATCCCTTTAAAGACCCCAGAGAGGCACCCACACACACCCCGCCACAGAGCATAAATACACTTGAAACATAAATAAATAAATCACAATAACACCTCTGACAGTTTTAATTTAGAGGATACTCACAGGTTATGGTTGTTTATCCCAAACTGCCATGATAGCTGTTATTTTCTGGTTAATGTGAGTAACTCGTCACAATCTGTTTTGTTTAAAAATCTAACAAACTTGGGTGTTAAAAGGGTTATTGTGTCATAAAAACTGGGCTACTGTATCCTTAGTTTTGATTGGCTCCTAAAACCGCCTCATTGGAGCTTTAGCCAATCCTGACCAACAGATGCTCTACAAAGGGGAGGTGCATACAATCCATTTCTTGCTTCTGACTGAGTCAAAAATCTGTACATAGAAGGCATAAACACTTAACTGATTCATTTACATTACAAGCCCCTGAACACTACCCACCCACCCAGATCCCCGCCCTCACTCTAAGCCCCGCCCCCATCTATTGTTTCTGTGAAATATAAAAGATATGAATCCAAGGACTGCCAGCTAAATGATTAAAGTGCTTAGAGGAAGGATGTTTCTCCATGTGGATTCCCACACCTGTCCCCTACCATCACCAGCAGAACACAAAGCAAGACTCACACGGGGTCATGTCGGATTTGACCTTAGATACTATAGTTGAACGAAGTCCCTGCTGTTTTTAAACCAACCCAACCCAGTTCTGTCTTACTACATTAGGTCAATCTAAGGATTCTAACAAAGATAAGGAAAACTATAGTGAGGGCTATTTGTAGATATTTGTATTGATGACATGAAGGGTGGGATGCGTGTTCTGGGTGACGGGTCCACACAGTGTCAGAACAACAGCATCCCCATGCTCACTATAGTGGGTTGGTTGGCTGGCTGTGGACATCTTTTTTTGTCCTGTTCCTGTGCTACATTTGGACGTGTGGTAAATCACCCTCTTTTCCTAGCTGTGGTTGGTTAGTACGTTACCGTAGCTGCATATCAGACAAGGCTAGCTACTCCTGAAAACGCAGAGCCAGAGCAGCCTAGCCAACCATTTATTCATTCATTAGAAGCAGTCACTCTTCAAACAAGACATTTTAAAATAACAAAAACAAAAAGGACAGCCATTATCGTTATACCGTGATGAGAGAGTTTAAAAATTCCTTGACGGCTGGTGAAGGAAGGATGAATGGTGGCTTTGAAAGGTGGTTCTGAGGGGTGCAGGGCAAGGGGGGGGGGGGGGGGGTTGGTTAACCCTTTCAGCAGGGGAGTTGTCATAGTTCTCAGCTGTAGCAGCAGGTTGCTAGTGCCATAGCTGGGTAGCACAAGGACTGGGACACAGAGTCGGGCACGGGGGACGGGACGGGGGGATAATTATGGATACCAGAGGCCAGATGGCAGATCAGGGGATGGCAAATTGAACCACTAGCTCTTCTTTAGCATCCACCTTGATCTGAGAGATTGCACTGTAAGCATAGGCAGCTATCTTGGACACCTGTAAATCAAAATCAGAACAAAATAGGTTAACATGCATCAATTAGCTACATAATGTGTTTGTTTGTTTTTTAGCTCCAGAGCTGCCATACACTAACAGGTGCCATTCTCAGACGTACACTACCAGTCAAAAGTTTGGACACACCTACTCATTCAAGGGTTTTTCTTTATTTTTACTATTTTGTACATTGTAGAAATACATAAAAACTATGAAATAACGCATATGGAATCAAGTAGTAACCCAAAATAAATTTATATTTGAGAATCTTCAAATAGCCACCCTTTGTCTTGATGACAGCTTTGCACACTCTTGGCATTCTCTCAACTAGCTTCACCTGGAATGCTTTTCCAACAGTTTTAAAGGAGTTCCCACATATGCTGAACACTTGTTGGCTGCTTTTCCTTCACGCTCCGGTCCGACTCATCCCAAATCATCTCAATTGGGTTGAGGTGGAGGGATTCTGGAGGCCAGGTCATCTGATGCAGCACTCCATCACTCTCCTCCTTGGTGAATTAGCCCTTACAAAGCCTGGAGGTGTGTTGGGTCATTGTCCTGTTGAAAAACAAATGATAGTCCCACTAAGCCCAAACCAGATGTGATGGCGTATCGCTGCAGAATGCTGTGGTAGCCATGCTGGTTAAGTGTGCCTTGAATTCTAAATAAAATCACAGACAGTGTCACCAGCAAAGCACCCCCACACCATAACACCTCCTCCTCCATGCTTTACGGTGGAAAATACACATGCAGAGATCATCTGTTCACCCACACCGCGTCTCACAAAGACACGGCGGTTGGAACCAAAAATCTCAAATTTGGACTCTAAACCAATGGACATATTTCCACCGGTCTAATGTCCATTGCTCGTGTTTCTTGGCCCAAGCAAGTCTCTTCTTATTATTGGTGTCCTTTAGTAGTGGTTTCTTTGCAGCAGTTCGATCATGAAGGCCTGATTCACACGGTCTCCTCCAAACAGTTGATGTTGAGATGTGTCTGTTACTTGAACTCTGTGCAGCATTTGTTTGGGCTGCAATTTCTGAGGCTGGTAACTCTAATGAACTTATCCTCTGCAGCAGAGGTAACTCTGGGTCTTCCATTCCTGTGGCGGTCCTCATGAGAGCCAGTTTAATCATAGCGCTTGATGGTTTTTGCGACTGCACTTGAAGAAACTTTCGAAGTTCTTGAAATGTTCCGTATTGACTGACCTTCATGTCTTAAAGTAATGATGGACTGTCATTTCTCTTTGCTTATTTGAGCTGTTCTTGCCATAATATGGACTTGGTCTTTTACCAAATAGGGCTATCTTCTGTATACCCCCCCCCCTACCTTGTCACAACACAACTGATTGGCTCAAACGCATTAAGAAGGAAAGAAATTCCACAAATTAACTTTTAAGAAGGCACACCTGTTAATTGAAATGCATTCCAGGTGACTACCTCATAAAGCTGGTTGAGAGAATGCCAAGAGTGTGCAAAGCTGTCATCAAGGCAAAGGGTGGCTACTTTGAAGTATCTCAAATATAAAATATCTGTTGATTTGTTTAACACTTTTTTGGTTACTACATGATTCCATATGTGTTATTTAAAAGTTTTGATGTCTTCACTATTATTCTACAATGTAAAAAATAGTAAAAATAAAGAAAAACCCTTTAATGAGTAGGTGTGTCCAAACTTTTGACTGGTAGTGTACGTCTGAGAATGGCACTGTGTGTGTGTGTTAGGGGTGTAACGGTACACATATTCGTACCGAACCGGTCTGGGACCTCAGTTCGGTCCACACTGTGAATCCAAATGAATACATAACATAAAAAGAAATAAATAAAACTAGGCATATTAGCTATGCCTACGCTGCGTTGTATGCCTCGAGTAAATCGGAGCTGAAAATAACATTTCAGGCTAATCCGTTAAAACAACTAGAGCCTATGTGCATGTTGTAATCAAAATTCAAATCTTAACTGTCCTTTTGTGAGGCACAGCCAGGAACTAGTTCTGTACGATGGCGAGTGGGGGGTCCATAAACCCGGAGGATTCTCCATCATCGTATATATATCCAGTTTGGGAACATTTTGGTTTCCCAGTAGATTACAACGGTGATGGACAGAGAGAGTATGTTGCCACTGCTCAACGAGAACAGCCTATGCAGCTCCCAACACCTCAAACATGTTGACACATTTACACCGACATCACCCCAGTATTCCTACCACCGGCGCAAGACCGCAACGCAAAAAAATACCCAACTTCATCTCCCCTCAGCATTCAAGCAGCCCTTTGCAGCTGATTCTGACCGAGCCAAATAAATTACAAGAGCGGTAGGTATGTTTATAGCCGTGGATATGCACCCATTCTCTGTGGTGGAGAAGAATAAGGGGTTTCAGCACCTCGTCAAAGTGCTCGAGCCACGTTACGAACTTCGCCCTCTTGCACCCATTTCAGCAAACAGGTAGTAACCACTCTACATCAGCAAGCTAAAGCCGAAGTTGTCAATAAATTGGCCAATCAAATGTTATTTGTCACATGCGCCGAATACAACAGGTGTAGACTTTAACGTGAAACAGCCTACCCTCACCACATGGGGGCGGCCCGTCAGGAATTCCAGGATCCAGTTGCAGAGGGGGGTGTTTAGTCCTAGGGTACTGAGCTTAGTGATGAGCTCAGCGTCACAATGGTGTTGAACGCTGAGCTGTAGTCAATGTACAACATTCTCACATAGGTGTTCCTCTTATCCAGGTGGGAGAGGGCAGTGTGGAGTGCAATAGAGATAGCGTCATCTGTGGATCTGTTGGGGGCGGTATGCGAATTGGAGTGGGTCCAGGGTGTCTGGGTTGATGGTGTTGATGTGAGCCATGACCAGCCTTTAAAAGCATTTCATGGTTACAGAAGAGAGTGCTACGGGGCGATAGTCATTTAGACAGGTTACCTTGGCGTTCTTGGGCACAGGGACTATGGTGGTCTGCTTGATACATATAGGTATTACAGACTGGGTCTGGGAGAGGTTGAAAATGTTAGTGAAGACACTTGTCAGCTGGTCAGCACATGCTCAGAGTACGCGTCCTGGTAATCCGTCTGGCCCCGCAGCCTTGTGAATGTTGACCTGTTTAAAAGGTCTTGCTCACATCGGCTACGGAGAGCAAGATCACACAGTCGTCCGGAACAGCTGGTGCTCGCATGCATGGTTCAGTGTTGCTTGCCTCGAAGTGAGCATAGAAGGTATGTAGCTCGTCTGGTAGGGTCGCGTCACTGGGCAGCAGCTCGTGGCTGGGTTTCTCTTTGATCGTTTGCAAGCCCTGCCACATCCGACGAGTGTCAGAGCCAGTGTAGTAGGATTCGATCTAAGTCTTGTATTGATGGCTCATCAGAGGCACCTTGTGTTGTGCGTCCTACAGATGGATGGACCTCCAGGGCTACAGAGAGCTACTTAGCAGTGACAGCCCATCACATTACCCCGGAGTGGGAAATCAAGTACTGTTAAGTAGCTCTCTTTATGAGAGTCGCACAAGTATGCATCTTTTTCTCTTTGTAAGAAAACATTATAGCATAGGTCTATACAATGTCTGAGCCATGTCTACATATTGATTCAACACGCATATTGCACTTTATTTTAGTGTTGTTGTTGCGTAATCGGGAGTTTTCATTTAAGAAAATACAAAGTGTTGTTATTCCTGATTGTGCTCATCAGGCATTATACGACTCATGATCATATGGAATCAGGAATACCAACACTTTGTATTTTCTTAAATAAACAAAAATTAACTAGAGTAACTGTTGGCATTTCATTTTCCTGCTGTACCGAAACCGAACAGTGACCCCAAAACCGCAATACGTACCGAACCGTGGGTTTGGTGAACCGTTACACCCCTAGTGTGCGTGCATGCGTGCGTGCGTTCACCTGTTGTACATCAGAGTATGGCACCAGATCGCTAGCAAGCACTTGGTGTGGCTGGCTGGTGAGGGAAGGGAGAGGCTTCTTCTGAGACAGACTGTTACTCAACAAGGCCAGTTTTGTACTGAAACACACAATAAAGACAGGTTAGTACTGAAACACATGAACAAGGCCAGTCAAAACCCACTCCAAAACACAAGACACATTAAGCAACTACCTCCACACACCCACCTGTATTGCCGAGCTTTGTCCATGTACTCATGCTGCTCCATGCCTTGAGAGTCTGCAGCCGAGACATCGATGATGTTCCTAAGAAATAGAGACACAGGTAGTCAGCAGAATTTAAATCCCAAATGGATAAATCCATGATGAGGGAGGAGAAAGAATGTTTGTGTGTCTTACAGGGCTGTCTTGAAAAGGATAGATGTGAGTAGGGCCTGTTCGTCTGTGCGGGCTGAGGGTACGCTGGCAGACCTCCATTCTGTGCCGTTGAGGGGCTTGCTGTCGGGGTTCGGGTGGGGGATCAGCGGCTTACTTGCCTCAGGGTCCTGAGCCACAACATACACATCACGCTCACAAACTATCACAACATCCTCAATCACAGGCTGTTAAGGTAACCAGATTCTGACCTTGCTTATTCTTAAAATGAGTATGATATGACCTCTGAACTAAAGTCTAAAACAAAAGGGCACCCTACAACCCCTATACTATTACTACTCATCCCCTGATCACTTTAAGTCAATAGGGATCTGCTGCTGTGACAGGCAGAGAAGAATGAACCCCCAAAAAATAGTTACCTAACCCGATATGATACTGGTGTGTATATTTCAACAGTATAGCTAAGGAGTGGCAGGCTATTTGTGTATAACAGTCGTCTGATAAACAGTAATAAGCAATCGCTGCCTCACATTTTCCAAAAGGGAAAATAAAACGTAATTTCCCTTCACCAAATTCAATTTTGGCTTGTCACAACTGGATGGGAAATCTGAGATCATATGACATGCATCTGGGAGAAGTTGATTGGCTGGCAAGTTCAACACGTTCCAACGGCGTAACCGAATGTGAACCTTTGAGGCCCTATTTACAGAAGTGGCCGCGTTTTACCGAAACTGATTGATCATCATCATCATCATCATCATCATCATCTGGTGAGAATTTAAACTTTTAGTCTGCCCTGCAAGTAGCTACCTACTGACGTATACAGATGAACTAATTAAGTTAGTTAGCAAACTAGATACTGCTTATAATTGTCAGCAAAGGTTGTCACTATTTTGAAACTTTAGGTGTGTTGGCCAATCAGATAATTACATTCCCTAGGCCCACTCTTTCTTACACAGCTAACAGTTATCTCTGAAAGGTCTGGCTAGCTAACTATCTGCTGGGTCGTAGTTGGCTAACTTAAAAATAGCTTCCTTTTAACGCGCAATGAAGCACCATATTTTTGGCTAGTGGAATTCTATATAACAAACTGTCTCGCAATGTCCTGATGACCCCAAAGAAAGAAAATACTTTGACTGTCAAAGAGTTGTTTGCACCCTAGATAACTAACTCGCTTTGCGTTAGCTACCTGCTCGGTGGTATCGTTTTCGCTGCTGTAACAGCAACCCATGGCGTCCGGATGTCTGCCAAGCACGCGAACCCAATTTCCAACTTCTCCACCCGGGAAACTATATAATAAGAGAAACAGTCTCGGTCCACTTTCTCGCTGACCGCTTCTGTCAGCTCCTACTACAAACGCAGCCTATCACATGACAGCAGTTTTTGCGCAACTAAGGGCTGGGCAACAAACATGGTGACATCCGGCCACTGTGAAGCCGGCATGGGGACACAGACTCCCCAATCACGTGACAAGGGTGTTAAATTTTTTAAGACTCGCGAAGGGTGACTTGTTATTGTTTTGACTGGGGCATAGAACCTGCATAAAACAGACGGGGTGTAAGGAAAACGCAGAACGAAGAGATGGCAAAAATACATCGCTAGCACAGACTCGTTGGGGGTAGGTTCTGGGGAGACTGCTATCGCAAGATAAAAGAGCAAAGTCATCTTTCAGACGCCCCCCGGTCTACAGAGACACTTTACAGCCCTCAATAACCATTGCATTTGATGTAAGAAGTCGTTTGACGAGTTTGCATGACTGGGTGACGCCAGGCGCCCTCTCATTACACATCAGACTACTAGCTACGTACTTCTCAGGACTGCGGAACAACCACTGCGCTGCTTTGTTTTTATTCTACACCTGTTGTCAGTATGGCTCAGCTGAAAATATCACTTTGCGTGTTGGTGTCTATTTGTCTCGCCTCGGTTTTGTCCATAGACAGCTCCGTTCAGTTTGCGTCCGAAAGTCTCAGTTCCTCCACTGTTCGCTCGGTGTGTAAGTCCATCCCCAGCACACTTTCTCTGTGCCACGGCGTCGGTTACCGGGAGATGCGGCTTCCCAACCTGCTGGGGCACGACTCGTTGAAAGTAGCCCAGCAGCAGTCGGCCGCGTGGCTGCCGTTGGTCTCCAAACTCTGCCACCGGGAGACCAAGAAGTTCTTGTGCTCGCTCTTCGCTCCGGTGTGCCTACCGGAGGGGCCCGTGCGCCCCTGCCGTGGGCTGTGCGAGGCTGTGAGGGACGGTTGTCTCCCCGTGATGAGCGCATTTGGGTTCCCGTGGCCCGACATGTTCAACTGCACCCGGTTCCCGTGCGGGACCCATCTCTGCATTCCGACCACGACCCGAGACACAGAGTGTGCGCGGAAGGGAGAGGAAGAGGGACACGAGGGGGTATCAAAGGGTTTGTGCCTATCATCTTAGAGAGCTGCTCATCTGCAAAACATTTCCACTCTCTTTCACACACGCACGCTCATCCTGTTCTCCGTGGCATGTCTCTTGGTGTCCTCAGGAACAGTGATCTGTGATGCATGCAGTCTGGCCGCTGAGGGAGAGAAAGACATCCAGAACAACTTCTGCAACAGTCCATATGGTGAGTGATATGTGTATGGCATTGGTTACACTTTTACACAGAGGCTTATAGAGGTCTAGAACGTGTTTACATGTTTGAAAAAGTGTTTACAGACAGGTATTTCTTTGTTTCCTCGCTCAGCCTTTAAACTGCGTATCGGGAGTGTGTCTGTGGAGGGGGGTGACCGCAGGATAGTCCCTCTGGGCCGGAGTCGCATCCTGAGGTGGGAGGGTGGAGGTGCGGAGAGGGCCGAGGGCGTCGGGGGGGCCATGGCCTACAGTGCCCTTTGGCTGCAGGAGGGGGGTACCTGCACCTGTCCTCCCCTGGAGGAGGCAGATGGGGGAGAGGGAGAGGGGAAGGGGTCCCTGGCAGGGGTGTGGTACTTGGGCCTTGCTGGCGCACAGGAGGGCAGGCTCGTCCTCTCTAGTCTGGTGAGGTGGAGGAGGGGGGACAAAGAACTCAAGAAGTTCATCAGGAGACTGCTCAAACAACCCTGCTAATTATGTCATCAAACAAGCATAGAGAGACTTCCCAATTTGGCCAATTGGATGCTGATGAGAGGACACCACAGCCCTGTTACATTTCAGCCTCTAGGCCTGGACTCTGTTTCTTCCATATCCCGCTCATATTCATATCACCTAGCTCTGGAGAAGTGGTGCCTTCATCATATCTATCCAGTCCGTTCAGATCTATGAAGACCTGTGGGGAAGGGGCTAGGCAGAAGGGAGACCATCAGAGGACCAGTGTCTGTGTGGTTGGATCCATGTTCTGGACACCTGTCACATATGAGACATTTGGAAAAATTCAAATTATGTACAGTGTTGTGTATTACTTTCTGAATATTAAAGAAAATGTTTTTTTTAAATCAAATGTGAGGACATGATTATGATTTGTGTGAGCCGAGTCAGAGGACACAGTTACCAGTGAGGCACAGAGCAGCATTAGTTCCATTCAAAGCAGAGTATTATTGTCTGATAGTAACATCAGAGACTGCTGTGTAACAGTGTCTAATAAACATTATATTGAGCCGTAAATACTGTTGTCACATTTCTTTTCTGTGTGTGTTTTCTGGATCCTTCGGTTTGTGGCAAGAGAGAAACCTGACTCTAGACACACTCCACACCTATGACTGTACACCTGATCCACCCACGTCTGTCTGTCTCTGCCTGTCTCTGTCTGCCTGTCTCTCCATCTGTCTGTCTGTCTCTGCCTGTCTGTGTATGTCTTTCCATCTGTCTGCCTGTCTCTGTCTGTCTCTCCATCTGTCTGTCTGTCTCTGCCTGTCTGTCTCTGTCTGCCTGTCTCTGTCTCTCTTTGCCTGTCTCTGTCTCTCACTCTCTCCCTTTCTCCACCCCCTCTCTCTCTCTCTCTGACCGCCCCCTTCTCTCTGCCCCCCTCCATCTCTTGTCTTGAGTCAGTAGATCCACCATATGAAGAACTTTCCCTGTAGCCTACCAGTGATGTATTGCTGTATGTTTATTATGACATCATAATTAGTAAATAATAACCTTATTGTGAGAAACAATGGAGCAGGAGGGGGGTACTGTGAATAAAACAGACATGCCCCCACGTGATCAATGAATAATTCAGATGCCCAGCTCCCTTACCTGAATGCCCTCACCTGCAGAGCTATGACTACAACCACACTCGATAACCTTTCAGCATCTCTGCCAGAAGCATCTACAGGCAGGTGAGTCTTGTTTTTGCTGTACAGCGGTTATGTGAGAGAGAGAGTATTCTTTTTGTACAAGAGGCTTGTTTTATGGGAGGTTGAGTTGAAGAACAATGGAGCATCGTTTGTCAGTGAGGTGCGGGAAATCTCCTAACACTCAAGTGTAAAGCTTTAGTAGCTGCAGTATGAAGTTGGCCGGAGGAGCAGCGGTGAATGTGGTTTATATACAAGGATGGACTGTAGTGGTTGTGTGTGTAAGGAGCTGAAATAGGAGGATTTCACATGAATTGAGGAAGAATGGTTTATTTTAATGTATTTTTTTGCACTGGCAGTCACCCATCTCCTGGTGTGTGTTTAGGTATGCGTGTTCGTGTGTGTACCTAGCTGTATGTCTATGCACCACTCTCAGTGTGTCTGTGTGTGTGCGTTTTCCCTTGCAGCAGTACTATGGTGTCCGGTGCCATAGCGTTGGCCTTCCTCCCCCTGGTGTTGACTTTTATGATTCGCTACCGCTACTACTTTGTGTTGTTCTACCGGGCGGTGCTGGTGAGGATGTGGTATGACTGTAAGACGGGGCTGAGCAGGGAGGAGAGGGCCTTCCAGTACGTTCTGACCCACGCCATCCCCGGCGACCCAGAAAGCATCCTGGAAACCTTTGACCTCTGGTGCAGCAAGGTGGAGTTCATCAGCAACATCGGCCCCAAGAAAGGTGACACCACCCTGACTGATCACAACACATCCTGTTCTCCCTCTCCTCTGCCTTCCTGTCTGACCACACCTATGTGTCTGTGTGTAGGTAAGATAATGGACCGGATGCTTTCCGAGCACTGCCCTCTGACCGTGCTGGAGCTGGGTTCCCACTGTGGGTACAGCACAGTGCGTATCGCCCGGGCACTGCCCCTGGGCGCCAGGCTCTACAGTGTGGAAATGGACGCAAGAAATGCTGCCATAGCAGAGAAAATCATACGACTGGCGGGCTTCGACGATGACACGGTGAGAGCAGAGCGCGCACACACAGTGATAGAGTAGAACACATAGACAAAAAGACCCAGTGAGATAAAATCTGGTCATACTGCCCCCTCCCCCCCCCCTCCCCCTTCCCCTCCCCCTTAGGTGGAACTGATAGTGAGTCCGTCAGATGAGGTAATCCCAAGGTTGCGGGCAGACTACGGTCTGGAGCGGTTGGACTTTGTGTTCATGGACCACTGGAAAAAATGCTACCGTCCTGACCTGCAGGTAGCTAACTCACTCATAACCCCTATGACCATAGTCTGTTTTAATGTTGTTGTTCCTGTCAGGGTGTCAAACCCATTCCACGGAGGGCCTAGTGTCTAGTGTCTGCAGGTTTAGTTTTTTTCCTTTCAATTAAGACCTAGACAACAAGGTGAGAGGCAGTTCCTTACTAATTAGTGATCTTAATTCACCAATCAAATACAAGGGTGGAGCGAAAACCCGCAGACGCTCAGCCCTCTGTGGAATGAGTTTGACACGTGATATACACTGTATATACAAAAGTATGTGGACACCCCTTCAATTTAGTGGATTCAGCTATTTCAGCCACACACGTTGCTGACAGGTGTATATAATCGAGCATACAGCCATGCAATCTCCATAGACAAACATAGGCAGTAGAATGGTCTTACTGAAGAGCTCAGTGACTTTCTACGTGGCACTGTCATAGGGTGCCACCTTTCCAACAAGTCAGTTTGTCAAATTTCTGCCCTGCTAGAGCTGCCCCGGTCAACTGTAAGTGCTGTTATTGTGAAGTGGAAACTTCTAGGAGCAACAACGGCTCAGCCGCATAGTGGTTGGCCACACAAGCTCACAGAACGGGACGTCCGAGTGCTGAAGCATGTAGTGTGTAAAAATCATCTGTCCTCGGTTGCAACACACACTACCGAGTTCCAAACTGCCTCTGGAAGCAACGTCAGCACAGGAACTGTTCATCGGGAGCTTCATGAAATGGGTTTCCATGGCCGAGCAGCTGCACACAAGCCTAGGATTACCATGCCAATGCCAAGTGTCGGCTGGAGTGGTGTACCGGTACCGAGTCAATTTGCCGGGGTACAGGTTAGTTGAGGTAATATGGACATGTAAGTAGGGGTAAAGTGATTATGCATAGATAATAAACAGCGAGTAGCAGCAGCGTAAAAAAAGGGGTCAATGCAAATAGTCCGGGTAGCTATTTGATTAACTGTTTAGCAGTCTAATGGCTTGAGGGTAGAAGCTGTTAAGGAGCCTTTTGGACCTAAACTTGGTGCTCCGGTACCGCTTGCCGTGCGGTAGCAGAGAGAACGGTCCTGGATGGCAGGAAGCTTGGCCCCAGTGATGTACTGTCAGGAAGCTCTCGATGGTGCAGCTGTATAACTTTTTGAGGATCTGAGGACCCATGCCAAATCTTTTCAGTCTCCTGAGGGGGAATAAGCGTTGTCGTTCCCTCTTCACGACTGTCTTGGTGTGTTTGGACGATGATAGTTTGTTAGGGATGTGGATGCCAAGGAACTTGAAGCTCTCGACTCGCTCCACTGCAGCCCAGTCGATGTGAATGGGGGAATGCTCTGCCCCCCTTTTCCTGTAGTCCATGATCAGCTCCTTTGTCTTGCTCACATTGAGGGAGAGGTTGTTGTCCTGTCACCACACTGCCAGGTCTCTGACCTCCTCCATATAGGCTGTCTCATCATTGTCGGTGATCAGGCCTACCACCGTCGTGTCGTCAGCAAAGTTAATGATGGTGTTGGAGTCGTGCGTGGCCACGCTGTCGTGGGTGAACAGGGAGTACAGGAGGGGACTAAGCACGCACCCCTGAGGAGCCCCCATGTTGAGGATCAGTCTGGCAGATGTGTTGTTACCTACCCTTACCACCTGGGGGCGGCCCATCAGGAACTCCAGGATCCAGTTGCAGAGGGAGGTGTTTAGTCCAAGGGTCCTTAGCTTAGTGATGAGCTTTGAGGGCACTATGGTGTTAAATCAAATCAAATGTTATTTGCCACATGGGCCGACAGTGAAATGCTTACTTACAAGCCCTTAACCAACAATGCAGTTTTAAGAAAAAAATAGGTAAGTAAAAAAATAAAAATAATAATAATTAAAGACCAGCAGTAAAATAAAAGAACAGTAGGGAGGCTATATACAGGGGTACCGGTACAGAGTCAGTGTGCGGGGGCACCGGTTAGTCGAGGTAATTTAGGTAATATGTACAGTGAGGGAAAAAAGTATTTCATCCCCTGCTGATTTTGTACGTTTGCCCACTGACAAAGACATGATCAGTCTATAATTTGAATGGTAGGTTTATTTGAACAGTGAGAGACAATAACAACAACAAAATCCAGAAAAACACATGTCAAAAATGTTATAAATTGATTTGCATTTGAATGAGGTTAATAAGTATTTGACCCCTCTGCAAAACATGACTTAGTACTTGGTGGAAAAACCCTTGTTGGCAATCACAGAGGTCAGACGTTTCTTGTAGTTGGCCACCAGGTTTGCACACATCTCAGGAGGGATTTTGTCCCACTCCTCTTTGCAGATCTTCTCCAAGTCATTAAGGTTTCGAGGCTGACGTTTGGCAACTCGAACCTTCAGCTCCCTCCACAGATTTTCTATGGGATTAAGGTCTGGAGACTGGCTATGCCACTCCAGGACCTTAATGTGATTCTTCTTGAGCAACTCCTTTGTTGCCTTGGCCATGTGTTTTGGGTCATTGTCATGCTGGAATACCCATCCACGACCCTTTTTCAATGCCCTGGCTGAGGGAAGGAGGTTCTCACCCAAGATTTGACGGTACATGGCCCCGTCCATCGTCCCTTTGATGTGGTGAAGTTGTCCTGTCCCCTTAGCAGAAAAACACCCCCAAAGCATAATGTTTCCTCCTCCAAACACGGCGAGTTGAGTTGATGCCAAAGTGCTCGATTTTGGTCTCATCTGACCACAACACTTTCACCCAGTTCTCCTCTGAATCATTGATGTTCATTGGCAAACTTCAGACGGGCCTGTATATGTGCTTTCTTGAGCAGCGGGACCTTGCGGGCGCTGCAGGATTTCAGTCCTTCACAGCGTAGTGTGTTACCAATTGTTTTCTTGGTGACTATGGTCCAAGCTGCCTTGAGATCATTGACAAGATCCTCCCGTGTAGTTCTGGGCTGATTCCTCACCATTCTCATGATCATTGCAACTCCACGAGGGAGATTGACAGTTATTTTGTGTTTCTTCCATTTGCGAATAATCGCACCGTTGTCACCTTCTCACCAAGCTTCTTGGCGATGGTCTTGTAGCCCATTCCAGCCTTGTGTAGGTCTACAATCTTGTCCCTGACATCCTGGGAGAGCTCTTTGGTCTTGGCCATGGTGGAGAGTTTGGAATCTGATTGATTGATTGCTTCTGTGGACAGGTGTCTTTTATACAGGTAACAAACTGAGATTAGGAGCACTCCCTTTAAGAGTGTGCTCCTAATCTCAGCTCGTTACCTGTATTAAAGACACCTGGGAGCCAGAAATCTTTCTGATTGAGAGGGGGTCAAATACTTATTTCCCTCATTAAAATGCAAATCAATTTATAAAATGCGTTTTTCTGGATTTTTTTGTTATTCTGTCTCTCACTGTTCAAATAAACCTACCATTAAAATTATAAACTGATCATTTCTTTGTCAGTGGGCAAACGTACAAAATCAGCAGGGGATCAAATACTTTTTTCCCTCACTGTACATAGAGTAGAGTTAAAGTGACTATGCATAAATAATAAACAGAGTAGCAGCAGTGTAAAAGAGGGGGTGGGGGGACAATGCAAATAATCTGGATAGCCATGATTAGCTGTTCAGGAGTCTTATGGCTTGGGGGTAGAAGCTGTTAAGAAGCCTTTTGGACCTAGACGTGGCGCTCCGGTACCGCTTGCCGTGCGGTAGCAGAGAGAACAGTCTATGACTAGGGTGGCTGGAGTCTTTGACAATTTTGAGGGCCTTCCTCTGAAACCGTCTGGTATAGTGGTCCTGGATGGCAGGAAGCTTGGCCCCAGTGATGTACTGGACCGTACGCACTACCCTCTGTAGTGCCTTGCAGTGAACAGGGAGTACAGGAAGGGACTGAGCTGTAGTCAATTAACAGTATTCTCACGTAGGTGTTCCTTTTGTCCAGGTGGGAGAGTGCAGTGTGGAGGGCAATGGAGATTGTGACATCTGTGGATCTGTTGGGGGCGGTATGCGAATTTGTAGTGGGTCTAGGGTTTCTGGGATGATGGTATTAATGTAAGCCATGACCAGCCTTGAGTGCTATGGGGCAGAGGTCATTTAGGCAGGTTACCTTTGTCGTTCTTGGGCACAGGGACTAAGGTGGTCTGCTTGAAACATGTAGGTATTACAGACTCGGTCAGGGAGAGGTTGAAAATGGTCATCCGTCTGGCACAGCGGCCTTGTGAATGTTAACCTGTTTAAAGGTCTTCTTTATTCCCATGTATAACTTCCCTCCTAACCCCCCCCCCCCCCCCCCCTGTATTGTGTTCTGCAGGCTCTGGAGGGCTCTGGTCTGCTGGGGAAAGGCTCTGTAGTGCTTGCTGACAACGTCCTATTTCCTGGTGCTCCTAACTTCCTACGACACGTCCGCAAGAGTGGCCTCTACGAGTGGAAGATCCACAGGGCCACTCTAGAGTACAGCAAGGGCATCAGGGATGGGATGGCTGAACTTGTTTACCAGGGGACCAAGTAAGGCGGGGGCACAGAGACGGACACACTCATCTATTACTTAGACATACAAGACTGAGGTTGGGGGCAACTTACTTCTGTTGTCTGAGCCTACTAGTCTCTTGCTGCCTTCTGCCCCCTGCTGGTTGAATATCGCTCTCACTGACAGCATCTCACGTGTGTTTTACAGGTCTGTCTGTGGCATTAATAAATCCATTACATACATTCTCTGTACACATTGTTTTTCTTTATTTACATAAGACACTTTACCAATTAAAAAGTTATTTACTTTACATACATACATAAAACTGAGTTCCTTTTTACAACTCAATCAGTTTTGTTGAATACTGACATTCTATAGCACGTTTTTTTACTCTTCAGATTTCTGTTGGCCACGCACACACACACACACAGCAGATTACTCAAGTGCAGTGTACAGGCTGTGGTTTATGCCTATTCAGCTGTTTTAGGGGGACCCATTTAGATGTGACACATGACTGGCGACGGGGGGAAGTCAAAGTACACACTCAGACAGAACAACGAGTACCAGAGAGGGGAGTGAGTGGGCACTCAGATGTCCTTGAGTTTAATGTGTGTGTGTGTGTGTAGTCTAAACAAGGGGGCTGACTGTCTCGATCTGTGGGGGAGGACAGAACTAGCAGAGGGGGGTTGAGGTGGAGGAGGCTTTCTTTCTCCTAATGTTGCAAAACCACTTATCTCTAGAAACTTTTACAGTTTACAGTCTTCACACATTCACACATTGCAACTGTAGAACACTGAATGAGAGAACACGCACTTCCTCCATGCAGTAAAACACCACACCGCTCAACCTGTCGTTTCTCATGGTGGGTGTGAACAGCAGGCAAAGTACACCAGCCAAGAGACACTGTCAGGGAGAGTAGATGAGCATCTATCCTGCTGGTACTAAGGGGGAATCAGAGAGTAGCGAGGATTACTCTGGTCTAGATCATCCACTGGTCTTGGTCTTGGTCTGCTCCCTCCATATCCACCTGCAGTTTGAGCAAGATGAGAGAGAAGCAGAGAGAAATTAGTAATAAGAGGTCCTAGTATTTCCCTTAGATACTGTTCCATAGACGTGACCCCTAACCCCTGATTGTGTGTGTGTGTGTTGACCTCGTTGACCTCGCCGTCGTCCGGTGACTCGTTGTAGTCGTTCATCTCATCTATGTCCTGCATGTCCTCTTCATCCTCAGAGTCTTCTTCACTATCTTCCTCATCCTCATCCTCCTCCTCTTCCTCCTCGTCAAATGTCTGCTACACACCCACAGAGAACACAAACAAACACCACACACACACACACACACACACACACACCCCAAGAGTGAGCATGGAAAATGACAGAAAACATCCCTCAACAGAAACATAAATGAAAGGACATGTCTTATTTTCATCCAAACGTTGACCCAAAATTGTAAACGATGTGTGTATAATTTGAGGAATGAAATGTCATGAGATATTAAAACCTCTCCCTAGTTGGTAAACTCACTTTCTGTGTACCACACCACCACATCAACATGACCAAGTTCACACAGGGTAGAGGTTTAGGATCACCATCTTTAACTTTACTTGGTTTGAATGCGAGCTAGCAAGCGATACAAAAGCAAAACAGTAGTGTTTGTATGTGCTGTATGTGCTGTCCGCTCCTCACTCTGTCTTTGGATGGTTAATTAAAGCTACTGCTTTCCCTGCCTCTCCATCCTCTGGCCCTAATGAGTCCCCCTAATCTGGGAGCTGTTGGGAATATCCACAAAATGCTAATATGAACGTCTCTATTTTATTGAATTGTAATGCCTTTCCACCCCCACATGGAACCAACTACAAAATGCATACCATTGGATGTTCTGGTGCCGCTCTGGCTCTGATTGGGGACCTTCTTATTGAAGAATGTCGTCTGTCTTGAATATTTGTGTTGTGTTTTATATTGTATTTGATTTTGTCTTGTGTAATTGTATACGCAGGGCTCCCTTGTGAATGAGACCCTGGTCTCAGTGGTGACTCCCTACTTAAATAAAGGTCAAATAAAAAGTGAACATGGTCCACCTTTGTAATATCTCATGACACTTGGTCAAAATCCATACACATCTCGTATACATTCAGGTCAACTTTCGGATGAAAATATGAGTGACTGACAGGTCAATTGTCTAGGTAAGTGAAATAGACGTTATTTAAAGCTCAGATACCTCGAAGATTGGCTTGCCAATAGGCATCAGGTTATTGTCCTTCTCTGCGATGCTCTGTAACTAAGAGGGAGAGAGAGGTGTTTGTGTTTGTCTGAACCCAGGTTGGCTCTGTGACTCCTGCTAGTGTTGCTCTGTCTTCTCTCTCTCAGTGTGTGTGTGTGTGTGTGTGTGTGTGTGTGTGTGTGTTTGTACCCAGGTCTGGTGCTGTTGCTCCTGTTGGTGTAGCTCTGTCTCATCCACACATGGCCGGTCCAGGTTGAACCACAGAGACTCTGTCAACCGGGGAAACAGCGAGGGAAACAGTGTGGCCATCTCTGTCTGAGAGGACACACACACTTCACTGAGGCAGGATAGCTATCAGCACCCACCTAGATAACATACCTGGCTAGATTAGTACATAGCTGATCAGATTTTGGTTTCAGTGAACCCAAAAAACAGTGGGGAGTGTAGCTAGCGATAGAAATCTGTAAGAAATGACACAATGTTTTCACCATAGCTAACTAGCTACTAAATTGGGTAGGTTAGCTACCTAGCTAGCTACTGTAAGAACTGCACAGATTATGTTTTGAATGCTTTAAAATGGTATCTGTTAAGCTATTGCAGATCTTTCTTACTAACTAGCTAGCTAGCTAACACTCTTCATCCTGCATAACGTAGCTAACTAAGCTAGCCAGCTAGCTATCACTGCGCATAGATCATGTAGCTAACACTGCAATAACGTTAGCTAGCTATGTTACGAAACATTATCTTATACATCCATACAAATAAAAATAAACATTTACTCTACATCTCAAAATGTTCACCGTCTTACAGTACCTGTAAAACCACTATCCCGACTAGATATCAAAATATGAATTTCAAAATTCAACTGACCGGAAACCGGTGTTCTCTTGTAAACGCTCCCAGTGTGTATGCATATTCTTCCACAAACATTCCGCTTCCTTTATGAATCGTTCTCAATGGTATTAACTATATACTATAGATTAGAAACGGCAAGGATGATCATACTCTTTGACCACACTGAGAGAAAGTTAGTTTCGACTTAGTAAACCGGGCAAACCTATGTATAATGCTTTAGTTTCATTAAACTTTCACATGAGGGGTAGCTACTCTCTGTGGGACTGTAAAACATACTTTCAGAATGTTTTTGAAAATAAAATATATTTGAAACCTGTCTCTGTATGTTGTAGGTAGTTTCTTCATGAAAATGTGACTTTGAAGGACATTGGACCCTGCCTGAAATAATTACCCTGCCTGAAATACATATCACATGATAAAGTCAAACACCTAACATAGGATGAACTCTGGGTGCAGTAAACCAGTGATTTCCACATTCACTAATTAACGGTGAAGAAAATATAATGTGAGGCTTGGTGATAACGCCATTATGCTGGATACTATGGACACCTTGACCTCTGAGTCAGCTGACGTAAACCTGAGGAGTTACACATATTATAAAAGCTATAAAATCACAAAAGAATCATGAAAATGCAATAATCCTAAACAAACGTATGTTATGACAGATAAATAACTGCAACATCCTATGTTAGATATGTCACAGGACATGTTTTCTTTAAGAATGATAACAAAAGGGGAGTTTTATGTCTCTAGTAGTTATATTACAGTAATCTGTCAGGTCATGCTGCCGTTTCACATTTAAATCTCCATCAGCGCAGAAACAACTGGTGGATGGAATCTTACAGTGACGAGGCTGAGACCTTGGCTTGAGATAAGATGAAACCTTCCTCGCAGAGAGACCTAACAAACCCCACCCCCCCCCCCCACCCCCCCTCCACACACACACACACACACACACACACACACACACACACACACACACAGAGGCAGACTTTGCTCCGTTGAGACGATTCTCATGTGATTGTAGGAGTTATTTGCAAGTCAGGGGAGTTTTTGCTCCATTCCAAGACACACACACCACGGACACACATGATCATACACACACCTGGGGTTACAAAAGCTGCCCTGCGTTGTAAAGGACTCCACATCACGTTTAGGTGATTGAAACAGGACTGCTGCACCAATAAGGTATTGTGAATACATTTTTTGAATTATTCTCATTGGCTCATGCTTTCCATACCTCTAGATTTAGGTTAATTTGAGAGAGTGTGAGATTTTCAGTAAATGTATAGATTATAAAAACGCATATATTTTGTGAAGAATGTGTGTGCTGGAAGGGTTTAATACAAAAAATAAAATTTTCTTCCTGTAATATATCAGCAGGTAACTGTTAAACATCTTTCTCAATGTGTTTTTAGGAGATTTCTGGGTTGTTTGTGTGTGTGTGTGCACGTGCGTGTGTGTGTCTGCTTTACCCATGCAGTGTGTAGTTGATAGAAGTGTAGTTAGTATCTGTGTGTTCTCTCCTCCTCCAATCCAGCTGTAGAGACATGTGGTGGGTGTTGGTCCTGCTGCTATCCCTGGCCAGCCGGGCTCTGTCTTTAGAAAAGCTCAACATGTGTATGGATGCCAAACATCACAAAAAAGAGCCTGGCGCCGAAGGACAACTCTATCAACAGGTGTGTGTGTGTGTGTATGTATGGTAGGAGAGTGAGTAGAATGGATGGAAAACAGCATATATGTATTCATCTTTAAATTAATAATGAATTTATCTATGTTTGTTCTTTTCCTCCTGTAGTGTGCTCCATGAAGGGATAATGTTATTTACCTCCTGTAGTTTGCTCCATGGAGGGATAATGTTATTTTCCTCCTGTAGTGTGCTCCATGGAGGGATAATGTTATTTTCCTCCTGTAGTGTGCTCCATGGAGGGATAATGTTATTTTCCTCCTGTAGTGTGCTCCATGAAGGGATAATGTTATTTTCCTCCTGTAGTGTGCTCCATGGGGGGATAATGTTATTTTCCTCCTGTAGTGTGCTCCATGGAGGGATAATGTTATTTTCCTCCTGTAGTGTGCTCCATGGAGGGATAATGTTATTTTCCTCCTGTAGTGTGCTCTATAGAGAGATAATGTTATTTCCCTCCTGTAGTGTGCTCCATGGAGGGATAATGTTATTTTCCTCCTGTAGTGTGCTCCATGGAGAGATAATGCATGTTGTACGGCTAACACCAGTGCGGAGGCCCATGATGATAACTCCTATCTGTACAACTTTAACTGGAACCACTGTGGCATCATGACCCCCAAATGCAAGAAACACTTCATCCAGGACACCTGCTTCTACGAGTGCTCACCTCACCTTGGGCCCTGGATACAGCAGGTAAAGACATAGCCTTGTTTCCTAGGCAGATACTCTGGCAATTGGCCAGACTAGACTAAGGCCCCCAGTGTTGAGGGAATTTGAAAAAGCTGGCCCGGGCAGGTGTAGTTTGTGCCAGGTGAAAAGTGATTGTATTAGTTTTGTGTAAGGGTTGGTGTGAGGTGTGACCCAGGTGCGGACCCGGGCAAAAAAACGGGGCCGGGCGACGCCTGTGGTTGGCCTGATGTTGAGACTGATGTTGAGACTTGACGAGGCCCGATTAAGCGCCGCCCGTACCTGCCTCTAGGTGCGGCGACAGCGACTGATGTGGGCCTGGACCTACGGGACCGCCTCCTCCTCCTCTTGCTCGGGGAATAGGGGGGGTTGGTACCCGTATTGGCACTTGAAGGGGGACAGGCCGATGGACGAGCAGAGAAGGGTGTTGTGGGCGTACTCCGCCCACGCCAGTCGCTGACTCCACGTAGCTGGGTTGCTGGAGGGGTAGCACCTCAGCACCCCCTCCAGATCCTGGTTGGCGCGCTCCGTCTGCCCGTTCGACTGGGGATGGAAGCCGGAAGACAAGCTGATGGAGGCGCCAAGGCAGGTGGTGAACGCCTTCAGCTGATGGCCACCAGAACCTCCTACGCAGGAACTCCAATGTCCTGGCGCCCCCCGGATGGCTGGTGCGGTCGGACGCGTGCGCCCACAGAAGCAGTCGCGAGCGTGCAGCCTTGGGTACGTACATCTTCCCCGATGGACCTCCGCCCGGATCGGGCTCCCGCCGTAGCGCTGCTCTAACCAGCCTATTGATTCCCCACGAAACTGGGGTAGTAATCAGGGCGTTGGGGACAATGGGGTCGTCCCTCTCCACCAGGTCCACGGGGTCGAACTGCCGGGAGAGCTGCCGGGAGACCCGGACGGTATGAGATCGTGAACCGGAACCTGGTGAAGAATAACGCTCACCTGGCCTGGCGCGAGATGAGCCTCTTGGCCCCCTGAATGTAGGCTAAGTTCTTACGGTCAGACCATACGACGAATGGATGGGCGGCCCCTTCTAGCCAATGCCTCCACTCTCCCAGGGCGAGCTTGACCGCTAGCAGCTCACGGTTCCCCACGTCGTAATTCCACTCCGCCGGGGACAGCCGATGGGAGAAAAACGCGCAGGGGTGAGTCTTACCGTCCGTGAGGAACCGCTGGGACAGGATTGCTCCCACCAGGGACTGATCAGGATGCCCGAGGACCGGGGCTGATGTAAAGCACCGCTTAAGTGCATCAAATGCGTTCCCCGCTTCCAGGGTCCAGGCGAAGGAGCGTGCGCTCGTCTGAGTGAGGGCTGTCAGGGGAGCGGCTAGGGAGCTAAAATTGTGAATAAATCGCCTATATGTATTAGGATGTAATCCAAATACACGAAGACGCTGTAGTCGAGGAGGCCCCGGAGTACGTCATTGACCAACTCCTGGAACACCACAGGTGCGTTGGCTAGACCGACCGGCATGACTTGGCACTCGTAATGCCCACTGGGTGTGTTAAAAGCCGTCTTCCACTCGTCCCCCTCCCGAACCTCACCAGGTTGTAGGTCCAGCTTGGTGAAGACCCGGGCTCCCTGCAACGACTCGAATGCCGTCGTCATCAGGGGGAGTGTGTAGCGGTTCTTAACCATGATGTCATTGAGCTCCCGGTAATCAATGAGGGACGGATGTGACCCTCGACGAGTGCCTCGTTGATATACTCCCTCATGGTCAGCGTCTCCGGCCAGGACAAGGAAAACAATCGCCCTCGTGTGGGCATGGCGCCCGGCAGGAGATCGATAGCGCAGTCATATGGCCTGTGAGGAGGTAGGCCCTTGGCACGCCTCTTACTAAACACCTCCCCCAGATCCACAATGAAAAACTGGATATCCTCCCATAGCCCCCCTAACACCCGGACACGTACAGGGACAGTGCGCCGGGTGATGAAGCCCGACCCCAACTGCTGGTCGTCCAGGCCCATGACTGGAACCGGCTCAGAGAGGGAGAGTAACGGAACGCTCCTCCCTTGGGCCAGCCCCGCGGCCCCCGAATCCACCAGTGCATGCACCCGACGCGCAGCGCGGGCCCACTGAACCCTGACGGGGAGAAAAGTCAGGGAGTCTCTGGGGTTGGGGTTTCGGTTCCGGCTCGCTAGCACCCCTCCCGATATTAGCGAGCCCTCCCGTTTCCCGTGCATGAGTCGCAGTGGTAACCTGCCTGGCCGCAGTACAGGCAATGTCCCTGGCACAGACATCTCTGCTTCTCCATCCTGGACAAGCGTGCCTTGCGTCATCTCTCTCTCATGCGCCCTCTCACGACATCGATTGTCTACCCGCACCGAGAAGTTGACGAGGCCGTCCAGTCGCTCAGGCAGCTCCCTGAAGGAGAGTTCGTCCTTCATCCCCTCCGATAGCGGCCTCCCCCCACCGAATGGTCACCCTGCCTACAGGCCGTGAGCCGCCTCCCGGCCTAGTGCCCCGACACCACCCGAGAAGTGTCGAACACCTTGCGTAGCTCCCGGGTGAATTGGCAGGAGTCGGAGCACTCCGCGGTAGCCCAGGAAAGGGCCCGACCCGTCAACAGAGTGATAATGTAGGCCACCTGACCCTGCTCTGTCGGGAAGGAGGAGGGTTGTAGGCTGAATACCAGGGAACACTGGGTGAGGAATTCCCTGCAGCCCTCTGGACATCCGTCGTACCTCACCGGAGGTGGCAGGCGGGGTTCCTGCGACATCACAGGTGAGACTGGAGACGCCACTGCCACGGCTTCTGCTCCGCCGGCTGCCGGGGCTGGTCGGGTGTCCACCTGGCTCAGCTGGCGGAGATTCTCGGTGAATTGCTGCAGGCTGCGGTCGTGCTGGTTCAGCATAGCTCCCTGCGTTGCCAATGCGCAACGATTCTGTGCTGCCTCCACTGGGTCCATATTGACTCTGTTTTCTGTAAGGGTTGGTGTGAGGTGTGACCCAGGTGCGGTGCAGGATAGACAGTAGGCAGTAGGCAGAGATGGTGAAACAAGGATCTTTAGTGGTGGTCCCAAAACCAGGATACAAAATAACGGACAGCAAACATACTAAATACTAACTACGACTGAAAACATCAATGAAACAGGGAGAACACTTCTCAAGTACCTGTCCATACATCTCGCAATCAGACACTGATTAGTACTGTTTGGCATCGAGCACTAGCAGAGAAAACAGAGCAAGGGAACAAAGGGAAGTGAGGGCATAAATACACAGGTGAACAGGTAGACACAGGTGACACCAATAGGATAATGATTAGTCCAGACTGTGAGTGAGGAGGTGCCTAAGGTTGTCGGAGGATGACACCTAGTGGGTCGCTCCGGAACTGCGACCCCATCCTGTAACAGTTTTGAAACCGGGCTGCTTCCCGGGCGTGAGCTGGGTACCCCGTTCTGGCTGACGACAAAGTCGGCTCAAAACAAAAGTGAAGTAGGCCTAGGTTAAGCACGTGAGTACGATTCTGTAGGATTAATAGGATTCTGTAGGATTGATAAGTAGGATTTTGTATAATTATTAAGTAGGATTCCGTAGGATTAATAAGTAGGATTTTGTAGGATTAAAAAGTAGGATTCTGTAGGATTAATAAGTAGGATTCTGTAGAATTAATAAATAGGATTCTGTAGGATTAATAAGTAGGATTCTGTAGGATTAATAAGTATCATTGTGTGTTCTCACATGGAAAAGTGATTGCTTTTGATAAAAAATGAAAAGTAGTCTGAAAATTCAAGGGGATTGTATGTTTCTGAACGATGCATCAAGCTGCCTTCTTGACAACAAGACCGAACGGCGCAGATTACTGTTTGATTTGAGCGAGGCGCACCTCCTTCACTGGCTTCGCCCAGTCACATGATGGGCCATAGGCTGGTTCAACCCAGGCCAGCTTAATTGAAACCCCTCGGTGTCTCAGCCATGTCACAACCACAAAAAAAAGCATGTGCACCACAAAAAAAAAAAGAATGAGGGAAATCAAGGAGTTTCTCATGGCTAGTTTCTATATGTATTTTATGCTATAAAATGTAAAATGAATCAACATTCTATGACTTTTATTGTGTAGGTGGACCAGTCTTGGCGTAAGGAGCGGATCCTATACGTGCCTCTGTGTCAGGAGGACTGCCACAGCTGGTGGGACGACTGCAAGGATGACTTCACCTGCAAACAGGACTGGCACTATGGCTGGGACTGGACCACAGGTACACACACACACACACACACACACACACACACACACACACACACACACACACACACACACACACACACACACACACACACACACACACATATACATACACACATATACACACACACATATACATACACACACCAGGCAACAACACATCCGCCATGCTGACCCTCAACACGGGGGCCCCTCAGGGGTGCGTGCTTAGTCTCTTCCTGTACTCCTTGTTCACCCGCAACGACGATGAGACAGCCTATAGGGAGGAGGTCAGAGACCTGACAGTGTGGTGCCAGGACAACAACCTCTCCCTCAACGTCAGCAAGACAAAGGAGCTGATCGTGGACTACAGGAAACGGAGGGCCGAGCACGCCCCCATTCACATCGATGGGACTGTAGTGGAGCGGGTCAAGAGCTTCACGTTCCTCTGTGTCCACATCACTCAGGATCAATCATGGTCCACACACGCCAACACAGTCGTGAAGAGGGCACGACAATGCCTCTTCCTCCTCAGGAGGCTGAAAAGATTTGGCATGGTTCCTCAGATCCTCAAAAAGTTCTACAGCTGCACCATTGAGAGCATATTGACTGGCTGCATCAACGCTTCTATACCAGGCGGTGTCAAATTGTCAAAGACTCCAGCCACCTAAGTCATAGACTGTTCACTCTGATACCGCACGGCAAGCGGTACCAATGCACCAAGTCTGGAACCAACAAGACCCTGAACAGCTTCTACCCCCAAGCCATACCCCCAAGCTATAAGACTGCTAAATAGTTAGTTAAATATTTAACCAAATAGCTACCCGAACTATCTGCATTGATCACATAGGCTGCTGCTACTGTTTATTATCTATCTTGTTGCCTAGTAACTTTATTCCTAGTTATATGTACATATCTACCTCAATTACCTCGTACCCCTGCACATCGACTCGGTACTGGTACCCCGTGTATATAGCCAAGTTTTCATTACTCATTGTGCATTTATTATTACTTTTATTATTACGTGTTAATACTTTTCTAATCTTTTTCTATTTTATTTATCTCTGCATTGTTGGGAAGGGCCCCTAAGTAAGCATTTCACTGTTTGTCTACATCTGTTGTTTAAGAAGCAAGTGACGAATAGAAATTGATTTGATTTTACACACACACACACGGGTATACGCTCTCTCTCACACACGCACACACACACACACAAACATATATTGTTTTATTTAAATGGAAAATAAAACATTGTGATGAAACTTTGTTTGTTTATCCTGTCCTCTCTCCTCCCCTTCTTCTCTCCACTCCATCCCTCTTCCATCCTCTCCTCCCTCTCTCTCAGGGCATAACCGCTGTCCTGCTGAGGCTAAGTGTCGTAAGTGGACTGATGTCTTCCCTACAGCCCAGATTATGTGTGAGAAGATCTGGTCTGACTCCTACAGCTACACTACTCTCTCCAACTCTTCTGGCCGCTGCATGCAGCTGTGGTTCACCGGAAAGAACCCCAACGAGAAGGTGGCGGAATACTACTTAAACCACGCCCCCTGGCAACATGCTACCCCCGCCTCACTCCTCCTCCTGGCAACAATGTCATTAAGTGTTGTCCTGCTCTGAATAAAACCACAGATGTTCATGTAATGGATGGCTTTATGTGTCCTTGTCTCCCTACACAAATTAACTGTCTCTCTGTGGCTATATGTCTCAAATCAAATGACATCCTAGTCCACATATGCACTACTTTTGGCCAGAGACACAGGAAAATAATGACCTCTTTCCTCAGTCCTCACCCTCACTCCCTCTTCATGTTGTCCTCTTCTCCCTTCCCTCCTCTCTTTCCTCTCCCGTAGAAGGGTTTAGCGTTTAGTGTTTAGCACTCAGCCTGCCTTGGCACTCAGGCTGCCAACAGGACCTTACTCTCTGTCTAGGATGGTAGGATATTTCAGGGAACCAAAAAAAACATGACCAGTCTGAGAGGGAGGCCAATCGGCTTCAGTTCTCAGTAATTATGGGGTTCCATTCCCCAGTGTGTGTATGTGTGTACAGTCTGTTCTAGTCTTTTATTTTCCCATTTGTCACAGAGTGTACTAAGGGCGTGGCTAGCCTCCCGTTACCTGTGGTTACCAGGCCATAGCCCCTGCCCATGCTGCCTAGGATGCAGCACACACTCTCTCACATGCACAGAGACGCACACTCATGTAGCCTCCACACACACTTACAGAACACACACATACACACCACGCTCCGTCTGATGACATAGCCAGGAATAGCAGAAAGATGGTCCTGGTCCATATGGCTATTAATACCCAGCCTCTCTCTGAGGTCACACACCCTCACCTCACTCACTATGTGTGTGTGTGTGTCTGCGTGCGTGCGTGCGTGCGTTGACGCAGACTAAGCACTTCTTTTAAACATAAATTGGGGCTGGGATTAAGTTTTAGCAATAGGTTGAAGGATCAAGCTTGGTTTACACAATAAATTACAACTTCAAAACAAAAGTGTGAAGTAACAGTCATGTGGGAGCGCTGCTGTGTTATGACCACTAGGTGGACTCACACTTCGCATAGAAAATGCAACACTAAAAACATGAAGTGAATTAGTATTAATTAGTACTATATTAATAAACAGTCAGCTGTATAAACAGGCACCACACAACAGGATGTTACTTTTTTTGTGAGGCCTAGTCTTGTGTCTTGGTTGAAATAGAGTTTAGCTCGCAGTAGCTGCGATGCCTCCCACTCTCCAGCTCCATGATTTACATAGGCTGATTTCCTTGGGAACGCGAGAGCAGCGGAGCCTCCATGGCAGACTTTCAGGAACTGAGGAAGCGACAGAAACGACCCACGGAGAAGTATTAAACTTCGCAGTTTTCTCGCGTTTCCCAACTCTGATTCACACTACTCGCACTCGAATTTACCGATTTATCGCCTCGTTCAGATTTTTTAACTCAGGAAACCGTGTGTTTTCTGGGGCTGTGGCGATGGCCGGTGGCGGCGGGGTGTCGCCGCTGGGGCTAGCGCCTCCGTTGTGGTATCACCGGGATCTGAGTCGTGCTGCTGCGGAGGAGCTGCTGGCCCGCGCGGGACGAGACGGGAGTTTCCTGGTACGGGACAGCGAAAGTGTTAACGGGGCGTACGCCTTGTGTGTGCTGTGAGTAGCCGGATTTACTGTTCTCTTTGGGAAAGTGTGGCTTTACTTTTCAGGATAGACTAACTAGATGGATTCTAAACTTCTGAGTTGCCTGGCTTTCATTTGTCCCATGGTTGGGAAGGACACACATCGTGGCAACTAATCAACTAGGTAGTCGCCAGTCAGTAGGCTACAGCAAAGATTATATCCGTCTGTGGCTACTAATTAGTTATTTCACTTACTAGGACTGTCTGGAAAAGTGAGTTTCTTAAAACGGCGCCTGTCAACTCATCACAACAACTCAGTTTAGGTTTTTAATGTTGTTTTTCGACAGCCAACAGTAGGCCTATTTCAACCGCCATTCTTTCTATGCATTCTAAATCCAATTGTGATGGTTAGGGTGGGGGTAATACGGTGGAAACAGTGCTCAGAGAAGGGATGGGAAAGGGTTGACTGCATAGCATTGAACCAGGGCCTATGTCCTGTCTGCTATAAGAGTAGGTTGCATGGGCAGCCATTGTCGCTACTTCTGTGTAATAAGATGAGCATCTCCAATCTACTCCATGGTACTTAGAGAGACATTTTACCTGGTCAGGTCATGTAAAACAACACAGACATGACATAGGCCTAGGCCAAACACAGTTCTTCTGGTCCAGACAGTACAGGCTTTAATCACGTCATGTCACACACACACAGGAGACATGAGTTCTCCCTGGTGGCTGTCATGTCATGTCATCAGCTCACACACATTTACAGCTCTCTCAGGCCTGTCGCTCGCATGATACACACACTTCCCTTTTCTATCAGACAGACATCAGTATGCCCTATTTTCAGAAATTGCTTCTGAAACATACTGATATTTAGCGCACTGATAAATAGTGGTGGTTGACAGATATTGGGCTCCCGAGTGGCGCAGTGGTCTAAGCCACTGCATCTCAGTGCTTGAGGCGTCACTACAGACCCCCTGGTTCGATTCCAGGCTGTATCACAACCGGCCGTGATTGGGAGTCCCATAGGGCGGCGCACAATTGGCCCAGCAACGTCCGGGTTTGGCCGGTATAGGCCGTCATTGTAAATAAGAATTTGTTCTTAACTGACTTGCCTAGTTAAATAAAGGTAAAATAAATAAATAAATAAATATCACAGAGGGAGACAGGAACAGCCCTGTCATCTGTCTGTGGAACCTACTGTCACAGATAGGGAACTGTGGATGTGTTGTTGAAGTAGGAATGGCTGTGGTAAAAGGATGAGAGTGCAGAATAGTGGTGGTTTACAGATCTACAAGAGGAGAAAAACAGGTGGCGCTCTAAAGGTTGTCTGATGGTTGTCTAAAAGTTGTCTGAATGTTGTCTGGAGGCTATGGAGTTTCTGCTTCTTCTGGCGGTCTGACCTCAACCTCTGCCCACTCAAGATTACAGATTGCAGTGTCTGTGAGTGGTTTTAGGTGTTTTCTTCCCTCCTCTCTGCCATGTGTGTGTTAGAGAGAGAGATGGGGGAGATATTCCTCAGAGCACTAGGCCTACCCAGCACGTTTAAACACGCAGACAGGCCCACAGGGATTCAGACAGTGTTACGCACTTTGTTGGTGTGTGGAGCTAGGGGATAGCAGCAAAAACACAAAAAACACTGTGTGTGTGTGTGGGCTACTTTGGGGAGAAATAAAGGGTAAGAGCATAACAGAGGGAAAGGTGGGTATTCTGCCATCATCTGTTGGTGCAAGAGAGGACTGGAGGAAAACCGAGAGAGGGATGGAGGAAAACCGAGAGAGGGATGGAGGAAAACCGAGAGAGGGATGGAGGAAAACCGAGAGAGGGGATGGAGGAAAAACCGAGAGAGGGATGGAGGAAAACCGAGAGAGGGATGGAGGAAAACCGAGAGAGGATGGAGGAAAACCGAGAGAGGGACTGGAGGAAAACCGAGAGAGGGATGGAGGAAAACCGAGAGAGGGATGGAGGAAAACCGAGAGAGGGATGGAGGAAAACCGAGAGAGGGATGGAGGAAAACCGAGAGAGGGATGGAGGAAAACCGAGAGAGGGATGGAGGAAAGCCGAGAGAGGGATGGAGGAAAACCGAGAGAGGGAAGGAGGAAAACCGAGAGAGGGATGGAGGAAAACCGAGAGAGGGATGGAGGAAAACCGAGAGAGGGATGGAGGAAAACCGAGAGAGGGATGGAGGAAAACCGGAGAGGGATGGAGGAAAACCGAGAGAGGGATGGAGGAAAACCGAGAGAGGGATGGAGGAAAACCGAGAGAGGGATGGAGGAAAGCTGAGAGAGGGATGGAGGAAAACCGAGAGAGTGATGGAGGAAAGCCGAGAGAGGATTGGAGGCAGAGTGCACTAAACACAGCACTGTGTTTACCATAAACACACACACAGGGGGTGAAGCCTACTGTTGACCTCTTAGCTCTCAGCTCACTAACTCCCACTCGTCTACCATATCTCGCTCTTTCTGTCTCTATCCATTTCTCCTCTCGCTGTCTCTCCATCTCTCTCTCTCCTTTCGCAATTCAATTCAAAGGTCTTTATATGTTTGTGTAAACATATGTTTACGTTGCCAAAGCAAGTGAATTTGACCATAAACAAAAGGAAAATAATCAATCAGAAATGAACAGTAAACATTACACTTACAAATGTTATATTATTGGCTGTGTACAGTGTTGTAAACAGGTGCAAATAGTTTAAGTATGAAAGGGAACATAAATAGACAGATAAATAAAGTTTTTGTATTTACAATGGTGTTTGTGCTCCACTGGTTGCCCTTTTCTTTTGGCATCAGGTCACAAATATTGCTCCTGTGGTGGCACACTGTAGTATTTCACCTGATCGATACAGTTGTTAGATACAGAAGTTTACATACACCTTAGCCAAATACATTTAAACTCAGTTTTTCACAATTCCTGACATTTAATCGTAGTAAAAATTCCCAGTCTTAGGTCAGTTAGGATCAACACTTTATTTTAAGAATGTGAAATGTCAGAATAATAGTAGAGAGAATTATTTATTTCAGCTTTTATTTCTTTCATCACATTACCAGTTGGTCAGAAGTTTACATACACTCAATTAGTATTTGGTAGCATTGCCTTTAAATTGTTTAACTTGGGTCAAACATTTTTACATTTACATTTACGACATTTAGCAGACGCTCTTATCCAGAGCGACTTACAAATTGGTGCATTCACCCTATAGCCAGTGGGATAACCACTTTACCATTTTTTTTTTTTTTTAAATTTAAGGGGGGGGGGGGTAGAAGGATTACTTTATCCTATCCCAGGTATTCCTTAAAGAGGTGGGGTTTCAAATGTCTCCGGAAGGTGGTGAGTGACTCCGCTGTCCTGGCGTCGTGAGGGAGCTTGTTCCACCATTGGGGTGCCAGAGCAGCGAACAGTTTTGACTGGGCTGAGCGGGAACTATGCTTCCGCAGAGGAAGGGGAGCCAGCAGGCCAGAGGTGGATGAACGCAATGCCCTCGTTTGGGTGTAGGGACTGATCAGAGCCCGAAGGTACAGAGGTGCCGTTCCCCTCACAGCTCCATAGGCAAGCACCATGGTCTTGTAACAGATGCGAGCTTCAACTGGAAGCCAGTGGAGTGTGCGGAGGAGCGGGGTGACGTGAGAGAACTTGGGAAGGTTGAACACCAGACGGGCTGCGGCATTCTGGATGAGTTGTAGGGGTTTAATGGCACAGGCAGGGAGCCCAGCCAACAGCGAGTTGCAGTAATCCAGACGGGAGATGACAAGTGCCTGGATTAGGACCTGTGCCGCTTCCTGTGTAAGGCAGGGTCGTACTCTCCGAATGTTGTAGAGCATGAACCTGCAGGATCGGGTCACCGCCTTGATGTTAGCGGAGAACGACAGGGTGTTGTCCAGGGTCACGCCAAGGCTCTTCGCACTCTGGGAGGAGGACACAACGGAGTTGTCAACCGTGATGGCGAGATCATGGAACGGGCAGTCCTTCCCCGGGAGGAAGAGCAGCTCCGTCTTGCCAAGGTTCAGCTTGAGGTGGTGATCCGTCATCCATACTGATATGTCTGCCAGACATGCAGAGATGCGATTCGCCACCTGGTTATCAGAAGGGGGAAAGGAGAAGATTAGTTGTGTATCGTCAGCGTAGCAATGATAGGAGAGGCCATGTGAGGATATGACAGAGCCAAGTGACTTGGTGTATAGGGAGAATAGGAGAGGGCCTAGAACTGAGCCCTGGGGGACACCAGTGGTGAGAGCACGTGGTGCGGAGACAGCTTCTCGCCACGCCACTTGGTAGGAGCGACCGGTCAGGTAGGACGCAATCCAGGAGTGAGCCGCGCCGGAGATGCCCAGCTCGGAGAGGGTGGAGAGGAGGATCTGATGGTTCACAGTATCAAAGGCAGACCATAAACAAACGTTTCGGGTAGCCTTCCACAAGCTTCCCACAATAAGTTGGGTGAATTTTGGCCCATTCCTCCTGACAGAGCTGGTGTAACTGAGTCAGGTTTGTAGGCCTCCTTGCACACGCTTTTTCAGTTCTGCCCACATATTTTCTATAGGATTGAGGTCAGGGCTTTGTGATGGCCACTCCAATACCTTGACTTTGTTGTCCTTAAGCCATTTTGCCATAACTTTGGAAGTATGCTTGGGGTTGTTGTCCATTTGGAAGACCCATTTGCGACCAAGCTTTAACTTCCTGACTGATGTCTTGAGATGTTGCTTCAATATATCCACATAATTTTCCTTCCTCATGATGCCATCTATTTTGTGAAGTGCACCAGTCACTCCTGCAGCAAAGCACCCCCACAGCATGATGCTGCCACCCCCGTGCTTCACGGTTGGGATGGTGTTCTTCGGCTTGCAAGCAACCCCCTTTTTCCTCCAAACATAACAATGGTCATTATTTTACATTTACATTTTAGTCATTTAGCAGACGCTCTTATCCAGAGCGACTTACAGGAGCAATTAGGGTTAAGTGCCTTGCTTAAGGGCACATCGACAGATTTTTCACCTAGTCGGCTCGGGGATTAGAACCAGCGACCTTTCGGTTACTGGCACAACGCTCTTACCCACTAAGCTACCTGCCGTCCTATTATGGTCAAACAGTTCTATTTTTGTTTCATCAGACCAGAGGACATTTCTCCAAAAAGTACGATCTTTGTCCCCATGTGCAGTTGCAAACCGTAGTCTGGCTTTTTTATGGCGATTTTGGAGCAGTGGCTTCTTCCTTGCTGAGCGGCCTTTCAAGTTATGTCGATATAGGACTCGTTTTATTGTGGATATACAGTGGGGAGAACAAGTATTTGATACACTGCCGATTTTGCAGGTTTTCCTACTTACAAAGCATGTAGAGGTCTGTAATTTCCAGAAAATCTACATTGTATGATTTTTAAGTAATTCCCATGGTGTTTATACTTACACACTATTGTTTGTACAGGTGAACGTGGTACCTTCAGGCATTTGGAAATTGCTCCCAAGGATGAACCAGACTTGTGGAGGTCTACAATTTTTTTTATGAGGTCTTTTGATTTTCCCATGATGTCAAGCAAAGAGGCACTGAGTTTGAAGTTAGGCCTTGAAATACATCCACAGGTACACCTCCAATTGACTCAAATGATGTAAATTAGCCTATCAGAAGCTTCTAAAGCCATGACATCATATTCTGGAATTTTCCAAGCTGTTTAAAGGCACAGTCAACTTAGTGTATGTAAACTTCTCACCCGCTGGAGTTGTGATACAGTGAATTATAAGTAAAATAATCTGTCTGTAAACAATTGTTGGAAAAATTACTTGTGTCATGCACAAAGTAGATGTCCTAACCGACTTGCCAAAACTATAGTTAACAAGAAATTTGTGGAGTGGTTGAAAAACGAGTTTTAATGACTCCAACCTAAGTGTATGTAAACTTCCGACTTCAACTGTATAGGAGTTTATGAAGATTGGATTTGTTTTCAAATTCTTTATGGGTCTGTGTATTCTGAGGGAAATATGTGTCTGTAATATGGTCATACATTTGGCAGGAGGTTAGGAAGTGCAGCTCAGTTTCCACCTCATGTTGTGGGCAGTGTGCACATAGCCTGTCTTCTCTTGAGAGAAAAGTCTGCCTACGGCGGCCTTTCTCAATAGCAAGGCCATGCTCACTGAGTCTGTACATAGTCAAAGCTTTCCATAAGTTTGGGTCAGTCACAGTGGTCAGGTATTCTGCCACTGTGTACTCTCTGTTTAGGGCCAAATAGCATTCTAGTTTGCTCTGTTTTTGTGTTGATTCTTTCCAATGTGTCAAGTAATTTTCTTTTTGTTTTCTCATGATTTGGTTGGGTCTAATTGTGTTGCTGTCCTGGGGCTCTGTGGGGTCTGTTTGTGAACAGAGCCCCAGGACCAGCTTGCTTAGGGGACTCTTCTCCAGGTTCATCTTTCTGTAGGTGATGGCTTTGTTATGGAAGGTTTGGGAATCGCTTCCTTTTAGGTGGTTGTAGAATTTAATGGCTCTTTTCTGGATTTTGATAATTAGCGGGTATCGGCCTAATTGTGCTCTGCATGCATTATTTGGTGTTTTATGTTGTACACAGAGGATATTTTTGCAGAATTCTGCATGCAGTGTCTCAAGTTGTATTCCTGGTATAGTTGAGTGTTGCTACAGGAACAATGGGATTTACCCAATAGCAGGGTTCTACAGCAGCTAACTGCCCTCTGAGATCAGAGCAGGAAGAGATCTCTGATTAACTCCTCTCCACCACTCACACATGCACACATACCATGGAGGATTGTGTGTGTTTCAAACATCTCAGCTTGTTTTGGAGTGCGAGTTCCTCTCCCCCATACCCGTGTGACCGCCAGAAGTAGCATGGAAAAAGATCTATATAAAAAACGCTAAAAACAGAACAGTTGACCCAGCCTTGTGGCTCACCCTTACTGCTGTGTGTGTGTGTATGGGTGGGTGGGTGTATGGGTGGGTGGGTGGGTGTGGGTGGTTGGAATAGTCTGTGATTCAGATCAAAGTATTTGTGTTTCCTCTCTGAGTGTGTTATGTTTAGGTCACATGTTCAGTGTTTGTTCTTTATTCGTCAACAAACTGTGTGATGTGAAAGAACTGGAGAGGTGGTAGTAGCCAAACTTTCCTGTAGACATCTAGCTATGGATACAGACAGTGGGGAGAACAAGTATTTGATACACTGCCGATTTTGCAGGTTTTCCTACTTACAAAGCATGTAGAGGTCTGTAATTTTTATCATAGGTACACTTCAACTGTGAGAGACGGAATCTAAAACATAAATCCAGAAAGTCACATTGTATGATCTTTAAGTAATTCGTTTGCATTTTATTGCATGACATACAGTGGGGGAAAAAAGTATTTAGTCAGCCACCAATTGTGCAAGTTCTCCCACTTAAAAAGATGAGAGAGGCCTGTAATTTTCATCATAGGTACACGTCAACTATGACAGACAAAATGAGAAAAAAAATCCAGAAAATCACATTGAAGGATTTTTCATGAATTTATTTGCAAATTATGGTGGAAAATAACTATTTGGTCAATAACAAAAGTTTCTCAATACTTTGTTATATACCCTTTGTTGGAAATGACACAGGTCAACCATTTTCTGTAAGTCTTCACAAGGTTTTCACACACTGTTGCTGGTATTTTGGCCCATTCCTCCATGCAGATCTCCTCTAGAGCAGTGATGTTTTGGGGCTGTCGCTGGGCAACACAGACTTTCAACTCCCTCCAAAGATTTTCTATGGGGTTGAGATCTGGAGACTGGCTAGGCCACTCCAGGACCTTGAAATGCTTCTTACGAAGCCACTCCTTCGTTGCCCGGGCGGTGTGTTTGGGATCATTGTCATGCTGAAAGACCCAGCCACGTTTCATCTTCAATGCCCTTGCTGATGGAAGGAGGTTTTCACTCAAAATCTCACGATACATGGCCCCATTCATTCTTTCCTTTACACGGATCAGTCGTCCTGGTCCCTTTGCAGAAAAACAGCCCCAAACCATGATGTTTCCACCCCCATGCTTCACAGTAGGTATGGTGTTCTTTGGATGCAACTCAGCATTCTTTGTCCTCCAAACACGACGAGTTGAGTCTTTACCAAAAAGTTCTATTTTGGTTTAATCTGACCATATGACATTCTCCCAATCCTCTTCTGGATCATCCAAATGCACTCTAGCAAACTTCAGACGGGCCTGGACATGTACTGGCTTAAGCAGGGGGACACATCTTGCACTGCAGGATTTGAGTCCCTGGCGGCGTAGTGTGTTACTGATGGTAGGCTTTGTTACTTTGGTCCCAGCTCTCTGCAGGTCATTCACTAGGTCCCCCCGTGTGGTTCTGGGATTTTTGCTCACCGTTCTTGTGATCATTTTGACCCCACGGGGTGAGATCTTGCGTGGAGCCCCAGATCGAGGGAGATTATCAGTGGTCTTGTATGTCTTCCATTTCCTAATAATTGCTCCCACAGTTGATTTCTTCAAACCAAGCTGCATACCTATTGCAGATTCAGTCTTCCCAGCCTGGTGCAGGTCTACAATTTTGTTTCTGGTGTCCTTTGACAGCTCTTTGGTCTTGGCCATAGTGGAGTTTGGAGTGTGACTGTTTGAGGTTGTGGACAGGTGTCTTTTATACTGATAACAAGTTCAAACAGGTGCCATTAATACAGGTAACGAGTGGAGGACAGAGGAGCCTCTTAAAGAAGAAGTTGCAGGTCTGTGAGAGCCAGAAATCTTGCTTGTTTGTAGGTGACCAAATACTTATTTTCCACCATAATTTGCAAATACTGTAAATTCATTAAAAATCCTACAATGTGATTTTCTGGATTTTTTTCTTCTAAATTTGTCTGTCATAGTTGACGTGTACCTATGATGAAAATTACAGGCCTCTCTCATCTTTTTAAGTGGGAGAACATGCACAATTGGTGGCTGACTAAATACTTTTTTCCCCCACTGTAAGTATTTGATACATCAGAAAAGCAGAACTTAATATTTGGTACAGAAACCTTTGTTTGCAATTACAGAGATCATACATTTCCTGTAGGTCTTGACCAGGTTTGCACACACTGCAGAAGGGATTTTGGCCCACTCCTCCATACAGACCTTCTCCAGATCCTTCAGGTTTCGGGGCTGTCGCTGGGCAATACGGACTTTCAGCTCCCTCCAAATATGTTCTATTGGGTTCAGGTCTGGAGACTGGCTAGGCCACTCCAGGACCTTGAGATGCTTCTTACGGAGCCTCTCCTTAGTTGCCCTGGCTGTGTGTTTCGGGTCGTTGTCATGCTGGAAGACCCAGCGACGACCCATCTTCAATGCTCTTACTGAGGGAAGGAGGTTGTTGGCCAAGATCTCGCGATACATGGCCCCATCAATCCTCCCCTCAATACGGTGCAGTCGTCCTGTCCCCTTTGCAGAAAAGCATCCCCAAAGAATGATGTTTCCACCTCCATGTTTCACGGTTGGGATGGTGTTCTTGGGGTTGTACTCATCCTTCTTCTTCCTCCAAATACGGCGAGTGGAGTTTAGACCAAAAAGCTCTATTTTTGTCTCATCAGACCACATGACCTTCTCCCATTCCTCCTCTGGATCACCCAGATGGTCATTGGTAAACCTCAGACGGGCCTGGACATGCGCTGGCTTGAGCAGGGGGACCTTGCGTGCGCTGCAGGATTTTAATCCATGACGGCGTAGTGTGTTACTAATGGTTTTCTTTGAGACTGTGGTCCCAGCTCTCTTCAGGTCATTCACCAGGTCCTGCCGTGTAGTTCTGGGCTGATCCCTCACCTTCCTCATGATCATTGATGCCCCATGAGGTGAGATCTTGCATGGAGCCCCAGACAGAGGGTGATTGACCATCTTGAACTTCTTCCATTTTCTAATAATTGCGCCAACAGTTGTTGCCTTCTCACCAAGCTACTTGCCTATTGTCCTGTAGCCCATCCCAGCCTTGTGCAGGTCTACAATTTTATCCCTGATGTCCTTACACAGCTCTCTGGTCTTGGCCATTGTGGAGAGGTTGGAGTCTGTTTGATTGAGTGTGTGGACAGGTGTCTTTTATACAGGTAACGAGTTCAAACAGGTGCAGTTAATACAGGTAATGAGTGGAGAACAGGAGGGCTTCTTAAAGAAAAACGAACATGTCTGTGAGAGCCGGAATTCTTACTGGTTGGTAGGTGATCAAATACTTATGTCATGCAATAAAATGCAAATTAATTACTTAAAAATCATACAATATGATTTTCTGGATTTTTGTTTTAGATTCCGTCTCTCACAGTTGAAGTGTACCTATGATAAAAAATGACAGACCTCTACATGCTTTGTAAGTAGGAAAACCTGCAAAATCGGCAGTGTATCAAATACTTGTTCTCCCCACTGTATATAATATACCTACTGCTTTACGCTCAGGGAGAGAAGAAAGTACTGACATGTAGGCAGAGGTCTCTCTCTCTCCTCTCCTCTCCTCTCCTCTCCCTCTTTCTCTCTCTCTCCTCTCCTCTCCTCTCCTCTCCTCTCCTCTCCTCTCCTCTCCTCTCCTCTCCTCTCCGCTCTCTCCTCTCTCTTAATTCAACTCAAAGGGGCTTTATTGGCATGGGAAATGTGTTTACAAAGCAAATGAAATAAACAATAAACTAAACAAAGACAAAAACAATCAGACATTAACGGTAAACATAAACACACACAAAAAGTTTCAAGAGAATAACAATGTTTTAAATATAAATGTTTTATTAGCATATATATTCTTTACATACGTTACAGTGTTTCTCTCTCTCTCTCTCTCTTTCTCTTTCCCTCTCTCTCTCTTTCTCTCTCTCTCTCTCTCTCTCATAGTCATGTTTAATAAGCTTTATTGTCTTTAAGGACAAGGCCAATGTTACCAAAGCGAAGTGATACACAAAAAAAATGGGGAAAAACAGTGACAACAGTAAGATTAGTAGATATACTACTAATGAAAAATATATAGTACCAGTCAAAAGTTTGGACACACCTACTCATTCAAGGGTTTTTCTTTATTTTTACAATTTTTTACATTGTAGAACACTATGAAATAACACATATGAAATCATGTAGTAACCAAAAAAGTGTTAAACAAATCAAAATATATTTTATATTTGAGATTCTTCAAATAGCCACCCTTTGCCTTGATGACAGTTTTGCATACTCTTGGCATTCTCTCAACCAGCTTCATGAGGTAGTCACCTGGAATGCATTTCAATTAACAGGTGTGCCTTCTTAAAAGTTAATTTGTGGAATTTCTTTCCTTCTTAATGCGTTTGAGCCAATCAGTTGTGTTGTGACAAGGTAAAGGGGGGATATACAGAAGAAAGCCCTATTTGGTAAAATACCAAGTCCATATTATGACAAGAACAGCTCAAATAAGCAAAGAGAAACAACGCTCTCCGTAGCCAATGTGAGTAAGGTTAACATTCACAAGGCCGCGGGGCCAGACGGATTACCAGGACCAGCTGGCAAGTGTCTTCACTGACATTTTCAACCTCTCCCTGAGCCAGAGTAATACCTACATGTTTCAAGCAGACCACCATAGTCCCTGTACCCAAGAACGCCAAGGTAACCTGTCTAAATGACTATCGCCCCGTAGCACTCACAGCTGTAGCTATGAAAAGACTGGTCGTGGCTCAAATCAACACCATCATCCCAGAAACCCTGGACCCACTCCAATTCACACACCGCCGCAACAGATCCACAGATGACGCTATCTCTATTGCACTCCACACTGCCCTCTCCCACCTGGACAAGAGGAACACCTTCACTACATGACCAAAAGTATGTGAACACCTGCTCGTCGTATATCTCATTCCAAAATCATGGACACTAATGTGGAGTTGGTCCCCACTTTACTACTATAAACAGCCTCCACTCTTCTGGGAAGGCTTTCCACTAGATGTTGGAACATTACTGAAGGGACTTGCTTCCATTCAGCCACGAGCATTAGTGAGGTCGGGCACTGATGTTGGCCAATTAGGCCGTATGCAAAATGAGGGCAAACTGGGATGTTTTGCATAGACAACATTGTAGCATAGAGACACTATAGCAAACTTTGACTGACAAATATGTTTTCTACCTTTCCTTGCCGTTGTGTGTAGGGGTGAGAGAGAGGTGAGTGTAAGTTCTAGCAGCACTAATGCCATGTTCACGGAGTTTGACAGACAGCAACAGGTTGAAACTCCCCCCAAATCCCCATGACACACACACACACACACACACACACACACACACACTTTGCAGGGAATATGTAATTTCTGTGGTCTCCATGACAGTACTAATGCCATTCTCTCTCTCTCTCTTCTCTCCATACCTCTATACATCCTTCTCTCTCCCTCCCTCTCTCTTCTCCCTCCCTCTCTCTTCTCCCTCACTCTCTCTAGGTTTCAGAAGCATGTCCACACCTATAGGGTCCTCCCAGATGAAGAGGGATTCTTGGCAGTCCAGGTACCACTATACACCCCCTCCACACACACACACACACCAATGGGTGTGAGTTGGTATTTTTCTATGCATATCTAGCACTATGGATGTAACTGTTTGTATGTATGTCTATATCTGTGGAATTTATACTAGTGTGTGTGTGTGTATTCTGTGTGTATATGCTGTGTGTGTATTCTGTGTGTATATGCTGTGTGTGTATGCTGTGTGTATATGCTGTGTGTGTACGGTACTTGTATGTGTGTTTGGATCAGTAGGAACTGGCAGGCTCTGGTGCTTGTTTTGGCTCTGAGCTCACACACACGCATGCACACACACACAGCAGCCTCTTTGTGCTCTGCGTCTAGCAGCTGGGGGAGTCACCAATCTCCCCCCCCCCCCCCCCCCCCCCCCCCCCCCCCCCCCCCCCCCCCGCAACACACACAGACACACACACACACTCAAATACCATAATACCCCCCCCCCCCCCCACACTCCTGGTCCCTTGCCTGAAATCCACACTGATTGCTCTGTTTCACTTTAGTTTCGCTTCACCAAGTCATCTGGTTTACCAAGGCTTCAGTTCAATTAAACGTCACTGAAACAGAGTCAATGTGGCTGCCAGGCTCCCCACCCGTTCACAGCTGAGGGCCTCTTGTAAACCCTGCACCCACTCTCCCACCCACAAATATCAATGAACAGAAAGTGATTGTGCCCACTCTGACGCTCTGAGCTACCAAGACCTACCTACCTACAGTGGGGAAAATAAGTATTTAGTCAGCCACCAATTGTGCAAGTTCTCCCACTTAAAAAGATGAGAGGCCTGTAATTTTCATCATAGGTACACGTCAACTATGACAGACAAATTGAGAATTTTTTTCTCCAGAAAATCACATTTTTATGAATTTATTTGCAAATTATGGTGGAAAATAAGTATTTGGTCACCTACACACAAGCAAGATTTCTGGCTCTCACAGACCTGTAACTTCTTCTTTAAGAGGCTCCTCTGTCCTCCACTCGTTACCTGTATTAATGGCACCTGTTTGAACTTGTTATCAGTATAAAAGACACCTGTCCACAACCTTAAACAGTCACACTCCAAACTCCACTATGGCCAAGACCAAAGAGCTGTCAAAGGACAACAGAAACAAAATTGTAGACCTGCACCAGGCTGGGAAGACTGAATCTGCAATAGGTAAGCAGCTTGGTTTGAAGAAATCAACTGTGGGAGCAATTATTAGGAAATGGAAGACATACAAGACCACTGATAATCTCCCTCGATCTGGGGCTCCACGCAAGATCTCACCCCGTGGGGTCAAAATGATCATAAGAACGGTGAGCAAAAATCCCAGAACCACACGGGGGGACCTAGTGAATGACCTGCAGAGAGCTGGGACCAAAGTAACAAAGCCTACCATCAGTAACACACTACGCCGCCAGGGACTCAAATACTGCAGTGCCAGACGTGTCCCCCTGCTTAAGCCAGTACATGTCCAGGCCCGTCTGAAGTTTGCTAGAGTGCATTTGGATGATCCAGAAGAGGATTGGGAGAATGTCATATGGTCAGATGAAACCAAAATAGAACTTTTTGGTAAAAACTCAACTCGTCGTGTTTGGAGGACAAAGAATGCTGAGTTGCATCCAAAGAACACCATACCTACTGTGAAGCATGGGGGTGGAAACATCATGCTTTGGGGCTGTTTTTCTGCAAAGGGACCAGGACGACTGATCGGTGTAAAGGAAATAATGAATGGGGCCATGTATCGTGAGATTTTGAGTGAAAACCTCCTTCCATCAGCAAGGGCATTGAAGATGAAACGTGGCTGGGTCTTTCAGCATGACAATGATCCCAAACACACCGCCCGGGCAACGAAGGAGTGGCTTCGTAAGAAGCATTTCAAGGTCCTGGAGTGGCCTAGCCAGTCTCCAGATCTCAACCCCATAGAAAATCTTTGGAGGGAGTTGAAAGTCCGTGTTGCCCAGCGACAGCCCCAAAACCATCACTGCTCTAAAGGAGATCTGCATGGAGGAATGGGCCAAAATACCAGCAACAGTGTGTGAAAACCTTGTGAAGACTTACAGAAAACGTTTGACCTGTGTCATTGCCAACAAAGGGTATATAACAAAGTATTGAGAAACTTTTGTTATTGACCAAATACTTATTTTCCACCATAATTTGCAAATAAATTCATTAAAAATCCTTCAATGTGATTTTCTGGATTTGTTTTCCTCATTTTGTCTGTCATAGTTGACGTGTACCTATGATGAAAATTACAGGCCTCTCTCATCTTTTTAAGTGGGAGAACTTGCACAATTGGTGGCTGACTAAATACTTTTTTCCCCCACTATATGTAAACTTTCGACTTCAACTGTACCTACCTACCAATCTACTACCTACTCTTCTACCTACCTACCTACCTACCAACCTACTACCTACCTACCAATCTACTACCTACCTTCCTACCTACCAATCTACTACCTACCTACCTAACTACCTACCTACCAATCTACTACCTACCTACCTACCTACCAATCTACTGCCTAACTACCTACCAATCTACTACCTACCTACCTACCATCACCGACCTACCTACCTAGCAATCTACTACCTGCCTACCAATCTACCTACCAATCTACTACCTACCTACCTACCTACCAGTCTACTACCTACCAATCTACCTGCATACCTACCTACCTACCTACCAATCTATTACTTACCTACCATTCTACCACCTACTCTTCTACCTATCTACCAATCTACTACCCACCTACCTACCAATCTACTACCTACCTACCTACCAATCTACTACCTGCTTACCTACCAATCTACTACCTATCTACCAACCTACCACCTACCTACCTACCTACAATCTACTACTTACCTACCTAGCAATCTACTACCTGCCTACCTACCTACCTACCAATCACTCACCTACCTACCTACCAATCACCTACCTACCAATCTACTACCTACCAATCTACTACCTACCTACCTACCAATCTAATACCTACCAATCTACTACCTACCAATCTACTACCTACCAATCTACTACCTACTCTTCTACCTACCTACCTACCTACCTACCTACCAATCTACTACCTACCTACCTACCTACCAATCTACTACCTACCAATCTACTACCTACCTACCTACCTACCAATCTACTGCCTACCTACCTACCAACCTACTACTTACCTACCTAGCCATCTACTACCTGCCTACCTACCAATCTACTACCTATCTACCAACCTACTACCTACCTACCTACCTACCTACAATCTACTACTTACCTACCTAGCAATCTACTACCTGCCTACCTACCATTCTACTACCTACCTACTTACCTACCTACCTACCAATCACCTACCTACCAATCTACTACCTACCAATCTACTACCTACCTACCTACCTACCAATCTACTACCTACCTACCTACCTACCAATCTAATACCTACCTACCTACCAATCTACTACCTACCAATCTACTACCTACCTACCTACCAATCTACTACCTACCTACCTACCAATCTACTACCTACCTACCTACCCAGCTTTATTCTGAACGTGCTGTGCAGAGTGTGCTGTGTCTCTGCACAAGTGTTTTTCTTTGAAGTGCCCACTCTTTCTCTCTCTCTCTCGCGCTCCTCTCCCCCTCTCCCAGACGTCTCAGGGGGTGCAGCCTAAGCGGTTTAAGACCCTCCCAGAGCTGGTCCTGTTGTACCTCCAGCCCAGCCAGGGACTGGTCAGCACTCTACTGTACCCTGTAGACAGAGAGGAGAGCATCCCAGAGGACAGGGACTACTCAGGTACACTCAAAATGGTTGATCAATATTGGTTTTGTTTTGGAATTCTTTGTGGGTCTGTGTAATCTGAGGGAAATATGTGTCTTTTAATATGGTCATACATTTGGCAGGAGGTTAAGAAGTGCAGCTCAGTTTCCACCTCATTTTGTGGGCAGTGTGCATATAGCCTGTTTTCTCTTGAGCCAGGTCTGCCTTTCTCAATAGCAAGGCTATGCTCACTGAGTCTGTACATAGTCAATGCTTTCCTTAATTTTGGGTCAGTCACAGTGGTCAGGTATTCTGCCACTGTGTACTCTCTGTTTAGGGCCAAATAGCATTCCAGTTTGCTTTGTTTTTTGTTAAGTTCTTTCCAATGTGTCATGTAATTATCTGTTTGTTTTCTCATGATTTGGTTGGGTCTAATTGTGTTGCTGTTGCTGTCCTGGGGCTCTGTGGAGTCTGTTTGTGTTTGTGAACAGAGCCCCATGACCAGCTTGTTTAGGGGACACTCTCTACGTTAATCTCTCTGTAGGTGATGGCTTTGTTATGGAAGGTTTGGGAATTGCTTCCTTTTAGGTGGTTGTGATAATTAGCGGGTATCAGCCTAATTCTGCTCTGCATGCATCATTTGGTTTTTTACGTCGTACACTGAGGATATTTTTGCAGAATTCTGCATGCAGAGTCTCAATAGGGTGTTTGTTCCATTTTGTGAATTCTTGGTTAGTGAGCGGACCCCAGACCTCACAACCATAAAGGGCAATGGGTTCTATAACTGATTCAATTATTTTTTGCCAGATCCTAATTGGGATGTCAAATGTTATGTTCCTTTTGATGGCGTAGAAGGCCCATCTTGCCTTGTCTCAGATAGTTTACAGCTTTGTGGAAGTTACCTGTGGTGTTGATGTTTAGGCCGAGGTAGGTATAGTTTTTTGTGTGCTCTAGGGCAATGGTGTCTAGATGAAATGTGTATTTGTGATCCTGGCAACTAGACCTTTTTGTTGGAACACCATTATTTATGTCTTATTGAGATTTACTGTCAGGGCCCAGGTCTGACAGAATCTGTGCAGAAGATCTAGGTCCTGCTGTAGGCCCTCCTTGGTTGGGTACAGAAACACCAGATCATCAGCAAACAGTAGACATTTGACTTCAGATTCTAGTAGGGTGAGGCCGGGTGCTGCAGATTGTTCTAGTGCCCTCGCCAATTCGTTGATATACAGTGCCTACGGAAAGTATTCAGACCCCTTGACCTTTTCCACATTTTGTTAGGTTACGGCCTTATTCTAAAATTGATTAAATAATTGTTTCCCTAATCAATCTGCATACAATACCCATAATGACAAAGCAAAAACAGGATTTTAGAAATGTTTGCTAATTTATCATTTTTTTAAAACGGAAATATCACATTTACATAAGTATTCAGACCCTTTAGTCTGTACTTTGTTGAAGCACCTTTGGCAGCGATTACAGACTTGAGTCTGCCGCCACCATGCTTCACCGTAGGGATGGTGCCAGGTTTCCTCCAGAAGTGATGCTTGGCATTCAGGCATTCAGGCCAAAGTGTTCAATCTTGGTTTCATCAGATTAGAGGATCTTGTTTCTCATGGTCTGAGAGTCTTTAGGTGCCTTTTGGCAAACTCAAAGCGGGCTGTCATGTGCCTTTTACCTCCATCTGGCCACTCTACCATAAAGGCCTGATTGGTGGAGTGCTGCAGAGATGGTTGTCCTTCTGGAAGGTTCTCCCATCTCCACAGAGGAACTCTAAAGCTCTGTCAGGGTGACCATCGGGATCTTGGTCACTTCCCTGACCAAGGCCCTTCTCCCCCGATTGCCCGTTTGGCCGGGGCGGCCAGCTCTAGGAAAAGACTTGGTGGTTCCAAACTTGTTCTTAGGGACCTTCACTAGGCCACTGTGTTCTTGGGGACCTTCAATGCTGCAGACATTTTTTGGTACCCTTCCCCAGATCTGTGCCTCGACACAATCCTGTCTCGGAGTTCTACGGACAATTCCTTCGACCTCATGGCTTGGTTTTTGCTCTGACATGCACTGTCAACTGTGGGACCTTATACAGTGGGGAGAACAAGTATTTGATACACTGCCGATTTTGCAGGTTTTCCTACTTACAAAGCATGTAGAGGTCTGTAATTTGTATCATAGGTACACTTCCAACTGTGAGAGACGGAATCTAAAACAAAAATCCCGAAAATCACATTGTATGATTTTTAAGTAATTAATTTGCATTTTATTGCATGACATAAGTATTTGATCACCTACCAACCAGTAAGAATTCCGTCTCTCACAGACCTGTTAGTTTTTCTTTAAGAAGCCCTCCTGTTTTCCACTCATTACCTGTATTAACTGCACCTGTTTGAACTCGTTACCTGTATAAAAGACACCTGTCCACACACTCAATCAAACAGACTCCAACCTCTCCACAATGGCCAAGACCAGAGAGCTGTGTAAGGACATCAGGGATAAAATTGTAGACCTGCACAAGGCTGGGATGGGCTACAGGGCTACAGGACAATAGGCAAGCAGCTTGGTGAGAAGGCAACAACTGTTGGCGCAATTATTAGAAGTTCAAGATGACGGTCAATCACCCTTGGTCTGGGGCTCCATGCAAGATCTCACCTCGTGGGGCATCAATGATCATGAGGAAGGTGAGGGATCAGCCCAGAACTACACGGCAGGACCTGGTCAATGACCTGAAGAGAGCTGGGACCACAGTCTCAAAGAAAACCATTAGTAACACACTACGCCGTCATGGATTAAAATCCTGCAGCGCACGCAAGGTCCCCCTGCTCAAGCCAGCGCATGTCCAGGCCCGTCTGAAGTTTGCCAATGACCATCTGGATGATCCAGAGGAGGAATGGGAGAAGGTCATGTGGTCTGATGAGACAAAAATAAAGCTTTTTGGTCTAAACTCCACTCGCCGTGTTTGGAGGAAGAAGAAGTATGAGTACAACCCCAAGAACACCATCCCAACCGTGAAGCATGGAGGTGGAAACATCATTCTTTGGGGATGCTTTTCTGCAAAGGGGACAGGACTGCACCGTATTGAGGGGGGGATGGATGGGGCAATGTATCGCAAGATCTTGGCCAACAACCTCCTTCCCTCAGTAAGAGCATTGAAGATGGGTCGTGGCTGGGTCTTCCAGCATGACAACGACCCGAAACACACAGCCAGGGCAACTAAAGAGTGGCTCCGTAAGAAGCATCTCAAGGTCCTGGAGTGGCCTAGCCAGTCTCCAGACCTGAACCCCAATAGAAAATATTTGGAGGGAGCTGAAAGTCCGTATTGGCCAGCGACAGCCCCGAAACCTGAAGGATCTGGAGAAGGTCTGTATGGAGGAGTGGGCCAAAATCCCTGCTGCAGTGTGTGCAAACCTGGTCAATACCTACAGGAAACGTATGATCTCTAATTGCAAACAAAGGTTTCTGTACCAAATATTAAGTTCTGCTTTTCTGATGTATCAAATACTTATGTCATGCAATAAAATGCAAATTCATTACTTAAAAATCATACAATGTGATTTTCTAGATTTTTGTTTTAGATTCCGTCTCTCACAGTTGAAATGTACCTATGATAAAAATTACAGACCTCTACATGCTTTGTAAGTAGGAAAACCTGCAAAATCAGCAGTGTATCAAATACTTGTTCTCCCCACTGTATAGACAGGTGTGTGCCTTTCCAAATCATGTCCAATCAATTGAATTTACCACAGATGGACTCCAATCAAGTTGTAGAAACATCTCAATGATGATCAATGGAAACAGGATGCACCTGAGCTCAGTTTTTGAGTCTCATTGCAAATGGTCTGAATACTTATGTAAATAAGGTATTTATGTTTTATATTGTTAATAAATATGCAGAAATTTCAAAAAACCTGTTTTCACTTTGTTATTATGGGGTATTGTGTGTAGATTGCTGAGGATTGTTTTTTTTATATCCATTTTAGAATAAGGCTGTAACGTAACAAAATGTGGAAAAAGTCAAGGCACTGTATACGTTGAAGAGGGTGGGGCTCAAGCTGCATCCCTGTCTCACCCCACGGCCCTAAGGAAAGAAATGTGTGGTTTTTGCCTTTTTAACTGCACACTTGTTGTTTGTGTACATGGATTTTATAATGTTGTATGTTTTTCCCCCAACACCACTTTCCATCAATTCGTATAGCAGGCCCTCATGCCAAATTGAGTCAAAAGCTTTTTTGAAATCAACAAAGCATGAGAAGACTTTGCCTTTGTTTTGTTTGTTTGTCAATTAGGGTGTGCAGGGTGAATACGTGGTCTGTCGTACGGTAATTTGGTTAAAAGCCAATTTGACATTTGCTCAGTACATTGTTTTCACTGAGGAAATGTACACGTCTGCTGTTAATGATAATGCAGAGGATTTTCCCAAGGTTGCTGTTGACGCATATCCCACGATAGTTATTGGGTTCAAATTTGTCTCCACTTTTGTGGATTGGGGTGATCAGTCCTTGCTTCCAAATATTGGGGAAGATGCCAGAGCTGAATATGATGTTAAAGAGGTTAAGTATAGCCAATTGGAATTTGTGGTCTGTATATTTTATAATTTCATTGAGGATACCATCAACACCACCGGCCTTTTTGGGTTGGAGGGTTTGTATTTTGAACTGTAGTTCATTCAATGTAATTGGAGGATCCAGTGGGTTCTGGTAGTCTTTTAATAGCTGATTCTAAGATTTGTAATTGATCATGTATATTCTAACATTTGTAATTGATCATGTTTTTGCTGTTTGTTCTTTGTTATAGAGCAGGGGTGTCAAACGTCCGGCCCGCGGGCCGGATCAGGCCCGCAAACGGGTTTAATCCGGCCCGCGAGATGATTTAAAAAATAAATAATAATAATAATCATAATAATTTTGTAAAGTATAAAAATGCGTTGCAATTTTTCAATAAAATAAACTGCTGTTCCAATTGCGTCCACTGGATGGCGCAATAGCAATTGTGTTAAGCAAGCAAACTGTTTATACCGGGGCAGAGCAAGTAGGTCAAGCACGTGCAGCCAATGAGCTACTTTGTTTTGCCCGCGATATTTATTACGGCTTCTACTTTTAACATTATGTGCTTTGGCACCCTCATTGCCCCAATATGTCTCTGTCAAAAAAGAGAAAAGTGGACGCAGAGTGCAGAGTGTTCCAAGAAAAAGGGTCATCCTATTTATTCACGGAATTGAATGGGAAAGCTGTATGTTTGGTGTGTTCAGAGCATGTTGCAGTGCTGAAAGAATATAACCTTCGTCGCCACTATGTGAGTCTTCATGCCGACAAATATGACAACTTTCAAGGACAGCGGAGATGAGAGAAGGTGAATGAACTGTTGGCGGGTCTGAAGAAACAGCACTGCAACTGTCTGTGTTTACTCACAGCCGAGACATCAGTGACGCTGCAGTGAAAGCTAGCTACCTCATTGCTAATGAAATCGCAGTGGCGTCAAAACCATTTAGTGAGGGTGAATTTGTAAAAACATGCATGATGAAGGCAGCGGAGATTGTGTGCCCTGAAAAGCGGCAGGCTTTTGCAAATATCAGCCTGACAAGAAACACAGTTGCAGACAGGATTTCCGATCTTTCAGTGGATTTGGACAGCCAGTTGAAGCAAAAAGTAAAGTCATTTATTGCGTTTTCGGTTGCAATTGATGAAAGCACGGACATTACAGATGTTGCACAACTGGCCATTTTCATCCGCGGAGTTGATGACACATTGACCATCACCGAGGAGTTCGTGGAGTTGGTGCCGATGACAGATACAACGACAGCAGCTGATATTTTTACCGCACTCGTCGGCGCGCTGGACAGGGTCGGAGTGGACTGGTCCCGCGCTGTCAGCCTGGCTACAGATGGTGCGCCCTCAATGATCGGGAAAAAAGCAGGCGTTGTGACAAAGTTCAGAGAGAAAGTGCAATCTGCAAATGGAGGACGTGATTTTTTGACTTTTCACTGTATTTTGCACCAGGAGGCTTTGTGTTGCAAGTCATTAAAGATGGATAACGTCATGAAGGTGGTCATCCAAACTGTTAATTTCATCCGATCCAGAAGCCTGAATCACCGTCAGTTTGACAGCCTTCTCAGAGAGAAAGACCACATCTATGGCCTGCCATACCACACTGAGGTAAGATGGTTAAGCCGAGGTGCTGTGCTGAGGCGTTTCTTTGATTTACGAGAAGAAATTGAACAGTTCATGGAAGAAAGGGGCAAACCAGTGTTAGAATTTCATTCCGCAGAATGGATGCAGGACCTTGCATTTATGGTGGATGTTACAGAGCACCTGAATAACTTGAACAAACAGCTGCAAGGGCGCAACAAAGTTGTCACGCAGTATTATGACAGCATACGTTCTTTCAAGTTGAAGCTGTCATTGTGGGAGACGCAACTTGCCGGTGGTGATGCAGCTCACTTCCCCTGTCTGAAAAATGTGTGCGCGACCCAACATGTGGCAGACATGAAGCGGTTCAAAGATAAAATAACGGGACTGTTACGGGAGTTTGAGCAACGCTTTCAGATTTATGTTTATATGTTTTTATGTTGATGTGCTATTGTTTTTAATTGATTTTATTTTATTTGTATATTTAACCTATTCTTGACTCTGTGGTTCTTGCACTTGTTTGGGGAACAGGATTTCATTATTTTTATCTACATTTCTGCCTGAGAAATGACACCCTGATATAGTTCTGTGATCTGTGATATACTTCTGTGAATCACTGAGGCATTGTGTGTTTGTGTGTTCTTTGTCCTCAGAACTTTCAAATAACTTGA